TCTTCTTCTTGTCAATGTAATTGTACGTAGCCTGCCATACATACATTTACGAGTCTTGTTAATCTTTAAACTTATACAATCATTTATTTTTATTTTAAAGATACACAAGCTCATGTACTTAGTTATTAGATAAGGAGAATGAAAAACAATAAATTTAATATCTACCATTATATCTCATTTAAAGTATTAAACTTAAAAATAATACATGTGACTTAACAATCTATGTATAATTATATATTATAAATTTATAATTCTAAGATAAGAATTATTCGCACTAAATATATTTTGTATATATACACTTAAAGAATGTAAAAAAATTATATTTGTCAAATAAATGTATTTATATTTCATTATAAAAAGAGAAGAGGGAAAAAGTGTGTGATAATATAATTAATAGGACAAAGAGATATACAGAAGAATAATATTGTAAAAAAAATGTTAAATAAAAAACGTAACTATGCTAAACTCAACTCAATAAAAATGTTTACAGGGCTAGCTCATAAAATTCAAAACTATCATAATTAATTTAAATTGAACAAATTTTATATTTCCCATCGTATTTTAAAATATATTAATTCGATTTAAGGTGAGTATTTTTTTTTTATAAAATTTGAATACACAGAATGTTTCATAATTTAATTTATTATAATACGTATTAAAAAATATTTCTAAAACATATTGATATATTTCACAAAATTTAATTCTTTATAAAAGCACAATCCTCACCGTTACAAAAATAAATAAAAAAACCCATCAATTATGATTAAGTCAATTGTTCTCGTTGCCATAAAAATTATTAATATCAAAATATGAGAAAAAATTACTAAAATATAATTTATAAAAATATGATACATTTAAAAAAATTAATAATAATTTTTGACAAAAATCGTCAATAATATCTTTTAACATTTTAAAAAAATATTATTTTCAAATTTTATTATTATTTTATGAAAAACCATCATTAGTTTATAATTTCTTTTAAATATAGTCATGAACAATTTTTAAAATTTTAAATTTTTTTTGTTTTATCTTTAAATTTTTACACTGTAAATTTTTTAATCTTACATTTTTTTTTAAAATATCATATTTTGATATATATTTTTAATTACTACATATAAAAAATAATTCTCTAAATTAAACATTTTTTATATAAAAAAAGTGTGGAATTGGAAATGGGCAAATGGCATCCCATTGAGGCATTGCCATCGTGACACGCTTCCAAGTTGGAAGCACGCGTTGCCGTGTCACTGGTTACGTCACCACAACACCCTCTCTCCTCTTTCTATGTGTAATTACGCAGAACGCACTGAGCCTACTGAGCTTTCTCTGAGTCTCAGTCTCAGTCTCAGTCTCTCTCAGGGGCAGATTGCAATATTTTCCATTTCTATGGCTTCGTTTCAACAAGAAGCAAACAAACAACCCCCCTCTCCTTCTTCTTCAGCTTCACTCCAATTTCTTCATAAATTAACAGCTGTTCACGTGTTAAAATGCATATTAGTAAATTAGATTAAAAAAATTAAAAATTTGTCGGTTAAAAACAAACACATTAATACATTATACTATTATGTTTCGTAAAGCATGTTAAAATTTATTGATTTTTTAACGTGATATGTTAAAATATTATGTGACAACAAATTGCTTCAAGGCATCAATTAAAGTTAAGACACAAGAGAGATGAGGTGTAAAATCATAACTATTTTTATCTTTAAGCTTAAGTGTGTACTTACATGTGCATATATATCTTACCAAAACGTAGGTTGGAATGATATGGCATTTACAGGTACTGGCTAGGCTATTATCAGGTCTGAATCAATTGCTGTGGACATGAAATGGAACGCATGCCAATATTCGTTGTTACTCTACAATACTCTTTGGCCCATCCCCATGCAAAGATAAAAATTCTTTTGCATGCAGTGCAAGTAACGCACAGGCCCCACGTGTACATACACATAAATATAACACACACCATTCAAGAAAATGCATCGATTCACAATAGACCATCCAGTTTTATTTTTATTTATCGACGCATGAATTAAAGTGGAATTGGATCTTTCTTTATTATGTCAGTTTATACTGTTCTGTATGTACCAAATTTTATTTTGTAGTGTATATATGCCAAAAGCAAAACTGTTACATTTTGTTTTGGGCACCGCTGATGAGGCGATGATGATATATATAGTTAATTAAGGGTCCACTCCATTGTTTGGTCGTGGTAGCAACAGAGAATTTATCTATGATTCAGGTTTTCTGTGGGGTCTCTTGATCTCATCATCATCAGTGCTACGTTGCTTTTCTAGCAGCTTGGTTAAGCTGACACATGAAGGGTAAGCGTATATATATACACACACGCACACACAGAGCAAGAGATGGAGAAAGACCTCTCAATGTCCACCGTTGCTGACCTCTTTTTGTTACCTGTATACCTCACTACTCACACATCTCTGTCTCTGCCATAGTACGTACTTACACCATATGTATATTTGGAAATATCAACGCTTGATGATGCAACTAGCATTTACGGCAAATAGTAGGTGGTTGGCTTGAGTTAGACAATATAATAAATGGAGGAAAAATTAAACACGCTTTGAGAAATTTTTTCCTTTTATTTTTTAGTTTAATACTCTTTTCAATCTTATTTATAAGAAATAAAATTATAAAAATTAGTTATATAGTATACATATATTATCTATTCTAAAAATATTCATGATATTAATTAATTTTTTATATATTAAATCTTGAGTTAGATAATATTATTTTTTTCTTACATTTTTATCCTTATTATTATTAAATAATTATGCTAGAACAAATTTAAAAGCAATTCGGTGCTGATTTTGATAAAAGAATGAAGAAGCAAGTTGGAAGGATGAAAAAAAGGTCTAGAGGTATGTTTCCGTTGATAATCATAACTTGATGTGGGTAGACTTTTTACAGTAAAGGGTTTTCTACTAAAGCTATTTAGGGATATATTTTTATTTTGTTAATGGAATAATGATAATATTTTATATATAATTTTTAAAAATTATATAAACTAAAATATGATGTTGTTTTAGAAAATTTACTATGGAGACCATCTTTTGTGTAAGTATATAAATTTACAGGTAAACGATAAAAAAGTAATAGTGTCAAAAATCGTCAATGATAATTTGAAAAAAAAGAATATTTTTATAGTTTTGCCAAAAAATTATATTTCTATAATTTAAGAAAAAACCACAAAAAAAAAGCCATTGGATAAAGGTTAAGTTATATTTAAATAAAATAAAATAAAACATATTACAATAGGAATGAAACCGGGCCTGGGGAGAATTACATATAGTTCAGTTATCTATAAGTGTGGTGAAGTGAACTTTTTCAAGGCCCAGCCCAAATATAAGCATGCTCTACTGCAACTATAAATTCAAGGCAATATTGAATATTGAACCCAAAAGAAAAGGCAATAACTATTTCACCGCTGACCAAAAAAAGGCAGTATTTTAAAAAAGAAAAACAATAAATTTTGTAAATCTATTGTTTTTTTTATGTAAAATTTATTTTATTATTGTTTATTCATGTGTTATAAATATAATTAAAACATTTAATTTTAACTAATTATTTTTAATGAGTATTTATTGTTATACTTTTTAAAATATATTGTCTAGTTTTGATGGAAATCTTCTTGAAGTGGTCAAAGGCATGTCATCCTTCAATGAAGTGAACAGTGAAAGGCTGAAAGCATAGCATCTTCCTCGGCCAAAGCCTACATTAAACAATAAATACTGAGTTCATTTGATCAAATTTCGAATGGTGAGTGGAATTCCTTTGAATTTTGGTGGATTCTTGAAATTTGAGGTGCATGAGTCCATGTTTTATGCTATGGACTAAGAATGTTTTGATTCATTTCATTTTCAAAAGCAATTCAAAGTCCCTCTTTTATTTGGGATGGGAGAAAGCACCCTCCCAAGTTGTCATAGATTCTTCCTGTCGCTGTTTAATTTTTAATCTTTTTTAATAGATTAAAAATATGATACTTTTTAAACAACATTGTATTTTATTACTAATTTAACATTGTCCAACACATGTATTTATTGTGATAAAAAAATCATCCAAATTTTACCAAAGATATGGTAGAATTAGTTATTTTATCCTATTTAGATTTATTGTTCGATAAAGACACAGATAAACTTATCGTATTAACAGGTTTGTCTAGCATAGAACACTAATTGATAAAAAGTACAGACATTATCAAAATCAAATGCTTTATTTGATAATGTTACAAATCTTTCTCTCCATCTCCTGTGGCTGGAACTGTACAAGAGACGAGAATAGTTAATTTAGTTACATTGTTATATATTTTTTATAGAATGCACAAAGTAATAACAATTTTTATTTTAAATAATGTAATTTTGTATAGATAATCAAATTTAATAATTTTTATTTTATACATTAAGTGTATACCTTAAAAAGTTAAAATATATACAATTTTAACATTACAAATAATCTTTCATTTATGATACAATATTTTTCTTTGAAATTTAATTAGAATGCATTGTTATTTAATTAGCATTTATAATATTAACAGAAGTTATTACTTTTATAACAATTCATATAAAAGTTATAATTGCCATATATTATATATTTTTAACTTTACCAATGCATTAAAATTAAATTTTTCATATATTTTTATTTTTTACTCCTTAATTTATACATCTAATCATATAAGTAATTTTCCAACATTTTTATCCATATTTCAAACTCATATATGATCATTTGAGAAAATGATAAAATTAATTATTTTATCCTATTTAAAGTTATCATTTGATAAAGTAACAGGACAAGACAACTTATCACGTTAACATAATCGATAATAATGCTAACTAAGATACTTTGTTGTCGACGATAATTACGGATTAAAATTAAAAACATTATAATCTTATCTGAAACGAGGACTTAAATTTAGTTAAGTGGTTGATAAATAAATATACATTTCATAAAATCAATAGGGTGTTCTGTTGATTTGTTGGATTTTCTTCTTCTCTGGTAATACCTCTTTTGCCTCCTCCTCTATCTCTCCACTGTATCTTTTCCATTCTTGTCCTATCCTTCTGACGCAGTTGTAGCCAGAAATTTCAACTCTTTCTTTCACTACTGCTACTTGGTTCCACAACACCCACCTCATTCCTCTATATAGTTTTCTACTATTGGTTCCTCTCAAGCATGTCTCAAACTAACTGGGAAGCTGATAAGATGTAAGTGTTTTTTTTTAACATTTGCAACATGGGTTTTGGGGTTCATGCTCAATTGTTTCGCTTTCCTTTGTTGATTTGGGGTCTGGGTTTTTCTGATGAACTAAACATGTTTATGGTATTTTTTGTGTTTTAAATGTTCCAAATTTTGTTGCTGGGTATCTTAGGGTTTGTAGTTTTCTTGGTTTTGTTGGAAGTTACTATTTTTTGGCTGCTGAACTTCAGTTTTTATGTAGCAGTTCACTGGATTTTGTGGGGTGTTTTGTGATGTAGTCAATGTAAAGTTGCAATCTTTGTCTTTCCCTGTTCACTGGGGTGATGTAACCTGCTATTGATTTCAGGTTAGATGTTTACATCCATGATTATCTAGTCAAGAGGAATTTGAAAACTTCTGCTCAGGCTTTTCAGGATGAAGGCAAAGTATCCTCGGACCCTGTTGGTGAGATGTCTGAAAACTGTACTCTTTATCAAAGAAAAAGCTTGGTTTAAGGGTGACATTTTTCCGTTTTTCTACTTTCATATTGGTTCTTTCCCATTTTATTTAATGACTTGGTTGCTTTTGTGTGTGCGTGTGCGCGCGCGGGTGTGATGGCAATGTGGGGTTGCAGCTATTGATGCTCCTGGAGGTTTTCTGTTCGAGTGGTGGTCGGTTTTCTGGGACATATTTATTGCAAGGACTAATGAGAAGCACTCAGAGGTTGCTGCGTCATATATTGAGGTTGGTTGGAAAAAAATTCATAGATTTCACATTATGCAACCTTCTATCATGCTAAATTTGAGTAGGATGAGGGTGCTTGAAACTCAGCAAAGAAAAAGTAATCTTGCCACATATTCACTTTTTTGAATTGCATGTGATTGGCAGTTGAAAAAATTGCACTATGCCTTTACATGTATTCCATAAGGAAGTTTATGGATTTCATTGGTTTCAACTTTTAATTTGGCCAGTCACCTGCTCTGGTTAGTTGTTCCTTGCTTTCTGTACACCGTTTAATATAAGGAAACCAGATTTGGTTTGGCTGGTTGTTCCTATTGATTTGAGTTTCTCGAGCAAACCTAATTTCTCTATAGCATTAAGGAAAGTTGTGATTCTTTACTATCATTTTTAGTTAAATAATATTGTGGAAAATCTTTATTATTTAGTTCCAGGTTGATATCACTAGCAATATGATTTGATACTTCATTGTGTCATTTGAGCCTGTGATTATTTGTGTACTTAATGACCCCTCTATGTCCATGAGCTCAACCTGTGATAAATTCACTTGCCTGGTTTGATTAATTACATTTCTATGATTTGTGCTGAGAGCTTACATTTCCTTTTCCTCTCTGGGCTCATGTTTCATGAATTTGTGATCTGTCCATGTCTCTCTTTTGTTGGAGGTGTGGGGCCTTTGCATGCTAGTTTAGTGCCAAACAGGAAAATTGGTCCCAACTGGACTGCTTTGGCTGCTTTATTGAACTGCAGAAATTACAGAGTGACAAGAACTCAATCATTTCAATTTGAGCATCTACTATAGGTTTCTATAGCTAATATCTCCATTAGGTTGCAATACTGGTATACTAGATTGTACAATTCTTCATACGAGATTCTCAGTTAAGAAAAAATAAGTCAGGTCCCCTGCTTTAAGTTTATAGTTTGTGAAATTCTATCTGCAGACACAATTAATAAAGGCAAGGGAGCAACAGCAACAACAGCAGCAGCCACAACCACCGCAGTCACAACATCAACAACAGCAGCAGCAACAGCACATGCAAATGCAGCAGCTCCTGAGAGCACAGCAACAACAGCAACAGCAACAGCAACAGCAACAGCAACAACAACAACAGCAGCAACAACAGCAACAGCCACAACCACAGCAACAGCAGCCACCACCACAACAACAGCAAAGTAGGGATAGGGCTCATCTTTTGAATGGTAGTGCAAATGGGTTAGTTGGAAACTCCGGAACTGCAAATGCACTAGCAACAAAGATGTATGAGGAAAGGTTAAAACTTTCCCTTCAGAGGGATTCTTTGGATGATGCAGCAATGAAGGTTAGGGGAAGTTCTGGCTATCTAATCTGATTATAAGATAAAATGCTGGTTTTATGATGCATATCTTCATTGCTTTCTTTTGGTATATTATATACAGCAAAGATTTGGTGAGAACATGGGTCAACTCTTGGACCCAAATCATGCATCAATGTTGAAGTCAGCTGCAGCTACTGGCCAGCCTTCAGGGTATTGTTTTCATAACTTCACTTTATTGCTTATTGATTTAAGTGTATGTTTGGTTCAGTTTATTTCTATGAAATAATTGCTTACTTTTGTTAACTTTTGATGGAGTTTTTAAAATATATGCTATTATTTTCACAGAAACAATTGTTACCAAACATGCACTAAATCTTTCTGGAGACAGAACGCAGTTTGTACCTGATCAATACATAATTTCAGATCAAGAATAGCTAATTTAAATTGGATTTGAAATTCTATAAGTTAAAGCTTACTTGTTTATGAGAAATAAAAAGATCATCTTTTTATTTTCTAGTCTTCTCTGTACAGTATGCTCCTGCCTCTGAAGAATCAATGATCATGCCCTCCCTATTAAGAAAACAGTTATTTGGTGTTCAATTCTCATAGTGTCCCACATTCTCTATATTTATGGGTGTTGACTTTGCCGGCATCAAATTTCTTGATTTCAGGCAAGTTTTGCATAATGCTGGTGGTGGGATGTCTCCACAAGTCCAAGCTCGTAGTCAGCAATTACCAGGGTCTACTCTGGTACACCGTTGTTTTTAGAGTGACCTCATTAATTTCTATATTTCTTATCAGATGTTTTTCCCTGACTTGCCACTTGGAATCAGGATATAAAGAGTGAGATTAATCCTGTGTTAAATCCCAGAGCTGGAGGTCCTGAAGGATCATTGATAGCAATGCCTGGTATTTCCCATGATTTTTTCCTTCTGTATCTGATTTGTGTTATTTTGAAACTGTTTTGCTGCAAGTTAATAGAACTTGATTATTTTTCTTTTGTAATTTATGGGGTTGGATGAGGATATTTTAGGATGCAGTTTTTTTTTTTTAATGTTTTTATTACTATTATTCTTTCTTGTACGTAAATGGAGTAAACAAGATATTATCTTGTGTCAGGACCGAATCAAGGTGGCAACAATTTGACTTTGAAAGGGTGGCCACTCACAGTGAGTAATCTTTTTATTATATAGTTATTTTAGTTAATGTCATTTCTTCTGGTGGATGTATATATTGTCTTCTTAAATGTGAATCAAATCATATTTTCTTCAAAATTGTGTACTTAGTACTGTAGTCATTGCATAGTGAGATATGGATGTAGTCCTCTTTCTCTCTCTCTCTCTCTGTGTGTGTGTATGTGTGTATGTACACATAGCTTATGAACCTATGACTTCTATCTTAAACCATATTCGACTCTAACTACTTGAGCCATGCCCAAGTGGCAGAAGAGGCCCTCCTTTTCTTGTATGTTTTAACCTAAGTAAACCTCTGTCTTCTCCTAGAAATGGTGCCCACTTCTCTGAAGTCTCAGTTGTATTACTGAGTTTTTTGTCACCTAAATATCTTTAATTATTGAAACATAGCAATTCATTTTTTTATCCGTTTTTAGGGTTTGGAGCAACTACGCTCTGGTCTACTTCAGCAACAAAAACCTTTCATGCAGGCTCCTCAGCCTTTTCATCAACTCCAAATGTTGACACCACAGCATCAGCAACAGCTCATGCTAGCGCAACAAAATTTGGCATCACCGTCTGCCAGCGAAGAAAGTAGAAGACTAAGAATGCTATTGAATAATAGTAGGGGTATTGGTCTAAATAAGGATGGTCTTTCAAATCCTGTTGGTGATGTGGTATCAAATGTTGGATCCCCTCTTCAAGGTGGTGGTCCTCCTTTTCCTCGTGGAGACACAGATATGCTAATGAAGGTTTTAGTTATTTTAATTTTCTTTCTATTTTTCAGAATGGTTCTTGTATAATTCACTAAACTTTTATATATATATATATATATATATATATATATTTTTTATTTTTTTTTTATGTTTACCAAAAGTTTCATGAATTGTATCTTATGAAATATTGTATGTGTAGTTGAAACTGGCTCAGTTGCAGCAGCAACATCAACAACAGCCAAGTACCAATGCACAGCAGCAGCAACTTCAACAGCATGCTCTTTCAAATCAGCAATCTCAGACTTCAAATCATAGCATGCATCAGCAAGATAAAGCAGGGGGAGGTGGTGCCAGTGTCACTGTGGATGGTAGCATGTCAAACTCATTTAGAGGAAATGATCAGGTTTGTCCTTTTATAGCTGTTGATACCACACAAATGTTCAAGCAATACATTGTTTCTTGGATCCTAATTCCTTATGGAATCATTGGGCAATATATTTCTTCTGACTTGTAGAAGAATATATAATTATTGACCCACATAGCCAGCAAATTTCTCATGTACACAATTAGTTTATTTTGTTAAATATATTAAAATATGCATATATCTTTATGCAAATTGTAAGATAGATCTGACATCTAGTTGCTTGATTAAAAATCTCATCTACCTTTCCCTTTGCTATGTCTATTTTGTTTAATTTTGCTGTTATGTTTTTACAATTTTGGACTGCAAGTCTGCAACATATATTTCTTTTAATGATTGTGACTTATGACTTTTGAGAAATTATACATTGTGAATTTATTTCCTTGTTCATTTCTTCACTGGTTTTGAATTCAAGTATTGCAGCATATAGTCTCTGTAATCTCAAGCTTTCCAGAACTGACTAGTTGGAAATGGAATTTACTTCTTTCTTTTTTTCAAGTCTCCTGAAAAGATATATTATGACCCATTTGCAGAAAAATTATAAAAGGAAAGGCCATTTCTTATTAGCAATGTGGAAATCACAGCTTCAACTACTAGTTTGTTTACATCTTTGCCACAAGATTTTTGACAATTATTTTTTTCTATATAAATTACATGATTTGAAATTTCTATCCCTGGAGTTGACAGACATCTGATTTTAATACCGTATGAAGAGTATGGAATAGGTTCCTAATATGGTTTTCTGGATGCACTTTAAGGTTTCAAAAAACCAGATCGGGAGAAAGAGAAAGCAGCCTGGATCCTCTTCAGGTCCTGCCAATAGTACAGGAACAGCAAATACAACAGGGCCATCACCAAGTTCAGCACCCTCAACTCCCTCAACTCATACGCCTGGAGATGTGATATCAATGCCTGCCTTGCCTCATAGTGGTAGTTCTTCAAAGCCTCCAATGATGTTTGGTGCTGATGGCACTGGAACCCTTACATCACCTTCAAACCAGTTGGTGAGTGGCTTTTCTGTGTGGTTGAATTGATGGAAGGAATTATAAAGTTCCTTGCCTGTAGACTCATTGCCATTCCATTTTGGCAGTGGGATGATAAGGATCTTGAATTGCAGGCTGATGTGGATCGCTTTGTGGAGGATGGATCTCTAGATGACAATGTCGAGTCTTTTTTATCCCATGATGATACAGACCCTAGAGATACGGTTGGCCGTTGTATGGATGTAAGCAAAGGTGCAGTAAACACGATTTTATCTTGATCATAAAATATTCTGGCATCATCCTTGCAAAAGAGTTTCTCAAAGTGTATGTCTAATTTTCCCTCACTCCAATGTGAAAGTTTGAATTCTTTTCTGTTAATAGATTAATAGATAACTCATTACGTTATGGCAAAATACAATGAAGTGCACATTTTAAACAATTAAAAATGATTTAATACTTGTTTTGTATCTTTCTTCTTCTTGCCTCAAATATTCTTTACAATATTTATGATGAGCATGTTCAATTCCTCCTTTCTTTTTTTTTTTTTTTTTTTTTATGTTTTGACAAATAAATGTTGTTGGTTATGGCCGTGTTTGGGTATACTTTTCGAGAATTCCTCATAGGAGAAAAAATAAGTAAAAAAAAAATCCCTCGTAAATTAGAAATAACTTATACTTCTCTATTCTTTTAGAAATTCTGATAAGCTCTCTCATTTAGTTTCTCTAAAATTGACAAGATAAGTTGTTTTTAACTTACTAGAGAAGTTTTATTTATTTTTTATAATATTTTTTTCCTTCTATAAGGATTTCTCTACAAATTCATCCAAACAGGGACTATATACAATTTAGAAGGGGTGTGCTTCACTTTTGTTTATATGTGGATCTGCATGGTTGCTCTTTAACTTATTGACTTGCATAGCAAGGCAATTACTTAGAATTCAGACATTAAGGGCATGTGTTTGTTTTATTTTCAGGATTCACATTTTCTGATGAAAATTCTGTGCGTGCAAGCACAAGCAAAGTTGTCTGTTGCCATTTCTCATCTGATGGGAAATTACTTGCAAGTGGTGGCCATGACAAAAAGGTTAGTCGGAGCATTAGTCTTGATAATAATATTTATTTAGTACTTTCTGTGTTCAACCAACTTCCTGAAATAAGCATTGAACTTGTTAGAAAACAAAATCAAGAACTTTTTCTTTTCCTTCTATTCTGTTTAGCTATGTCATAATATGGTCTTCTCCTTCTGATTGTTTTGTAATGCAGGTTGTTTTATGGTATGCCGATTCTCTAAAACAAAAAGCTACGCTTGAAGAACATTCATCTTTAATCACTGATGTCCGTTTCAGTCCAAGCATGCCTCGTCTTGCAACATCCTCATTTGACAAAACTGTTAGGGTTTGGGATGTTGACAATGTAAGTAGATTTCTTTCCCTTTTTATTTCAATAGTTTGAAGTAACTTGACCTTGCACATCACAAATGCTAATATCTCCCATGACTTATGGGTGGCAGAGCAGGAAGTTACAGAGTTGTGTAGATGGCCATCTTTCACTGAAAATATGTACAGAGTGACAAAGATCATAAAATTTATTAATGTGGTTGTTTTTTACTATTCTGTATTGCAATAGACATATGGTGAGTTGCAATGAAAAAGTTAATCATTAAAAGACGGTTTTTATACAGAAAGGTTATATTTATTCTTTCGTGATGAAGATAATTAGTGTGGTGCAATAGTGCTTATAAAACTTAAGGAATCCACATTGCTGGTAATATTTAGCGTGTCTTGCAGATACATGTTTATAAAGATTGTATTGTATTCAGTATGTGTGTTGAATTCTACCATGAATTCTAATGTTCTAAATGTCTTATTTTTAAGCACATGTGGTCTGTGCTTAATTTTTTTCACTGCTAGATTAATGTCTCAGCTATGGAGCTTACAAGGCTCGGAAAAAGTTTCCCTGTTGCTGTATTTTGACATGAACATTAGGACTTTTTTATTTGCTGGGATGTTGCTATTGATTGTAATCTTGGATAGTTTACTTTCCTTTGTCTAGAAGTTGATAAATTGTGTGTTTTTTTCTAGTTTGCATTCTGATTTAACTGAATATATAATTACTATGCAGCCTGGGTATTCACTTCGCACCTTTACGGGGCATTCTTCAACTGTTATGTCTCTAGATTTTCATCCAAATGAAGAAGACCTTATCTGCTCTTGTGATGGCAATAGCGAGATACGGTATTGGAGCATAAAAAATGGTAGTTGTGCTAGAACTGCCAAGGTAAAATGTCAATAATTATTATCATATTTTACGTTTAGTTCTCAAACCAAGACTGATAGACCCCAAGAAAAAAGTTTAGATGAGAAGGAATAAAGGGGACAAAACAGGGAATTAAAGAAATTGTTACAGAATAGGTTCGTTTGTACCAGTCTACTTAAAAGTTTGTTAGTATTACAGACAAGTATAAATAGAAAAGAGGGAGGAGAGTGGGAGGCTGTAATCTCAACGAAAAAGTAGAGTGGGAGTTAACAGGCCACTCAAAGAGCCTGAAGTTGAGTTGTTTTCATTATTCTTAGCTTCTCATAGATCTGGGTATCATCCTTATCTTGGGTCAATCAACAGAAACCAAATCAATAAAGATTCAGAGTCCTTTTGGTACCAGTTCTATTAAAGACCCACATAGTGGGATTGACCCTTCGCTGGATAGTGCATAATATATGTTTTATAGCACTAGGCTGCCCCCTTTTAAAAGAAAAATTGAAAAATCTATTTTGTAGATTGTGCATTAAGTGATGATGCATTCATTTCAGCCTGCTAACTGACAATTTTCTTGTTGATTAGGGTTGCACCACCCAGTTGAGATTTCAACCTCGTCTAGGGAGGTACCTTGCTGCAGCTGCAGAAAACATTGTGTCTATATTTGATGTGGAGACACAAACATGCCGATATTCATTGAAGGTTGGTTTTCATAATTATATTTGTTAGTTTCTTCTTGGAGGTATAAAATCAATTCTTTCAATAAGAGGCTTGCAATTTTGCTGAAGTCAGAGTCACTGTTATGCAACTTATATCTTCTCTGGTTATCATCGGAGATTCAAAGGTAAAGTTAAAATATGAATTGAATGATAGATAACCTAGGACAAGATGGCCAAAAGATGACGCACATACTTGTAAAATTTGCAATGTGATCGATCACGTCTCTGTTTGAGTCAGTTTCTGTGTTCAATAATTTTGCAATTTTATTCAATGTTTTATTTTGTATTTATTTGGGCATATACATAATTATGTAGAGACATGAATTTTAATAGTCGGGCACGTGATAGCTAGCCATTTGGTTATAATTTATTATTTTTGTGACAATCTCAATGCTATATGTGTTAACCATATGATCTGGCAGGCTGGCGCAAGTGTCTATTATTACCATATATTAGTCAGTATTTTTCCATCCTGACAGTGACATCCTGACAGAATATGATTGTGGAAATAAAGTTTTTCGCTCATTTGAGAGCACGAGTTTCTTGCATGTGAAAAAATGCTGATTATGGAGCTATTGGGTAGTTGATGAGTCTAGCCAAGATATTTTTATAATGTTGTAACCTGCAAGTGATGATTACATTTGCTCCAAAGCAAACTGCCAATTTATCTGTCTTTGTTGGAGGGAAGTTAAGGAAGGAAACATCAATTATAATTGTTCTAAGAATCAAATCCCTCGACAGTAATGTATTTATATATCATAAAAAATAACCACTTTGCAGTGTTATGTTCATTGTCTTGTTGATTTCAGCAATAATTTTACATTTGCTCATTTGGTAATTGATTTTACTGTCTCAAGAATAACACCAATTTTCTTTATTGAAATGTTGTATATTGTTGTAGGGACACACAAAGACAGTAAATTGTGTGTGTTGGGACCCTTCTGGGGAGTTGCTGGCATCTGTGAGTGAGGACTCTGTCAGGGTTTGGTCTCTTAGATCAGGAAGTGAAGGAGAATCTATTCATGAACTTAGCTGTAGTGGCAATAAGTTTCATGCATGTGTTTTCCACCCAACATACCCTTCATTGCTGGTCATTGGATGTTACCAGGCAAGTCTACATTTTTTAATTATTCTTTTCATTTCATTCCCTTAAAATTTTGGCGAAAATTAAATTTACTTTGATATAAATAAAGAAATTTGATCCTAATTGTTACGATGTGGCTACTTATGGGGCCATGACCTAGTTGTATTTTGTCTTGGTTGAATGGTGAGTACATTTGATTCTTACTGTTGTAGTTTTGACCTCTTATGCTTAGTAAATGTTGTGTAGTCATTGGAACTCTGGAACACGTCCGAGAACAAGACAATGACTCTGTCTGCTCATGATGGTCTTATTACTGCTTTGGCTGTTTCAACTGTAAATGGTTTGGTTGCTTCTGCCAGTCATGACAAGTTCATCAAACTTTGGAGATGAGTAACTTCAGCTGCTTGTGTCTCCAAATGACTATAATGGCAATATAAATAGGTCTTTATCAATGTTGATCACAGGTTTGTAGTTTATTTCCCTTTTTTGCTTCTTGATCGACCCACCTCCATCTTTTTCCCTTTGGTGTATTTTATTTTATATGTATCTTTAGCTACTAACCTATGTAATGTAACATTCACTTCCTGTTGTCATATCTTCCATTTAAAATATTTACTTGGATATTTCTGCTTTTGTATCATGGACTGGTTTTAATATTTTGTGCGTTTATTTTTCCCAATGTTGGTAGAGAATTGGTGATCCAGTTAGCAAAATCATTAACTTTGTATTATTATTTTGTTAACATTCATGTTTAGGTTAATTTTAAGTATCTAAACTTAAGTTTTTATTGACAAAATATTTATTAGATTTAAAACATAAAACTATAATAAATATTCTTATTTTAATAAAAAATTATTTTTAAATTGTTTAAAATTAGTTCTAACACTGGTCTGTGTTAAGTAACTAAAATTTGTGAGTTATATAATATAAAGAAATATTTATTTCAAAGTGGTAAGCAGGGTTGAAGTTAAAAAATTGTATCATTACTTGCTTACATCGCTGCCTATTATTATTTTTTCTATTCCGACGTACAGTTAGATGATGGTAGATATAGATTAGTTAGATGAATAGTGAGTAGTAGAAACAAACAAGTAATTAATAATTTTCTTGTATTATTAAATTAATTTTTAACTGATTAATTTAAAAGATATTATATAATTATTTTAAGATTTAATTAAATATTTTATTATATTAAAAAGTAAAAAATTATGAAAATTGCAAAATTAAGTTTATAAATAAACATATCTTAATCGCAAATTGAAACTGCACACTAGGTTCCACAGTCCATACAACCAACCATAACCAACAGTGAAGGATGATCACGAATTTTATATTTATTGAATATTGGTAAATAACATTCGTAATGGGTATGATAAATATTAATTAGATGAATTTAAATACTTTTTAAATTTTATAGATTTGGATATGGGTACTGTAAAACTGCATACTTGTATTATGATGTGTAATTTGGTAGCTTATGATACTGTGCTTGAATGGTATTTTTTTAAATAAACATTTTTATTTTATTCTACAATGATATTCATATTTATTAATTTGTAAAAATAATGTTACGGAAGAGTTTATTTGAATTAACAAACTGTGATAAATGAAAATCAAAGTTATTAACTATGTAAGTACGAATGCAAATAATTTTTAAAGTGCGAGTACGTGAATGAATATTATACTACCTAAGTCAAACCTTATTCAAATGTCTACTAACAACGAGATTAAACTCTAAACTCATTCTACAAATCATTTAAATAAAGGACTAACTTGCATTCTCACAAAATGATAGCTTTAACATGTACTAAAAAATGTAAAATAACGTGTCAATTAATATTAATACTTTGAACTCATTTGTCTTTGGGCTGGCAATAAAAATTGACATGTAGTGATTTTTATTTTTATTATTTTTACGTTTTATAGAAAAGTCTATTGCAACACCTCATAAATTTTCCAGAACTCATTGGAATGTGTATTCAACTCTTCATACGAAATTAGAGTCTCAATCATAAACCTTCTTCTTCGTCTTCTTCTTGAGTTTTAAAAAGTAAATAAACAAGATAAAATTCATTTATATAAATCAATTTAATTTTCATTTTGTTGTTCCAAACATTCCTTGCCTGAATTTTTGTATTTTATAATTTGTTACTCTACCAAGCAATATAGAGGTTAAAAATGAAAAATTATTTCTTCTTACTCTTCTAAGGATTTGTTTGTTTGTTCTTTTTTACACCAGAAGCGTTTTGTTATATATTAAAAGTTGTCTAAAGTTTTTATGTTAATAAAAAAAAGTATTTTTTTAAAAAAGCTTTAGAAACAACTCCGTACAAAATTTCTAAGGGAATTATAATCTTGGATCTCGTTTTCTCCCATTTATCTATAATCTCAGTCAATCTTCATGAAGCACACGTGATAGAATTTTAATCTTTTGTTAATTAAAAAATATTACCACATAATTAAGCGAAACTATATGAACACATGCAGTGTGCACTGATGGAAGGAGAAGTTACTATAATTAAGACACCCAAATTTCACGTTTTTGTGGATAATAATGTAATTGAAGGGATAACAACACTCCCCAAAACACTTGAACAACTGTTATATGGGGCTGTCGGTTTCAGATACAAGTCATCACCAACCTTGTTAGTGTCAACATTTTCAACCCACCATGACCCTTCAAATATAAAATTAATTTACAGTAAAATATTATAATTTTTTATAATGATTGGATGTAAATTTAACGCCAGAAATTTCTACTGCATAGGCTGAACCGGTGGAGATCCAAGTCCCTGTTTATTTCAAGATTAGACGATTTTAAGAATTAATTAGTGGCCAAGTTTCAACAACATTTGACACTGAATATGCTAAACAATTCAAAGTTATTATTCTATCTACTCTCCCAATTGGTATTATGGAATTTTGGAATATATGTATCCAATTCTTGTCATATAGTTAGTTTCTTTCTGCCATCCTACACAACACTATATCAGTAAGAGCTTCTTCATCAACCTCACCCTACAGGAAGATGCTATACCTTTCTAAAGCCGACCTTCTGAATTATGTACAGAAAGTGATGACAGCTACTAAAGAATGTGATGTATAACCTCTGGTCCCCCACATATTAGGACCATTCAACTTGCTACAACCTCTTACCCATTTATCATATTAATCAAACAACAATTATATATGTTAATGGGCTTGATATAAAAGTATCTTTTTCATGTTTTTACTATCACATGATACTGTTTGTTATTATTTTTAGTTTAAATATGTTTTTAAACCCTCAAAGTATGTTAAATTAACCACGTCATCATTTAATAATTGAAAACTAAAACTAAAGTTTTTGGGAAATGTAAGAATTAAAATAAAAAAATATTTTATAAAAACTAAAATGAAGTGTGTGACAAACACTGTGCATGTATTCTCTATCAAACTACAACTAATGAAAGATAAAGAGACATAATTCTCAAAACAAAGTGCATGTGGTTCTGTTATTTTGGAACACCCAGGGAAATGAAAGCCAATGTTGTGACCTCCCGAAGGACAAGGCCTAAAATAACAAACAAATGCTTAAATCGTGTTACATGTTCAACCTTTTGTCCTTCTTGCAACCAGACAGCTAGTGCATCAACGTCTGTTTTTTTCCTTCTATTTCTCTATCCTCTTCTAACTTAGTAATTGTCTTGTTGGGACAACCGAAGGCGAAGAAATTAAGCATTCACTTCAATCAAAGTGGAAAGAGATAGAGAAGGTAAAGACTAAACAAAGACAAATCAATTGAAATATTCTGCATTTCCAAATGTGACACCAATTTAATTTGCAGTTTTGTACAATCTTCCTTTTATCTACATAAAAGAACACGGTACTTGATTTTTCATATATTCGGATTCTAAGTGTTTATGTTTGGACAACAATACAATGACAAAAGAGCCTTTCCTCAATCAAAAAAGAAACAGATAGAGAGAAGAAAATAAAATAGAAATAAAGCGAAGTTATATGGAAATAATTTCAGATTAGGCACTGTTCTTCCATAATAGCTAGCGGAAAGGAATTATAATACATTTAATCTCCATGCATGTCAATGTCTCGAGAGTCAAAATGTTTCAGATAAATATAATTTTATTCTCCCATTGATTACGACTTGTCAACAACTGAATGTAGTGATATGTACTAAACTGACATTGTTGTTGGATCAGCAGCAAACTAATTAATTGTGTCAATAACCCTCCAAAGGGATCTACATTTTAATACTCTTCTAGCATGTGACTTTGCCGACTTGTTTTGGAGTCCCACGTCCAATATTAACTACTACAAAACAAGGTCACATAACTTTATTATCTTCAAATTTGTAATTATAACATCTAAACAAAATTGTAGTTATAATTATTATATTTTAATTACCAAGAATTAATAGTTGATGAAAGACAAACGAGCATGCAGCTAGTAATGATTATTGCTCGATCTCAACATAGTTAAGGACAAAAATATCTAATTACCGTTAATCCTAACAACAAAACCAAAGGGAGTACGAGAAACGAATGATTTGTAACTAAATGTCTCTTAATCTTGTACAAATAGTGTTTCCACCATGCACTAAGCCTTTTGCTTTGTTAAGGTCAAAGCATCTCACCAATGCTAGTCACTTCCATTGGAGCTGAAGTGTCTTGATTCTGCATAATTTGTGTATGTGTGTTCGTTATGGTTAAGAGCTTTATTCCCTCACTTTCCCATGGCTGGCAGCTCCTCCTGTTCACTTTGAGAGTTCCAGAAAATAAATCAGAAAAAATTTAAATTAACAATTAAAAATTATCAAAGTATCACATTTTTAGAAGGTTGAAGTAAAATTATTACAAAAAACATATAATAAATTATCAAAAAATGGAGAAGAGATTTTAAAAAGTGCTTTTGGAAAATTTATAGAAATTTAATTACCTAAGGACTGATTTGACTTATACAAGAAGTGGTACCAAATCCTCATATTTTTAATTACATATATAGATTCGTATCATAAGTTGATATTCATTTTGAAATGATGGATCCTCAAGATATTTGGCATAATAGGCATGGGCACTGTACATATTGGCAAAGCTCTAATTTCGCATGTCATTACAAATTTATTTTTTCAATAACTTGCAAAGTTTTATTAAAAGTTAATGTGAATTGTCGATGTCAATAAATACTGTGTAATGTTGACTATATTATCGTTGATACATTATCATTAAATTAAACTAACATCAAATTACATAATACTTTTGAGTGATATAATCGTTGATATAATCAAAGTTATTAAAGAAAGAGTTAAATCATGATGTGGAAAAGACTTAACAGTGCAGTAATTATAACAAACTCGTGATTCGTTATATATGTATATGTAATGCATGGTATATGTAATATATCTATTTTATATTTTTCCAAAATATATTTGTGCATAATTTTTCAAAATCAATATTTTCAATTTCTCACCGCATGATTTAAAAAAAATAAAAAAAATAAATATGTATAAAATAAATATTGTTTTTGTTTCACGTGTACATATCTTTATAATCGTGTTTAAAGCACAGTCGCGAGTAAAAATGATAAAATTGTAGATTTTTTTTCTCTAATTATGTGTTTTTAAATATTAATTAACTTTTAGTCATATAGTTACATTCTAGTTTAAAAAATCTTTAGTATCATCATTATTATTAATTATGTTTTAATACTTTACCCTAATAAAATACTACCAATAAGAATTGACAGTTGGAAAATAGGATAATTAGAATGAAATAATACGTTAGTTTATCATGCGAACTTTTGAAAGCATAATTTTTTATCCATATATAGTAAATGCCCATCCAATGTCCTATTTTGATTAATATTTGTTATAATTAGTTTAGAGGCAAATGAAAAAATATTTTTAAAAATTTACGTTATCTATGTATGATTGGGGTATAATTAATGATACAAATACTATAAAAAGATTATCCTTTACGCCTTGAACTAACTTTTATTTTTTACTAGTATAATTTTTTTATCAAATATTAAATTATTAGTATAAAATTTTAAATTTGTACTAACAATACGGTATATTATATAAATAAATATTATTATTAATAGAAAATTTAAATTTAATAATTTCATTTTTATTAAAAAATCTATACTAGCAAAAATTATTTTAATATTTTCTTTCAATTCACATAAATTTATTTATAGCAATTATTGTGCATTATTTTATTTTTAAAAAATTAAAAATAAAATTTTAATTTATAGAAATTATTGTAATTTTCTAATTTTTAATTTAATGATTTAGTTTGAAATATTTAAGAAAGCTGGTAAACATTTTATGAAAATGATCTATGACTTTCATAATTTTTATTATTTTAATAAATTTTATAATCAAATTTATATCATAATTTTTATATATAAAAAAGTCATTAAATAAGCGTTTATGTTTAAGTATTTACATTTTTAATACTCCTAAATCACATCAAACTTAAATTTATATTGTTTTATTAAATTTTTATTATAATTCTTTTAATTTTACTAAAAAAATTTATTATTTTGAATTTATAATAATTTAAAATAATTATGAAAAATTATTCATTAAATAATTCTATTAATAAACGATATGTCGGTGCGTTGTCGAGTTGTTAGTAAATATCTTTCAAATCGCTAATGCTTGTCTGTTAAAATGAAAAGGAATTTATTTTCCTAAATAAAGTTTCACAATAATTCTTGTGAAAGACAAAAACCAAAGAGGAAGAGTTTTTTTAAATAAAATATTCTTATTGATTTCGGATTAGTCGAAGTTCAGTACATGAATGGAAAAAAATAAAAAAAATCATTTTAAACAATGTTATTTGCTGGTATTGTCCTAAAAACAATAGTAGAAAGGTTTATAATAAAATAAATTATGATTAATTTATTTGTAATTCAAACGTATTTAATAATATTGAAAAAATAAAATATATTGTATTAAATGAATAACGTTTTAAAGAATTATGAAATTAAATAATGTTCATTTAAAATAAAGAAAAATATTATTTATTCTTCCAAAACCCTACTTTCAAGCACATATATATGCAGTTCCAACACTTTGATACCCTATAATTTGAGTGTGTGTCTGAAGAAATTCATAACGAGAATGGTGAAATGCATATGTAATATTCAAAGACAAATTGACTTCAACTTGCTCATATCTGGTGTAAGCTGTACATTGACAATGAGCACACACACAACACATTGCTAACTGAAAAAGGAGAAACTACAAATGTGCAACACTCCTTATATTCTTTAAAGTAACCATCTTAAGCAAGCAAAGCACCTTGCTATATACAATACCAACGTTTGTTATACATTACTTTCACCATCTTTTTATATCACTTTCATATTATATGTATATATATTACATAACTCATTATTTTACAATCGGATCTACATAAACAAAAATGAAACTTGTGAACATGAAATAAATATGAAAAATCCTTTAACTTATTCCTTTTAAAGTAAAAGTGTTTTGGACTATCAAATTGATTTTTTTCTAATTTGAGTTGTTATCCTATTATTTTTCTTTGATTTTTTTTATAACCACTTTAATTCTTTATAAAGCTCAACTTGATGAAATTGTAATTTTTTTCCTCAAAACTTGAATTTATCACTAAATTAAACTCTTGTTTTTACCACTCTAATCGTATTTAATAATTAATGTGATAATATTTTAAATTTTTGAAAGACTAATTTAGTAATGAAATTTTAAAAATTAATGATAATAATTTAAGATTTTAATAAATTAATTCAATGATATCAAAATATTTAAAAGAGCTATTTGATTACATCATTTTCAACTTTGAAAGACCAATCGTTATTTTTCTTAATAAAATATCCTTATATATAAATTTAAGTAAAACTGGAAATGTTGTCGACCAATTAAACACACGTTTAAACGTAGCTTTGACATTTATATGATGGGGCCGGGGCTGCATTCCAATGTTACTTTCCATAATATAAGGCTTTCTTTCTGTCTTCATATCAAAATTTTTATTTATTTATATTTTCCTTCTTTTCCGCAGCTAGCTATAGCCATTGTATGACCAACTCGCTATATATAGCGAAACCTTGTATAAGAACAATCCACAGCTAGAGACAGAGCAAAAGATAGATAGAGAGAAGAAGAGGGTAGGGAAATGGAAAGTGAGAGTGAGATGCTGATCCCATGTTTTGATTTTCGCAAAGCATTAGAAGAAGGGAGTGAGGAGTGGAAAACAATGAGCAAGAACGTGAGAGAAGCGTGTGAGAATCATGGTTGCTTTCTCTTCATGTTTGATGAGATCCCAAAGGGTCTACGTGAACAAATGTTCATGGGAATGAGAGCATTGTTTGATCTACCCGAAGAAACCAAGAAAAAGCACACGAGTCCAAAACCTTATAGGAGCTACAATGGCAAGAACCCCATCATTCCTCTTTGTGAAAGCTTTGGTATTGATGATGCTCCTCTACCAGCTATGGCTGAAGCCTTCACTAACCTCATGTGGCCTCAAGGAAACCCATCTTTCAGGTACTTAATTCTTTTTATTGTCATTTAATTACTTTTTAATAGCATGCGCATATCATGAGATCTCCTTTTAATTGGTTTCATTTAATAATATACATGTACAACATTTTAGTAGACCTGTAACTAGTAAGAGTCAATTCAAATAAACACTCAAAAGTCAAAACACTTGGATGCAACCATGGTCTTTTTATTATTATTATTCTTTTAATTACTTTCTTATGTTGCTGTTACTACATGCTTATTACTGGATTGGCCATGGTATTTTTGCTTTATTTTGGCTTAAAATCCTGGATTTGAATTACAATATAGAAGCCACAAAACCGTTCATTAATACCTGCTGATATCATATTTATTAGATGATTGATTATTTCCATTCTACTCTGAGGATAAATTAGTTGTTACACTTTTTTTTTTCATTTAGTTGACGTCGTGATTATTTGCTATGTACTGATTATTGACTATATCTTATAATATATATCAATAATTCATTAAAATATAACTAACAGCTTATGAATATTTAATAATTCGTTAAGGTATATACTGAAAAGAAAAAAAAATATCGATCTAGCAAACAGAAAAACTAGAGTACATATAAATTTCCCTAGTGCAAGAAATATTTAAAATATTTTTATTGATTAGTTATTTAAAATGTATTGTTGTCGGGTTTTCATAATATAATATGTCATATAATAATGAATATAATTAGTAAACAATGAATATTTTATAATTTGTATGAACTTCCACTCATTTCATTGGGTTGAGAAAATGCAAGTCATCTACTTTCTTTAAACTCACAAATTTTCCTGTCTTAAAATAGAACACTATCTTTTTCTCTAAAAAATCTGTTATTAAAAAAAAAATTCAGGATCTATTTGTTTTGGCGGTGTTTGAATGTGACACACTTCGCCAAATTCTATCAACGGCCCCTTGTTTTTGCATGAATTACAGATCAATAAAAGCATTTTGTCTTTGACAAAACTACATTTCTTTTTCACAAGCGTTAAACCAATCAGGCTCTTAATATGTCTTTTTCGTCGATAATTCGGTGAAAAGAAAATTAATGAGTCAATTTCGTCACGTAAGAAAGAGTAACGAATTCTTCTTTTCCGGAAGTTGTTAGAATTAATTTAAAAAAGACAACATCAATACCAGTGAATTGCTATAGAAGCAATTTCGTTATTAAATATGATGTTTTTATGGGCTGTCAAATATTGATTGTTATTTATCTAGGAAATTATGGTTAATTAGTTTTTAATCAGTTTTATTAAGTTTTTCCTTTAAATATGTTCGTTGAATTGGAATGAATTTCAATAAGTATGGTAAAGAGGTGGTTACTATATTAACTACATACATTTTTGTTTTTGAATATATTATTTTCTTTGCTGATGGGATGGGACAATGACATGCAGCGAGACACTGAAGTCTATGAGCTCAAAGATGCTAGAACTAAGCTTCCTCATCCTGAAAATGATTGTGGAGGGTTATGGCCTTCCCCGGCATTACAATTTGGATGTTGGAAACATGAAGGGCTCTAGTGATTCACGGTTGATCAAGTACCAAGTTCCTAAAAGCAACAATGACTCCAAGAATGCCCTGTTGCCTCACACTGACAAAAGTGCTTTAACCATTCTATTCCAAAATGACGTCCAGGGTTTGCAAGTGCTATCCAAAACAGGCAAATGGGTTGGATTAGAGGTACCCCAAGATGGCTTTGTGGTCATTATTGGTGATATACTTAAGGTGTGTATAAAATAAGAGCTTTATTATGTTCCACTACTTATCTTCTTAACATTTTTTTTTTAAATTATTGTCTTAGAAATATGAAAATATTTAATAATTAAAAAGATTTGTAGACAAAGATTAGAACAATATTGAGTTATATATTCAGAGAGTAATAGTTAGTGGTTACTTAACTATAATGAATTGAAGTTGTTATATAATATTAATTAAATAGTTACAATTGTGTTGCATGAATGAATAGGCATGGAGCAATGGGAGGCTTCATGCAGCCACACACAGAGTGGTGATGAGTGGAGAGAAAGAGAGGTACTCGTTTGGGTTTTTTGCAATGCCAAAGGAAGAGGTGAATATTGAGGTGCCCATTGAGTTGGTAGACGACAAAACTCATCCTCTCCGTTATCGTCCATTTAATTATGGAGAGTACTTCCATTACTTTGTTTCAACTCTCAAAGAAAACGCACTTGAAGTGTTTGCTGGGCTTTGAAATTGAAAAGTGTTTTATATAATATATATGCATAGGAGCAAGGCAAAATATACTAGGGGTCGCTATAAGACTCTATTTGTCTTTTGTGTAATGGAGAATAATTAGACCAACTTTTGCATTAAGATCTATTGCAAAATACAAAGACTTTTCATATTTATTATGCTTATTTGTGTCCCTCTCATTATTAGTTGTATATAAATATATTATTATCATCAGTATTTTCAAGATCATTATTATTATTATTTCTTTAACTTTCGTGGGATTTAAATTGATCATTTGGTTTTTTTTTTTTTTTTTGCATGTAAGAATCTATTGAAAATGGAAGAAAGAACTTACAATGAACAGGGATTTTTCTACACTATTTTAATAAGAAAATGCATTCATATTTTGTATTAGGGTCAATGTTTGAGGATGAAGTATGAATTTGCAAAAAAATAATGTTTATAAATGACACGAAGAAATGGGTTATTGATTTGTCCTTGGTGCTTGTTATGATTACCTTCACTTCAATCTACTGACAGCACGTACAGATTCTGCTCACTATTCCATTTGTTTTGTCCAAAATTTCTTTTTCTTTGATATATATGGTGCTTGTTCAGTATATATATATATAATAAAATAATTCATGAAGTTCAAATTTTAATTATTAATTTTGTATTTAATGATTAGTATTTTATATATACTTTATCATATAAAGTCGTGTACCCCACACAGTAGAAGAGTCAAATTCACCTATCCAAAAAGTTAAGGATATCCTAGAAATCATCATAAATGATACAGCTATTTTGAGATTCCAACCTTTTTCAAGCCTAAAGCAAAACAACATAATTCTCTCCAAGAATAGAAGAGTTTAGGAAGAAGTAAGCATGGATTCCAGCTTTTCCATCCTTAGTCTTTTTTTTTTTTTTTAATGAAAATAGTACTTTATGATTTATTGATATTATTATTTAAGTTAAAGTTTGTTATTTATTACCCCTTTAGATATATATAGTTTCTAAATCTGTTTTTTCTCTTCTACAAAACTTGAGTAAACCCCATTCTAGTGCTTAAAATTGTTATCGTTTTAGTTCTTGATTATTAAAGTTCTTATTTTAGTTTTTTTGGGTGTAAAATAACAATTAAAAATGAAATAAAAATAAGTAAAATAAATTATTATTTAAAATTAAAGACTGAAGTAAGAATTTTGTAAAATTAAAGATTAAAATGAACCAATATCTTATAATTTCAGAGGTTAATTAAAATTTATTCTGAAAATATTGTCAAAACCAAATATGCTTAATTTATATTTTTATGATAGTCGATTTTATATCACTAATTCATTTCTTAAGCACAAAATAATGTCTTTGTCGGAATTTGACAAATTATGAATTTGATTAAAAGTGAAAATACAGTAATAATCAAAATGCCAACACAACAAGTATTAGACAATTGAATTAGTTTGGGTGCTACAATTCCGACATTAACCTTAAAATGGGAACACTATTTCATACGACAGCAATATTATTCGTGTTTGTAGAATACTATTGTTTTTTTCGTCAACTGCTTATATAACTAATATTTTTAATAACAATGGTACTTTTCTTTTTGGTCACTCTCAAAATTTTAAATAGCAATTGTAGTTGAAGTTGTGAAATGCGGCTCATGTGAATAATACTGATTGTGATGTGCTTGAGAGACCTTCAGGATCTTCATATTTTGTCTACTATTATGATTGCAAACCAATTTTTAATGCCTTTCCAATTAAAACTATATAATTCTACCTCAATACAATTAAATATCATTGTTATATCATAATAAATTAATAACACTGAATTTTTTCATTTTTTTCACATTAACTCAGGTCATCTTTAATGTCATTAATTCTTTAACTAATTTTCTTACTTCAATCTTTGAATTTCTTACTTGGAGCTTTTAAAAAATCCTATCCACGTGTTACACATCCTATTTTAACTTTAATTTTTATTTCATTTGCAGTAGTAAAAGTCGATTCCACCGTTAATATGTAATGTTCTCACACACTTCCTTTTTAAGATAGAAAAGGGATTTTTTTTTAAAAATTCAATTATTATTTTATCACAAAGAAACTTTATGGAAAATAATAAAATATGCGAAAGAAAAATGTTATAGTAAAAAAACACGAGATTAAGTACCATGAAATTAACTCTGTTAAATTAAAAAAAAACCATGAACTAAAAAATGAGAACATATTTATTTTTAATTTTAATTCACGTATTTTATAAAATAAATAATTTTTTATCAAAGATAAATACACTCTTACGTTCTCACTTATACATTTAAAAAATTATTTTTCATTTTCACTTATATATATTTTATTTTCATTTTCTCACTTACAAAAGAAGTCAGCCATATCAGATACGCACAACTATGTTCATTTTTTCCACATATATATATAAGCTTAAGTAAATTAACGATATGTATATTTCAATAGTTTTTTAAAACCGTAGTTTTTCATTTGCCATATTTTCTCGATTTTCTCCTCATTAATCAGACTGGTCTAACGGGTACTCAACAATCCAACATGTGACTGTGTGTTTGGACTTCCAATCTAAGAAGTCCACTTATAATTTCTAAAGGATATGAGGCATATGGGCTTCAAATAGATGGATCTAGATCCTCTATAATTGTTCCTATTGAAGAATTTTAAAAATAAAATTATTTTTTTTTATAAAAAATTATATTGAGAGTATATTAAAAATTGTAATAAACAATGTATTAATATTAAATTTTAAATAATCATCGGAATCATATCATGATAACTATTATTAAAATATGCACATCAATATAACTATTGTTTATATTTTTATCATAAGAAAACCATAATATACACTTATAACAAATTATCTTTCCATCATCAATAATTTATTTTTTTATTTTTTTATTGTGTATATATTTATAGTTGAAGATAAAAAAATTTAAAAAATAACGCTTATTAATATTATTTTATTCAATAATTATTTATAAACGTTAATCATTTAATTAAAATATTTTATTGAGTATACAAGTCTATACAAATTTATATAAGTAAAAATAATAAATATTTTATTAAATAATTTTATTTTATATATAGTATATATTTTTTAAAAATATAAATAAATATTAAATTTAAAATTATATCTTTATTATTATTTAATTTATTTAAAATTTAATATACACGATCAATATGTAAATATTACATTATTTAATAGTTTAATTAATAAAATATAATTCTTATAAATAGTTATTAAGAAAACTAACATTAATCATAATTTTTTAAAAATAATTTGATCCTTATTCTATATTTATATGTATGCTGTGTCATTTTATTTAGGAAACTAATGAATAAGACAAAATTCATTCAATGAATTTTAAAACTAAAAATAGATTGTAAAAAAACTAAAAATCACAATCCAAACTATTCAAGAACTCGACTGAGGCAGTATTAGCTAGCATGCTGAAGTCAGTGTTCAGAACTAAGAAGTAAGAAAGAACAAAGAAAGAAGCACGATGGATGATAAAGACTCAAACTCAATAACTATTGAGCAGATTTTGGATCTTCTCTACGCTGCCGGCTACGTCGACGCCGTAAATTCCGATGCGTCGCCGTCTCAGAAGATCGCCGGTGGCCTCTCTTGGTGCATCGCCGCCGTAATGCAAGTATCTCTTTCTTCCTTCCTCTCAGTCAATTTGGTTAGGGTTTTCTTCGGCGCTCAATCTTGCTAACTCGCCTTGCAGAAACGACGACAATACACGATGCATCGAGGAATCATTAAGATTAGTTGGATGTCCGTTTTCTCTTCGATCTTCTCATGTTCAAGATCTTGACGCGGAGGTTCTTTTTCCTGTAATTCAATGGCTTACGTCACACCTTCCATCAAATCAAGAACACCGCGTCGACGAGGTATTAGACTATTGCTAATAGTGACCGAAACTTTTGAATATCTCATTCTTTAGAATCATTTCTTAAAATGGAAGGACTGGTTATGTAACTCTTTGATGAAAATGAAAGGGAAGCTTCGAGGATATTTGAGTTATTTCGATGGTTTCGTAATGTCTTCGCATTTACCTTGTGTTTATTATTTGTTTAATGCAGTTCTGATTTTTCGTATCCTATGGAACCATAGGTTTGTCATGTTGAAAATACTATTGAAGTGGATGGGTGTGAAACTTCGATTAAGACATTGAGTGGCAACTTGGATGAACTGGTTGGTGAGACGGATGCCCCCATCCTCCCCTCTTTGTATTCTTTGATTGTTAGCTTTGTGCTTAATCTGTTAATGTTAATAGAGATTGTATATATATTTTTTTGGTCTAAAGAATCTCCGGAAGATGAATGTTGTGAAGCAATTAGATAATCTACGAGAGAGAATCAATAAGGAGGGTGCTAATTCTGCTGTACAGAAATTGGTCTCTTTAATGACGTCTCTGAAGGTGAATTGCTTCTTTGAATTTAGTAAATATTCAAATTTTCAAACCTGCCATATAGTGCAGGGGATTTAACTATTTTTAATTAACAATTCCACAAAAATTGAATATTATGTGATGCTTATGTTATTCACTCTTTGTTCAGGATCTTGAAAAGCAGGAAATTTGTTTTCAGTCCAATCGTGATTCTAAGCACTTGGAACTTCAAGCTGAGATTGGTGAATTGGAGAGGAAAATAGCAAATGATTGTGAGAATGAGAACCTCTCTGATGAGCTACATCATTCTTTTAGTGAATTAATTGAAAAAGTCAATTTGATGAAAAAGGTAAAACAAATTTAATAAATGGACGTGTCTCCTATTCTTTTTATTCTCGTTTTGTGTCACTCAATTCAATGGTTTTAAATTGTTGTTGCGGTCATGCTGCAATTGGTGAAATTGTGGAACATGCAAGCAAATACGGCTCATGCAGTTGCAAATGCAGTGACAATACAGTTGCAAAAATATCCCAATTGCAATGTTGTAGCTGAAATTGCATTTGTGAAATGCTGTATAGAACCATACACTTCCTTGGATTATTTCTTGATCATTGCATATTCCATTGTTTCAATGACTATATGCTTCATGCTTTTATCCTTTGTGTTAGCAACTTGCTGCTAGACTGAGGGATATTATGGCAGTAAGACGAGAGATTGACGACCTACCATGCCAATCAGAATTCATCCAGTATGTTTGTTTCTTTCACCTTTCACTGATACACAATTTCCATTTTCATTATGCTCCTTAAAACTCTTTGCTGAATGAAGTTATAATTATGTGCAACTAAACTAATTCAGGATATCTTCTTTCAAATTTCATTTGCACATGTTTTCATATGCTCCTATACTCTTGAAAGCTCTTCTTGAATGGAGTTAAAATACATGCATTGCTTGATTCCAATTTTGTTTTATTAGAACTCAATAGAATTGTTTTTTAAGTTAAGATATGTTCTTCATTTCCACAATATTTTTGTTTCCTAAACGTTTGGGCAGGGTTTGATTACAGGATATGGAGAGACCCACATTACTTAAAATTGCAGGGGAAATTTGGTAGAAAGATACCACATCCCTGTTTACTTAAACACTTACTAGTCTTAAAAATATATTTATTCATGTGGGAGTTATCTCCCAGCTACAAATGTATCCTTGTATGAGATGAAATAGAATATGTAACATGAAAGAAATATCTTTAAAAAATAACTATAGTTAAGGTGCATGGAACAGGGAAAGCAATGCCATGCATGTTTGACATGGTTTGTTCAATAAGAGTGTCGCACCAAGTTGTCTTCTTAAAAATATTATTTACTGGATATTTCTTTATTTTTGTGTCTGTGTAGGTATGAATGCCGGCTCTCAGAACTGTATGCTCAAATTCAGGTTCATGAATTGTTTTTATGAAAAGAGAGTTTATTGTGAATGAAAGAAAAGAGAAAAAGTTCACTTAGAGGTAGAATAATACCTTATAATGTTTATCCAATCACTAAATACTATGCAACCTACAATGCCGTTGTGCAGGGGAAACATCGACAAACTCGTAAATACTATGCTACTTACAATGCTCTCTTGGAAATAAAAGAATTGATGTTGAAGGAAACGTCTTTATTGAATTCGATCATTTCCCAGGTATATATTGGAGAATTGGAAACATATTGTAACTTTTCTTTAGCATTTGGTTCAGTGGTCTTTCTGAGAGTTTAATTTTGAAACATTATATACATAATCTTTGCACCTATTCAATATTCTTCTGCTTGTATATATGCTTAGCACTCCTGCTGATCAAATGTTATGTCCTTGTTTTTAATTTGTCTTCTGATTTTTCTCAAAGTTAAATTCTCTTTGGTTATTAATTTTCAATAAGTTGGTATTTCATTCCAATTTCTTTTAACCAAATCCCTCATATAATGAAACTTGAGACTAAACTTTTAGCTGCATAACAAAGCATAAATATTTTTTCATGAAGTATATGTTGAGCATTTTTTTATTACTGACCCCATTGGATTTTATCGGCATTATAGATCTTAGATACATGTATTAGAACATCATATTGATATAATCTTGTACTGTTAAGTAAAAATCTGTGTCTTTTCTATAATGTTATCTAAACAAGTTTTAACTGTTATGTTTCTTTTCACTCGGTTGCAGTTTCAACAGGCCTTTAGTAGCACCGATGGTCGTATAAAACTTGTTCATTCCATGGAAGGAATTGTCAAGGGAAGTCAACAGGTAATGCTATTTTCTGACATGTGTAAATTATAAATTTGGAAGAGTTAACTGCTGCTCTTCAGGTGTTGTGTTGATTTTAACACAAGTATATTAAAATTATAATTTAGATAATAAATCTGTGAATCCATGTTTAGTTTCATGATAATTTTGTGGACAAAAGTCCTTATATTTCCTGTTTGGGGCAGGCATTATTAATTTTAGTAGACTATAAATGTTAGCAATTTATTTTTTTAATCTGCCCCCTGTTTATATTCATTCACTAAATGTGTTTTCTGTAAGTGTTTTAACTGCCGCACTTATGTGCAGAAGCTAGAAAGGGTTCAGCTAGGGCTTCAAGAAGAAGAGAGAATTCGTGATGATCTCAAGGATAGGTATGCTACAGCAAATGGTGAGCAGAGGCGATGCTATTCTCTGTTGAAAGCTTTTCAGGTAAGCTTTTCGGTTCATCAGATGGCAGTGTAGGTGGCGCAGAGTTAAGCTTATTGGTTATTTTTTTGTGCTAATTCTGCATCGTTTTCTTCTTCGTGTGGGCCTTTTTCCGCGCTCCATAATGGATGGCTGTGTTTACCTGATAAAGCATAAGTATATTTTAAGAATAGAATTGATCAATTGGCAGTTTGGCATAGCATCTATACAGACTATGTTCATCATTTGAACTTTATTCGATTACTTTTCCTTAAATAGTGTTGTTTAGTAAACGAATATACTTAACTAGTTTACGGTGTTTTTTTCTACACGCTACTTAACATAGCATTTGAGCCTGTGATTTACTTTTTTTTCATCCTCAATATCCTAATAAAAACTCTCATTTATCGTATCTTTTAATATCATATTATTTATTATTTTAATTATCACACCATTTATACTATTCATTTAAAGTTTTTAATGAAATATTGATATTTAAACAAAAAAGCACAAGAGTTCAAAATTAACTAGATCATCTAGAATTATATAAATAACCCTCGAAATAGCTTTGCTTTAGGTTATGTGTTTCATGTTAGCAGAAATGAAACTTTAGTCGGAAATCTAATAAAACTTTCTTTTGTTAAAAACTCTGATTCTATTTGGTACGAGGAAGTTCCACCTTTTGTTATCAGCCTATTCATGATAGGTGTAATGACTTTGGCCAATTCCTAATATTTATTATGACACTTACAACATGCTAAAAATATATTCTTGTTTATAAAATAAAACTAGAATTTATATATATATAAAAAAAAAAGCTGTTTGAGTGTCTTTTTCTGTTACTTTATATTTATCAATTAATACAATATTAATTGTCAAACCTTTACAAATTAAATCTACCAAAAAGGAAAACAAAAATTTGTCAAAATTTCAGCTGAAAAAATGAATTTTTTTTTAGTTTTCATTTTTTTTAAAAAATCAGCTAATTAATCTATTATTTTTGTGAAATATAACAACTTTTGTATGGCAGCATACTAGGGATACGAATTATTTCAAAAATAACAGGTTATATGATTATACTCCAGTAAGACTCATTTAGAAATCTATATCTAAACTAGTCTTATATAAAAATTATACTTATTTTTATACTAGCAATGTAAATATGCAAAAACTGTAAGAGGAGACTGTGTAATTGGAACAATAACAGTAAACTATAATAACAGAATAAGAGTAAGAAGTGGGAGGAATGAAAAATAAGGGAGAGGGTTAGCAAAGGCAGTTTTGCCAACAACGCGCGGTGTTCTTTTATTATTGCACAACCAAGTGTCATGTGTCATGCTGTCAATGACTTCTTTTTAAGCATGTTTTGCCCAAGCAACGAACAAAACTCTGAATGTGGATCACTTATTAATTCCAGATAGTTTCATCCATGCTAAATACGAAATTGATTTCTACTTTATTTTTTATATGTTTTTCCCTTGACATGGATAAAACGAAGTGAACAAGTGTCAAAAAACCATTTCAGTTCAATAATTTTGTTTACATTCTTGACAAAATAGTTTAAAAAAAAAAAATTTATCAGAAAGTTCCGATGCAATTTGGACGTTGATCCAATCTTCATTACTCATTCTTTAGCGTTGCTTTTTTTTTTTTTTTGGACTCTTATTAAATAGGTTTATCTAATGACCAGGCCGAATTTGCAAAGAATGAGAGGTTTCGGTCCCAGAATTCCAAGTGAAAATTGCTGACAACTTAGAGGTTGAGTTACAAAATATGTGTATCTTGTCAAAGCAGAGAGGTTGTGCTCACACCTCGTGTATTTTATCTTTACCATGATGGTGAGGAATTGAACAGAATCATCTGTAGTTCAAAAACTGATGAGTGAAGTGCAGTTGTGATAATTCATATTCACTGACTACATTTTCTATTTTAAGGTAAAATAAAGCATTTTTAATGGTTGAGATTTTTGTACAGGTTTTTCTGTAACTGTAGACGATCCCAGTGAGGATGAAGAATTCTCCAATTGATATTCAACTCTTTTTTAGGCGTTGAAAATTCTTTTGCTGTAATTTTGAAAAGGGACATTTTTTTTTATTAATCTCACCGATTTACTTTAACATAAAGGTCTTATTATTAGAAAATTTGTTATTAATTTTTAAATGAACATTTATTCTTAAGAATTTGAAGGAAGAGAAAAAGAAAGGATTTGAAAGGAAAAGGAGGAGTGCAAAAAGAGGAAGGTGTTAATAAAAAAAATTTCAATTTAGAGAACTACAGAACATTATTTTAGCATAATTATGAAAAATTTATAAACTCTTCTTTTCTCATTTAAAAACTTTTAAATAAGGATTGTCACTTAGTAAATATTCTTTCTTTTATTTTTTTTTCCTTAAAAACTAACTTCCTAATCAAGCCTAACCCTCGTCCTTTTTTTCTCCACTCTTTTTTTTCTTCACTTTCTAAATTCTCAAACAAAACATTAATTTTTAATAGACTATTAGATTGACTAATTTAACTATTGAATTATTTTATATTATTTTTACAATTGTATATATCAAATTTTACATAATTTAAATATATATAGGTATGTTATTTAAAAGTTAATATATATTTATATTTCAAAAATATAATATTAAAAGAAAGTAATGTGATTAAATATTTATAAATTTTATTTTTATATGAAATTTTATAAAATTTATTTATTTGATAAAAGTTTTAAACTACTAATTAGATCAGTTAATTTTGTATTTTATAAAGAATTATAAAGAGATGTAAGTGTTTAAACTTTACATTTTGGATCATTTTGTAAGTTATAAATGGGTAGTTGACTGTATTTAAGCTGTATAAGTATGACAAAGTGCGCCTTCTTTGATCAATACACTAATCTTCCAGCTTCATGATTAAATTTTTAATTGATCAGATCGAATTCAAGATATTAAAGATTACACATATCAGGCCGGTTTTGCTAGGTCAAATATGAACAGTTAATATTTTAAAATAAAATTTTGGGCTATTAAAAGAAATTAATTGTAACTTATTTGTGTACATGAAATTGATTCTAATTATCTCTTAAATTATTTTTGACATAACCCGTTACAATGAGTTTTCTTGAGCTTACTTTAGCAAATTTTATTATTAAATTTATTATTTAAAATTTTTTAAGTTGAAGTTCTTATATATTGTTAAGTTTATTAATTAACCTTTAATTTAAAATACAATTTTACACATGTACTACAAATATATATATATATATATATATATATATATATATATATATATATGATGAAATTGGAATGTGTGCTGATTTATATAATTATTTTTATTTTTATTTTTTTCTTGTCATTTATTATTTTATTATGAATGTTAATAATATACTATTAATATTTTTATTATTATTGATTAAAATTTAATAAAAACTACAAAAGTGAAAAAGAATGAAACTCATAAAATTTTTATAACTTTTAATGAATTTCAAGTTATAATTAAAGATATGTTAAAAAATATAAGAAAATATATTGCAAGCGTTTCTCTATTTCTTTTTACATCTTCATTGTGTTTGGAGTCAGACTCAAAGTCAAATTAAGAAATAGTAGTGTTTGTGGTAAATATCGGTTTTGATACATTTTTCTTCTGGTTTACGGTACACGTCTTTGTGGAACTGTATGAAAACTTGAGGACATTATAATGGCGATGACTGAGACTTGCATTACCTCATGCATGTCCTCATGCATGTATCTTCTTAATTTCAAAATGTTTTACATGCTCTTCCGTGAGTTCAAAATTCATGCAAGAAAGCTGACTCCATCGCCGAAAGTTGTACAGATAAACAATTCACACACTGTTCGAACCATTTTGTTCAAATTTATCGATATTATAATCAAATAAATATATTTAAATTCACTCTGTTTTATTCTTTATTTTTTAACCAGATATATGTTAAATAATAAATTAATGAATTAAATTTAAATTTTAACTTACTAAATAAATGAGTCAAATTTAAACATTCTTTAATTTTAACTATTCAATTTAAGTCATTTACACCCCTAAAGGAAACCAACTAAAATACACTAACAATTGTCAAAAGTTATCACTTTAAATTTAGATTTGTACTGAGAATGTCACGTGAATACTGGACATTGTGTGACATTTACGCCAAATCATTTGGAAGAGTTTGGAGAAAGCTTTGTCGCCATGCATGTCAACCCTCACATTACATGTCACATTAATACCACGACATAACACGTTAGATGCGTTAAAATGGGTCAAGTCATCACATTAGATTATATATGCTGGGAATAGATAACTTTGGAAAACCCACTTTAATAAACTGTATATAAATTTTGATATAAGTGATCCCATGTATAACACATTGATGGAAACAATAATTTTGTATAGTTGAAATATGCTTTGTTAGATGACTTCTTGTGAAATTACATTTGAACTAAATATATGTTTTGTCATTTCAATAGACTGTTTTTTAATTTCAACAATTTTTTTTTTGGTATAAGTTTAAAATGTAAATAAACTTTATTTTTTTTCAATAAATAGATTTGGTATAAACTTATTAAAAAATTACAAATATAAAAATAGAAGCTTTTATCTGTAAAATTTGTAAAAAATATCGATTAATTCACAGGTGAGGGCGAATTAAATTTAATCTCAATTAAAATTGATAGATATCCATTAAAGTTATGTAAAGAAAAAAAAATTACAAAGACATGTACTATTATTAAATTGGAGAACTATTTAAGTAAAGAGTTTTACAATAAATAGAATATTATAATACAATTTTAAAATTTTAAAGCAATAAATACATAAATTTATCTTTTTATAAATTCTTAATTTATCTATATCTTCTTTTATGTGAAACTCACTTCACATTTAATTTCAATATAAATGAGTATCAATGGTAATAGCAGTAAAAAATTAGAAAGCAGAGACATGATACACAGCGTAGAAGAATGATGTTCACCAAACTTAATAAAGTTGTTTATTCAGAACGGTGCACAATTGCACATCGCACTACCTAATTCAGTAGACTAACTGTTTATGATCGTGATATTCATAATTAAAGGTAAAAGCATACTTTACACATAAATGCAGAGAGATAGAGACTCAGCCCCCACGTACGTGCCATAACTAGACTAGGTTGTCACAATTTTACATCAATTTTATTTTAAATATTTAAATAATATAATACTTCCTGTAATTTTTTCTATAAAAAATAAAAAATAAAATTATCAAGATTAAAAAAATAATTAATTCTATTATATTTTTCATAAATATAAATTTTATTTTAAAAATACCCATAATATTAAATAGTATAGTTAGTAATTTATATATTTAATTATACTAATAATAAAAAAATATAAAAAAAATTTAACAATTAGTGTATCTTAAATTTATCATTTATTTTTATAATAAGAACTAAGAAAATGTTTCATTTTGTTTCTTATAAAAAAGACAGGAGAGAGTATTTATATATTACTTTCATATCTTTCTTTTTTTTTATATTTACAAAGTGTTGGCAATTTTGTTTAATTTTTAATTAAAATTAAAAAAATTTATATTTAATTTAATAATTTTTTATATTTTTAATACATTTTTAAATATTTGTTAAAATTTAGTTCATGAAATATTAAAGAAATTAAAATTTAATTATTTTTGTCAACTTCTTTTCTGTTAAGCGTTAAATTGACTCACAATTTATTAATCAAATAAGTTTAATAATATATTTTAAATATTTATAAAAAATTAGTTAGAAGTGACTTTAATCTTTTTCTTTTCCATCACCTTCTTCAGCTTCTCCTTCTTCTGTTTTTAAGATTAGGAAAGTTTAACAAGCATCTTACTAATGGGCTAAATGATTTACATCTTGTTAAGAATCTTAATGTAAATGCATAGAACTTGTCATTAGAGTACTCCAAAACTAATAGGAATAAAGGAGAAGGAGATAAAAAAAGAGAATGTGATGAAAGGAAAGGAGATTAGAGTTCTAAATAACTTTTTTATAAATATTTAAGATATGTCAAAGACTTATTTATAAATAAAAATTTTAATAAAAAATTATAAAAATTTATCACAAAAAGTGTTATATTTATATGAATCAAAAACATAATTAAAGTTAAAATATTCAAAAAGTTAAATAACATAATAGTGACATACAAATAATGAACTAACTCTGTCTTATTATCAAAATTATCACAATTAGATGATGACAAAATTATCAAAGATCAACATTTATCATTTCTATTCAACAACATACGAATAGTTCCGTGATTTTGTCTAAGTGATTGTTGAATTTTTGCCTTCGAATAAATAGAAAAAAATAGATTGATAAAGGTCTGATCTGACTCATTATCTAAGATCAATCCTAAACTGGACGGATCATTTCTTTTTCTGATATATGAAATATGAGATTTAACTAAGTCAATTCTTAGGAAATCTCTAATCAAATCATTTGTACTTACTTGAACAAAAGAAGCGTGGACATTTTTGATAGAAGAACTTGTTTTGTCTTGATCCCAATTTAAAACTAAACAAGTCTGAACTAATTGAATCCTTGTATTAGAAATTCTCGGAATTGATTTTCCATTTCCAGAAAGAATATTATCCATTCACACTATCTTAACTTATTGCTAATACTAAAAAAATGAGTTTTTTTTTTTATTATTAGTATAATGATCTAAACGAGTCACACATACACCTGGTACATGTCCCTTGGCGCTGACGGCATTCCCGAAAAGCGGGGGATTTCGTGACATTTTGGATTGGCTGTCTTGTGTTTCTAATAAGTTGTTTCATAGTTGGCTGGTGAATCCTATAGACATAATGAGCCGGTTTATATCAATCCTAACTCGATGATTATGAATTACTTATATTTTATTAATTTAATAGATTAATTAATAGAAAAAAAAAGTTGTATTAAATTAAAAGGATTAAGGAGATAAAATTAAATCTCAAATCCTGTAAATTTTTTTTTAGAAGAATCTTAGTTACTAATTTTTTATTGAAGTGCTTTTAATTTGAGAAGAATGCTTAAAATTCAACAAAAAAAAAAAAGAAACCAACTCATAATATGAATTAATTAAAAAGAACTAATAACCAACTCATTGCTTCGAATTATCTAGATTTAAAGAAATAGTCAAAACAAAAAAATTAAATAAAGATATGATATATTAGTGATATAATTATAGCAACTCAAATATTGCAGAAAAAAAAATGAATATGATTATCAGTTGTAAAGCAATAAAATAAAAATATACAGATAAATGAAGAGGTGAAAGAAAGAGAGAAAAAAAATCTATGATATAGAATTCTAATATGTAAAAGTCTATAGGTCATCTCATAAAAAGAAGGGTAATAAAGCATCAATAGGAATTAATTCATATATAAATGGATATATTCATAACACAAACAAATCAAGAGTTCCAAATCAATAAAAACTGAGAAAGTTTATTCAAGAAAAAAGAAATAGTATTTAAAAAAAATCTTATAATTAGAGAGGCTCTGGTTGTAGAATTCAGACTTAACCATTAATTGAGAAGTGACGGGAACACGAAACCTGCGAATATCTATGATTTTTTTAAAACAAATCTTAATGATTCATTAGGTGGGATGGCGAAACAAACCAAAAAAGAATCCATTTTTTTTTTATTGAGGAATTATGCCCTACATTCCATCTGAATTTGGTAATAAAAGAGTGAATTGTCACCCGCAAAAATTTAGATTTTATTGAATTTTTTTTATTTTTGCCAATCAGATGTGATACGATATGATAATAAAAGAAAAAAGAAAAATAGAAATAAGAATTCGTTAGAATATTATAAGATAAAAAATAATATTATTTAGTTATATACAGATAGCAAAAATTGTCTTAAATTGTCTATAAAAATACATATTAAGTTATATATCAAAACAAGATATACAAATTTCCAATAGACTAATAGATTCTATGAATATACCATATATATATTATGGTAAATAGAAGACAAATTTCGATTAACAAATTTTCAATTGCGGATACATATGTAGCTTTACTATATTGAAATGACTTCCATTATGGGTATTAAACCAATAACGATTTATACAAGCTAATTCTTCTAATTTATAATTTGGCCAAAGAAAAATTTAGAAATTCATTTTCGTTATTTATATTCAATTGAATTTGATTATTTATTTATTTATTATTCTATTTTTTTTATTCTATCTATAGATAGATAGAATTCTTTTTTTCTTTAACCTATTTAGAATAAGAATATAGAATAATATATATATATATATATATATATATATATATATATATAGAATTTAGAAAATTCTAATAGATTATCTAATAGACTTCTTTTAATTCATTAATGTTTAGTAAACAAATATTACACTTTAATTGATTCTTTTGAATCTTGACAATTGACTAAAAATTGGTTATTATGATTTCGAGTAAGCCGCTATGGTGAAAAGAATAACTGAAAGAAAAAAATGAAATAATTATTCACTAAAGTCTCATTTACTCAATGACTAAAATTAAACGAGGATATATAGCTAGAAAACACAGGACAAAAATTCGTTTATTTACATGAAACTTTCGCGAGAATTTACTCAAACTATTCCTCAACAGAAAATTAAAGCTTTGGTTTCAACTCATCGGGATAAAGATAGCAAAAAAGAGATTTTCGCAGTTTATGAATTAGTCGAATAAATGCAGTAATTCACAAAAATCTAAAAATATACTATATTTATAATAATTTAATTTATAATATATACAAGAAGCAATTGCTTCTTAAGTGTAAAATAGTTACACAAATAGCTATATTAAAAGAGAATTGTCTTTTTATGATTACTAACGAGTTCATAAAAATTAAATTTTTTTAGAGACTGAACTCTAGAAAGGTATAGAATAGAGATTTGTATGAGAAATTGTGAAATCATTTAACTCTTCACCCATTCCAATATCAAAGATCAAATTCTAACTTCTTGATTAAATTTTAATAAAAAAATTATATGAATTTATAACAAAATATACTGCAGGATCGTGTATTTAAATAATATATTCCTAATACTCTTATTTATAAGAATGTAAACGTCTTGTTCACTTTAAATATGATGGCCGGAGATTTATTATAGCTTGAGGTCAGAAATTTGCATGTGCTAAAACTAAAACTTGGTGAACAGTTAGTGACACATCAACTTAGCACTCAACTTCTAAACTGTTCGTTATCCTTCCTACCACGACATTTTCCTAACACACACAAACTATGATCTACCAATTTTTAATAATTCATGAAAATATTATCCTCAATTTTTATAGGTTAATTTTAAGAACTAATAATAATAAAATTTTAAAAAATATAATAAAAATTATATCATTTAATAAAATTTTATAAACATTAATTTTTACCAATTCCATATATTTTAAAATTATATATTAGATATTAAAATAAATGTTTCAAAAATATTAATTGTTTTTTCAAACTTTATTTACTTAAAAGAAATTTTTAATTAATAGTTCATTTGATGAAATTTAATGTTTATAAAATATTATCGAGTGTAATAACTCTTGTTAAAGTTATGTTTAGAATAATTTGATTACTGCTCATAATTTACTATAATATATGTATTATCTCTCAATAAAAAAGTTAATTTTAAATACTTAAATTCAATGATAAGAGTTAAAATTAACAAAATTGACAACTTATTAACCTAAGTGATAAATTTACATAGAAACAAAATGAAGAAGCAAAGAAATTAAGGAACAGATGCATAATAAGATAACATAATATAGTAGTAGTTTTAAATACTAATGAAAGAAAGTGCTTCTCCAAGATTCTTGGCCTTAATTCCAATGTACTCTTTTACAGTGACAGGACGAAAACGTTGAACAGAGTTGAGATATGAAGTGGGCATAGGAGAAAGCAGATAATCAATGGGTGGAGAGTAGAAATAAGCCACAGAGTAACGTTGGAAGGTCCTATTCACAGTGACGCGGTGAAGAGCACATCGAAACCTTGCATTGGAAATGATGTGTAAGAGATCGCCTGTGTTAACGACCAGGGCGTTAGGGTGTGGTTGCACTGGAACCCACCCATTTTCTTCCCTAAATATTTGAAGACCTGTGGTTTGGCTTTGGTGTAAGATTGTGAAGAGAGAGGTGTCGGTGTGAGGGGCTAAACCCATGGCTCGGTTCGGTTCGGGACATGTCGGGTAGAAATTCAACTGAACCGCACCACAAATGTTGCTTCCACCAACCCATTCTCTTTTCTCCTCACTTATCTCCAACATCTCCAACATCATCTCTGTTAGTCGCTCTGCTATAAACTTCATCTGCTTCTCATAATTCTCCATCAAATCACTGCATCAGACATGGAATTTAAGTAATTATATAATGTTATCTAATTAAACTAATCTAAGTCTACATTGTAAATACCTTCCTTAAGACTCAATCATGCTTTAGCTAGTTCTAAGTTTATTATTATACATAAAATTTTAACTAAAACTTACTCAAAGGTTTTTAATTAAATTAAATTAATGTTTTAGTTTGATAAGTAGTATTCTTAATTAGTTTATAGCTAAAACCATCGGAAACTAATGAAATAAAATGTTGATTCTAATTGAAAATTACTTGTCGTGTATTTCTTTAGTTGGCTAGCTAAATTTATTCAAGAGTTTGAATTTATTTACAATATTCTAACAATAAATTTATTAGTTACAGAATTGAAGTTTTAACGGATAATTTTATCGTGTACCATGTGTTAGTTGGAATGCCTTAATCAAATAGAGCTTAAACGAGTTTTTTTATATATATTTTTTTCTCTTGCAAATGGAAACTACCCAGCCTTGCGATGCTTCATTTAATTTCTAGCTAGCTACGCAGACCAAACTAAAAATCTCAGCAAAGCAAAGCGAGTGTTTTGTCCACGTTGCATGGAAAGTGCATGAGATTGTACTTACCAAAACCGTGCATAATCATTAGGCCATATCTTTTTGGCATCATGAGAGGGAGAACCAATGATGGTAAATCCTTCATGCCACATGAACTTTGGGAAGAATGGTGATATCCTTGCTCTGCCATAGCCAGTGGCACCACCGGGAGATCTAAGGGCCTTCAACTTCTGCTCAGAGGGAAGAGAGAAGAGACGCTTTGCCTCATTTTCAACCCCTTCAATAACACTTAAGGGTATGCCATGATTCTTTATTTGGAAAGCACCCCATTGTTCACATGCAAGGCCTATGAGTTCCTTAGCATTAGGATCCATGAGGTCTATGATGGGTATGGATGATGATGAAGTATCCTTGAACGAAAAATAATCATTATCTTGAGATAGAGACCATGAGTGGGAATCTGGTAAGCTAAGGACTGAAGAAAAGTCTAAGGGGATAATATGACGGAGGTGGAGAGGGTGTTCTCTGTAGGCTTCAGAGAGAGTTTCCATTTTAATTAAGATGAAACTATTACAAGCAAACTAGCTAGAGATTAGGGTGCTATATATACATGTTGATTGATTGGAACTTAAATGTGTATGTCAAAATATTAAATAGCTTATGTTGATTATTTTTAAATGTTTTAGATGAATCTTTAGAATTAGTAGTGTTTATTATTTCTTGGTTATATATAGAGAGAGAGGGGTGTGATTAAGCTCTAATAAATATAGATCAGTCAATAATAATACACATTAGGAAAAGGGATATGGAAATTAATCACAAAAATAATCAAGATACACTTTAATATTTTATATATTTTAACAATGAGTATATATGAAGGGAGATTAGGTTAAAATGATACAGATGGAAGAAGGGTGGCTGTTGGACTCAGTGGTGTCGAGTTTTGGAATTGGGAGGAATGTATCGTTGAAAAAGACAAAAGAAGGAACAAGTTATTCTGAAGAGGTTGTAGCATCTGAAAGTCTTAAATAATATAAAAAGGAAAAGAGAAAAGGTACACAATAAAATTTAATATAGAACAAGTTATATGGGGTAAGCCAAGTTCTGGTTTTCAATATCTGGGAAGGGTTGCTTTCATGTGCAATGGTGCAGACAACAGACTTAGGGAGGAATATGTATTGCCTCTTATATCCTCCCTCCTTTTATAAAATAAAATAAAATAATCTGTAAGCTATATTTGTTTTAAAAATAATAATCTTAAAACCTTTTCATATATAATTAGTATGTTAATTTATTTATTTTTACCTTTTTTTTTTAGATTCAACTTTCATGCTAACTTAGAAATAGGTAAGTTAAAGCACAATAAAGGCGAGAAATTAAAGTTTCATGTGTATTTGGTTGTGAAAATAGTCACTTTTTTATTAGCCTTTTGATGGTTAATCGAAAGATAAACCGAGTTCTGATTAATTATTCGAGTCATGTTAAATAAACTTGTTTAAAAATAAAAATATTCTAATACTTATTTTTGCATTCATAATATTAAAACTTAAAAGCGTAGAAAAAGTAAACATCATGCTCTTGTACAAATGGTCATTTTGATGATGTGAGAATAGTCTTCTTTGTATAGTGTTCAAATATTTCACTTTAACAATAATTTTATAACGAAAATTATTATTGCATAATAAAAATTATTAAATTGGCATTTCAATAATATAATTAGCTAAACAACTTGGCTCATGTTGCAACCAGGTTTGAGGAATTAAACTTATGTGCGATCAAGGAATTTAATTCTGACAGGAATTCCTAGATTTCCGAAATGTGGTGTCTTTATTGGTCAACATTCTCGCGTGTTAAATCATGGATTTTTGCGGGCTGAGTTTCTGGCTTTGGGCTTAAGATCAGAAATCATGATAAGCTTTCACTTTTTCAGCAAAGCATAAGTTGACTGAAAATAATTCCAACGCATAAAACACTTCAAAATCTAGAAATATCGATACACTCACTTTTGTTCGCTTTTGTGGACTAAAAAGGAACACACATTTGTCACGTAGAGGCTAAAACTTAATGAACAATTAAATATGGATTAATTAGAGTGAGCTACTGATATGACACAGAATATTACCGACATTTTTTCCAGGGCAAAAAATTTACAGATTTGTGGTTTTTATAATGAAAAGTTGAGCAATGAATATTGTATATATTTATGTAAGAAAATTGCATAATATTACTTAATTTCTAAAAGCAGTTTTATGAAGTATGTTAAAATATTCATGTGAATAATATATTGTTAAAAAAAATTATCAACTGATAAATCAAAATTATTAAATGTTAGAATGACTTTTGTTCATATAAATTTTGCTTAACAAAAGTTAAATTATCACTAAAGACTTTAAACAATGTATTAATACTTGTATATTAATATTATAGCTGATAAAATGGACTATTTAGCTGATTCAGACTAGCTCATTGTGAACGAAAAATTTTAACTGCAGGGCTAGGTTAAAAGATAAGAACACAAAATCTCCTGACTTATTATATGAAAAAAAAAATAGATTAATTATTTTAAAAGATTTAGCAGCATTTAGTTGTTTTTTTATCATTTTCTTTTAGTGTTTCTAATTGATGCTTTTATGAACTTGGTATAACTTTCAACTCGTCTAATGTAATGATCTTTCAAGAATTTCAAGTGTTAGAATCAAAATAATCTAGATAAATTAAAAAATTAATATGATGGTAATCATATTATATTTTTTTAGTTCATATTAATTCCTTAAAAAAGTAATTTCTGAACATTGTGAAGGCTAAAATTCCTCTCGAAGAAAGCGATAAAAAGTTAGGATAAGTTTACTTTCTAAAATTTTGTCTTATTGTCCAAAATGCTATAAAAGTAAAGTCCAAAGAAAATACGTACAAAGTTTATATACGTGTCATGATATTCTTAATATATTCATGTTACATATTTTAATAGTTATTAGTGCTCTCGTAACATGCAAAGCCTGACTCGGCCAATGTAACGTTAAGATACAAACATACATATAACTTAAGGGTATCTAAGAATGTCTTAATATTGATAAAAAGTTTTGTATGGATTTGTCTCATTAAGTTTATGTGTGGCAGGAAGGTCAGAGATCTTATTGATGAGACAAATCTTGCATATTATGAAGTGGACCATATGTTGATATTTATATGTAATATTAATATTGAAAGCTGCCACTAACAGGAGCATATGGAACTGTGGTGATGCCTTTGCCATAAATAAATTAAAAAGGATATGATTCCCTTTGCATCACATAAGGTTAAAACTAAAAAGTGGAGGTGGGAACGTTTATATCAGATCAAAGTGTGTATATATGTGTGTGTGTGTGCAATAAAGACACTTGTGTTTGTTTTATGTGCAGGTTGACAAGATCACTTGAGCTTCTTTCGCAGGTCTCAAAGAAGCAAAGCCAAATTACATGAATGATGGGTGATCTGATGGAAAATACGTGAGACTGAAGTCATGTGAAACATGATGAACAAAACCAAATAATTCATGTTGAGCTTCAAACATGTGTGTATCTTTCTGTCAGACAAGTGTATCTATTAGTGAATAATGAAATTCTGTATTCAAAACTTAAAAGTATCATCTCATAAAGATTATATACTAAGTATTTAATTAAATCATTGAACTCTTAAACTTGGGATTTAAGATTAAATGTGAGAAGAATGAGGGAAAAATTAAGAGAAAAGAAATGAAATTACACAATTATTTTTTATTCTAAATCCAAGATTCTTTTTTTGGACAATATTTTATCTTATTTTATTGGATTCTTCCTAAGTTGTTTTTTGTATTTAATTATTTAGTTGAGACAAAGTAATTAATTTAATTAAATAAAAATAAAATAAGACAATAAATTTCAATAATTCATCACAATAAAACAAACTCAATACAAAAAATATAAACTAGATTAAAAAATAAAAATAAAAAATAAAAATTTCAATACATTTATTTATCATAACCCGTGGCCGTAGATTTAATCATTAATTCACAGTCATAAATAAATTCAGAATATTAACATAAATTTTAAAACAATCCATAATAAATAAATAAAATATTTTTTACCAGATAAATCTAATACTAATTTTTAAGATACTCTAACTTTTTGTTTTGGTCAACAGATGTCTAACTCTTTACTAATAATTTTTTTTACAACTCTTGAAACGAAAAGGCTATGCCTTTTAAATATCTTCAATATTATCTTTATTAAACATTTTATTACTATCATCATCAAATATTAATCAAAATTTTCAAAACTTTTATTTTATCTAAATATATCTACTTCCTTGATATTGTATAGAGAAATTATTGAAATTTAAAAATTATGACATGAGATTATAAAAAGTTTTAGAAAATATATTTCCAAACCTAAAAGGTATTTTTAATATTCTCATGTCTAAACATTTTTCAAGATATTCAGTTATAGAAAGTTTTAGGATATGTCAACCTAATATTTTATCTATTAACAGAACAAAAATATTATTTATTACGTTAATATAAAATGACAATATTATTATTAAAAACTCTATTTATGTTTGATAAATATTATCATAGTTTAATCTAACATTTAATTTTTAATATTATATATATATATATATATATATATATATATATACATGTTACAATTCAATTTTAAAGTGATTGGTTTGGATTGAATAATATGATTTTCACAAATTTATATTTAACTTGGTTAGAAGATGATAAAAAATAATATGTTGCACAAGAATAAATTTAAATCATTTTAAAACAAATACATCAATATATTAAAATAATAAAATATAACTTTAAAAGAAAAATTATCAAAAAATAATTTAGTATTACAATTTCATAAATATTTTATTTTTATTTTTAGTCAATTTTATGGTTTATATGAAATTAGATTAGCTTGTGGAGACATTCATGAAAAGTTAAAACTGAGGGAAGTACAAGTCAACTAATCAATAAATTGGGATAATTGTACACATTTCTACTGTATCCTTATTATTTTAGTGTTTTACTTTATTTTTAATTACTTTTAACTTTATTTTTATTTTTCTTATATCTCTTTCAATACATACATTTAATAAGTGTATAAATATCATTTTTCAAACAAAAGAAATCCAAGAAAGAGGAGCAAGCAAAGATGACAAGATGTTGGCACCAATCTCCGAAGTCTGCATCTACTCAAACAGTTCACCGTGTCAGGGTCGACAATTTCAATTCAGAAATTAAAGAAAAAATAGATAGAAAAGAATTAGGCTATTTAAAGTGATAAAAATAGGAAAAATACTTTAAATAGACCTTTACTAATAAATTTATGGTTAAAAAAAGATCAGTCAATGAGTTAGTAGGCCTTTTTCTTTATTTATGCTTTATTTTTTCTTCTATAAATAACTAAAAAATATTTTTTTAAAATTGCAAGTTAATAGGTAGATCGACAAACTCACTCAACTTACATGCCAATTAAATAGAAAAAATTAAAGCATGTTTGATTTTCTTTTTAAAAATAGTTCTTTGTTTTTAAAAATAAAATGTACAATAAATTTATACTGCATTTTATTTTTATTTTTAAAAGTAAAAAATTATTTTTAAAAAGAAAATCAAAGATACTCTTACTCTTTGCATTTTGTCATTCATTTTTTCAATTATGGACTGCAAAGTTCTTTCTCTGAGTCTAAAATTTAATTTTTAAGAATTTTATATCTTAAAAAAATTAAATTTTAGAATGAAATAAACAAGCTTCTGAAAATTAAATTTAAAAAAAAAGTGTAAATAAAAAAAAAATGACGCAAATAGCAATCCCACCATAAATGGGTCACTTACTTTTCAGTCCAGACCCATAAAATTTAAGGATTTTTGGGGCCAATTTATAGGTCAACCCTAAGTGAGAATTAGCACAAAAAAGAAACCAAAGAGCAAAAATAGCAATCCTCTTCTCATTTCTTTCTCTCTTTCACCTCATCACCACCTTCCTTTCTCCTTTCACCACCCCATTCTCCACATTTTCCACTTACAATTGAACTGCTAAAGACGCCCCCTTTCACCAGACCATTGTCACACGACACATAACACTATCATATCTATCACCGTTACTTAGCTTTAGTTTTGTCGTGTCAGGGTATTTTAAGTTAGCTAAATAATATTTAGATTTTTACATGCAAACTTGATTTTCAATGCTCCCATAATTTAACATTCATTTTTTTTTTGGTAAATGTTACATTTTAATCAATTAATCTTTGAAAAAAATTAATAGATGTGATAAAGAATACATAAAAAAATGTAAAGTGGGCATAAACACTTGAAAAATGAAGATCAAGATGTTAGTAATCTCGCCCTACATTCGGATACGGTAAAAGTTTTTCAATTACAGTAGTTATCTGGTACTTTTGATCCACTTCAGCAGCATTCATGCATGTGTATGTATATTATTAGTGTTTAAATAGACACACGAGATTAAAGCAGTGGTATAACTCAGGTTTCATAGAAGTTATTTCTATAAAAGAGCTTCTCCTCTAATATGTTGACTGTTTTAGACAATGATATAAAGGTGCTTCTAACGTTGAAATCACTTCATAAATTATCTTGATATATCTGTTAGGCCTCTTTAAACAATCATCCTATTCTTGCTTTCCCACATACATTTGAAAAAAGAAAGAAAGACAAAAGAGACCAAAGGGGAAGAGGGAGGGGGGGGGGGGGGAGTTGAAAGATCAGTAGAAAATTTGACAAAGGAAGAGGATGATACCCAATATAAATCAGGATAAGAGAAAGCTCTTCTTAAGCCTTCCTATATAAATAGGAACACAAAACCTTTCAGCCTCAAACTCTATCACTGTGCTCTTTTGTCTTCAGAACTGGGATCTGCTGCTTGAACCGGATTTCTTCCATCTTTAGCAAAAACGCTTCCTTGGTGTGCCCCTGCGACCAGTGATTCACCAATGCCAATCAATAACAAAGATAACAGTTCAAAAGTCGAGTCAGTCCACACTTATTTTTAGGAGAAAGCTTAAATGTAGTACCTTTAGTACTTTATGCTATTTTTCAATTAAAATTTTACCTCAAAAATTGGAGCTAACCTCTAATACCAACATTTATTATGCTGATTAGTGAAGGGAAAATCTTATTTGATTGGAGAATAGTACCAAAAATACCTAAGGTACTGTATCTAAATTTTGTCCTTATTTTTATCAATGAATCATTTTCGTATTTATTTAATGTTCTTAAAATATTAACCATCACATCCAATGACTAAATTTGCAGGAATGATCACTGGCAAACCTTGGTCCACCGTATTATTTTCCTCAGACAAAACAAAACTTTGACCTAAAACAAGAGAAGCGTTTTCCTATGCTTTGTGTCACAACCAAAATAAAAAAAACATTGAGTTGATTTAAGCAAGGTCAATTAGAAAGCATGTGATAGATATTCTACTGAATTTAGATAGCAAGGCCAATAAGGTCAACAAAAGAATGGCACAGGAAGGATTGGTATTCTCCCATAGTTTCGGGGTAAAAGATCTTTTGTTTTTGTAAAACTCCACTACTGGGAGTTATGATATGACAATAGAATGTAACCAAATCAAACCATGTACTATGCCTGAGGATTACCTGCTGGAGTAGATATTCGATCACCAGGCCCAATGGCATGGCTAGAACTGCCAGTAATAGACAATTTCCCGTGAAGCTCCTGTGGGAATGCCACATTACTCACTGCACCTGTTTCATTTTCTCCACTGTGCAAGTTACTTTCATTGACCATCTTTGCAGCAGATTTAGGAGAGAATGCAGTGGACCAAGATCCACCATTTGACCCAGCCAAAGCCATTATAATATCTGCCTGCATACATTAGAGAGCAAGCAAAAATCATGATAAAATACTAAACCATATTTGCCCATTTTTGCATGCATATAACTTCAGAACAGTAGAATGACTGAAGAGTAAATGATAAGACTGTCTGTTATTAGGCTTTGAAAGCAAAGCCAACCTACATGCTCTTCAAAACTTCCAAGAATATCATAGCTTGCTCATCAATTAATATTCAAAACTAGGTCTTGAAAAAAATTATAGGAGAAATCATTAAAACAGACTTTTTCCTTTACTGAAATTTTGGTTTTTGATCGTTTTAAAAGTGTGGATGTATCTATCCTTGACCTTGATTTGAATCGAAGTACCTTTGTAAACTTAACCAATTTTAAATCAAGGGTGGATATACACCTATATTATTCCTTGACACACTTGTTCTCTTGAGAGAATCCAAATCCACACATATGTACAATACAAATCGTTAGTAATTTGAAATTTTGGACAGATAAAATGAAAATAAACCAAGAACAGGTGGTACAGTACACTTGCTGCTCAACAATCACATCAATGTTAATAACAATATATATGAAAAAGAGATTTCTAACAAAGAAGAAACTAAGCATAAAAATATAAAACTGATTGATAGAATTAATCCATATTAAGAGAGGATCACAGAAGAAAAAATTGATGCAAACCAGAAGTATATATGAACAAATTTTGGACCTCAAGGCAATTGATGAGATCCCATCGCTGCTATCATATCGTTTCAGGAGAAAGCATATTTTTATGAACCAATTATCAAGTATCCCAGAAGCTTATAAACTATTACGAGACACACGAAGATTTTATTCATATTATATTAAATCTTCAGCACACCCTCTCATGCAAGAGTCCTTTAAACTTGGAGGGTGGAAAATGCAAAGGTGTATCCGCATGATGTTTAAATTCAAAGTCTCTTTACTCTGTCTTTTTTCCTTATATACCCAAAACCCAATAATTTCAACACTTACAAAAGAAAAAACACTGATCCTTATTTATTCTTTTAAATGAACTTATAAATTTGCAGTTATTAATCCTAAATAGCAGAGCGAATCAGTCAGACACCAGATTATTGGTTGCTATGAAGTCCTATCTATCAGCAACTATAGGTTCAGTACAAACACCAAATTCTGCAACTAGTAGGTAAAATAGGTTGTAGAAACTAAAACATAAGTGTGGTATGGAAATCAACCCTTAATATCGACACATTTCTCAACTAAATCAGTATGACTGTAGAAGGTCCAACAAGAGTTTATAATTTTCCTGCCATATGGCTTTTAAGAAAATGTAGTCTCCATAGTTTTACGAACAGAAAGAATGATTGCTAAATCATCCCACGAGTAAACAACTGTCATAAATTAACAATATAAAAAGCTTAAACTATTAGGTGAGGACACATGAATGGTCTTATATTACATCTCTTCATGCAAGAGCCATTTGACCTATGTGCATTTTTATTAGAAGAGTGAGAGTGGCAAGGATCAAACTCTCAACTACTAAGTCATAGACACTTTTATAACATTTGATGAATCAACAATCCCAAAACCATTAGCTATTAGGCAAAAACATCTGAATGGTTTTTTATAACATCTCTAACAATGACAAACTAAACTTTCAGGCCCTATTTCACTAAATGCAACAACCAAATATACCGTGCTAACAATCAGAGGTCAGACCTTCTGAGGGTGGACATCATCAAATACATGAGCTTGACCTCCATAAAAAATAGTCATCTGGCGGCTGACAGATGTTAGCCCATGTTGACTGCTGCCAATACCAAAATGCATGAAGTCAAGTAACATCTCCATTTTCCAAGGTAAAGGGGGTGAAAATAAAAAAGAATCAATGGAAATTGAGTAACTGTATTTATTATATACGTTACCTTGGAGATGTGGATGAATCTATTATATTAGTTACAGGCTTTGGCCTGCTGCTGCTGCTGCCAAGCAGTACTGCAGATGAAGTTTTCTCAGGGGCTGTAGCAGTTGTGTTTATAGTACTTAAAATTCCAGGGCCCTTGATTCCAGTTCTAGAACCTTCATCAGCAGCTGACTGAGAGATAAATGAAGGGCCAGCATTAGTATCTCTAATCTTGCTTGAAGCTATTTGGTGTACAAAAGGTGCCAATTGCCCGCCACGCGGTGCATGTGGCATGGAAGGGCCAACATTCATGAGAATAGATCTTTCCCATTTACTGGCATCAATCTTAGTGTTGGTAGGAGGCTGAAATAACTGAGAGGAAGATGGCTTCATTGACTGCATACCAAGTAACACTTCATCATCATTGTGCCTTCTAGACCTCTCTCCTCCAGCCGCATTTCGGAGCACCTGCATAAACACAGAACTCAAGATATCAAAGAAAAGAAGACAAAAGTAACGTTATTTTCCCTTTTGATTATCAAGAACATTGGAGAAGAATAATTAAGTGATAATTCAAAGCAACCTTCATCAAATGTGAGTTTTGAAAGGAATCAGGGACCGTTTGGAAGGCATCTCTGGAGGAACCCATAAAAGTTGAATCAGAATTACTTCTCTTGCTTCCCACTAATCTGTTACTTATCTCAGTGCCAGAAAATTCACTTCTTGGGCCATAGAATGGAACTCCCTCAAGATGATTTCCAACCTGTTTTTCTACCAAATTGATGCGGGGGGAAAACATTACAATTAGAAGATAACAGAAGCTTTCAGAAATGCTTTTTATTTCCAACTATAATTTTAAAAAATAATAATAAGGACTAGAAAGAAAGAACGGCCATTTATTGATGGAAAAATCAAGAAAAAGAAAAAAGTAAGAATACAATCACAAGAATTATGATAAAACCCAAAACATATACATCATTACTGCCCAATGCACAAACGTTGACACAACATAACATAGTTTTCTATTTAAAATAACGGAAATTTTCAGCATAAACTCGATTCTCCCACTCAATTACTACATTAATTGAACAATGATACTCAAGACTACAAAACAAAACAAAATACATAAAAACCCTTGCAGTATATCAACATACCAAGAGGGGGAAAACTCAAACAAACTAAAAAGAACACTTGCTGATGAAGGCTTAAGACACTAGAAAATTGACGGGGTGGGGAGGAATCAATAAAGAAAACAAACGCCCACAATACTGACCGCACTAACGAAGAAAGAGAGGGTAGAGAACATTAGTGGATGAGATTCAATGCAAGGAGAAGAGAGAGAGAGAAATCACAAGTAACACAAGGAAGGAGCTTTAAAGTTTTTTTTTTATTTCTTGGGTTTTATTCCTGTTATTAGAACAAGTAAAAAGTGAAAGAGGAAAAGGAAATGGTTGAGAGAGGACACCAGAAGCGATGTCAGAGGCGGTGGAGAAGGGGGCGCGTGGAGCGGCGGAAGAAGCAGAGGGCGACGGCTCCGACAACCTGACATCGGTGGTTTTGGGGGAATCAGCTGCGGGCTTCATGCCCAGAAAGTCATGAAGGACCAATTGCTGGCTGGCACTGCTCTTGCTCCCATTTTGAGGCTGAGCCATTCTCAGCACCGCCATCGCATACCCATCTCACTAACACAGATAGGGTGACTGTTACTGCGAGAGTGAGAGTGGGAAAAAGAAGAAGAAGAAGAAGAAACACGATCTCTGATCAATGAAAAAGAAAGGCAGAGAGAGAGGTTAAAAAAAAAAAGCTAAAGGTTCTTTCTTTCTTTCTTTCTTTGCAATTTGCAATTGTTGTGTTCTGTTCATCTTAATGGGCGCATGTCTGTCTGTGTTGTGTTGTCCTTGCTCTCTCCTCCTTCCCGTCTGTCACTGTGCCACTGCCTATATAATGTTCCTCTTTTTGCAATAATAATTATAAAACTAGTGTCTAAATTTAGTAAATTTAATTTTTTTAAATCTTTATAATTTTTTTATGAATTTAGAGTTTTATATTTTGTTATACGAATTTAAATCAATTCATTTAAATAAATTCATGTAAAATATATAGAGTAAATTTTTATGAAAAAAATTATTAAAAACTTTTAATATTATAATTTTTAATAAAAAAAAATAACTTCTTAATACGCATTCCTAGATACACTTTTAAAAAAACAGCAATAATTATAGTTAACTTGTTGTGACTTTTGTCAGATTTTGTGCTTTCTTTCTTACATTGGAGAGAGAAATAGTAGTAATTATAATTATTAATTAAACTAACTAATCAAGGTACAGTTTGGGGAGGTGGATCTGTTTAGAATGTGATGTGGATGTGAATGTCAATACATTATCAAATCAATATACTTCTACCTATTAAAATATAGTTGCACTTGTATCTAATCAATCATTCATTATGTATTCACTGTGTCACATAATGAAACTTCCCAAAATATGTGTAGCTTTCACTTCTTCTGTGAGCCTGTAATTTACTTCCCATGGGATTATAGGTCATTTCGGTATTCAAAATTTAAATGGAAAAATAAATAATTATCGCCTTCATATATTAAAAATGAAATTTTGATTGGTTCCCTGTTTAATGTCAACCAAGGATCAAGGATTAACAATATATGTTTTTTAAAATTTTGACAAATAATGTTTTAAATGCATACACTAGAAAACATTGACAATTATAGGACGAATAAATTGAAAATACATATTAATAATATATTTTTTAAAAATATTAACTTTTTAAATTGTTAGTTTTAGGACATTAATTATCATTTGTTAATTTTAAAAAAAAAACATATTAGAAAGAAAATGAAAAACTTGAAGTAATTAAGTTTTACGTTTCTTTCTTTACTTATTTTGAAAGTTTTCTTATAAATAAATTTATAATATCAAAAGTAATAAAATAATTCAACATATATTTCCCTGAAAATCTTACTTGACTCAATTTAAGATTTGAAAAAACAAAGACTCCTGAAATATACTCTCAAAATTATATTTCATGGTTTTTTTATTTTTTATTTTAAAAATCAATTTTTGAGGAAAAAGGAAAGAAAAATATGTCTGGTGATAAATTAAAACAAAAAGCAGTTGTGTTTGTGTTTGGGTATCTGATTGTCGTTATAATTTCACAAGATATTTGAAGAACGGTTGCCACCCATTCAAAGTCAATTCTAAAGCTTCAATGAGAAATGATGAAAATGGAGGAAGGTAATGAGATAAATGGTTGCAGCTTTGGACACACTAAGCAACTCAAAATGTGATCTTAGTTAAAAAAATGCACACATATGCATTAGCTTTTCACGTTAACATGAAAACTACACTTAATTAATGCACATATTTTCTTCTTTCCATATTAGCTCCAAACACATGCTTAATGCCAATGTTAAAGTGTGACACAAATGGAGTGGGGTGTTGAATTATGGGTGTTTAACAGTGGAACTCTTATGACCATAAAACTTGAATGTGCTACCAGGTGTGAGGGTGAACAATGATTTCAATGGAGTTTGGTTAAGGAGTGTCAAAATGAATTAACAACATAACACAGTATAAAAACAAGAGAGCTTATCTTTAAACTCTAGGCTCATGTTCTAAAATCTTTATTAGTATAAAGATTTGAAAAAAAAAAGTTTAATGTAAAAAAGTCAGAAGAATAAAATAAAATTAGACCTCTGACTTTGAAAAATAAATCATGAGCACAGATTTTAAAATCTAAATAAGGTATTAGAACTCATATCTAAAATTAAAATTAAAAAAAGTATGAAAGAAAAATAATCAAAGATGCAACATTAAAAAAAAAAACATAAACTTAGATAATAAAAGATAAAATTATTTTTAAAAAAACTCTAATAGTAACATATCAAATAGCATATAAACAAGATAGTGTTATTCTAAAATTACTTGCTAGTCACCACATTTATAAATCTAGTGATACCCCAATTTAAAATTAAAAAAATAGATTTAAATACATCTAAGATAAAAAAAAAATTCAAAAAGAAATATTAAACAAGCTTTGTCTAATTTAGTTAATGTTCTTAAAACATTTATATCAAGTAAAAATGAGAAATTTAAACTTTAAATTTTACAAATGAACTAACAAAACCTAACTTTGTAAAACTTAATTTAAAACAATTCATTTTCACTTTTAATTTAAATTAAAACATGGTCAAAGATATGTGAACCTTTCAGCAAATAATAATATGATGAGAAGTTACAAATAATATTATATTTTTATCAAGAATATAATATTTTGTATTTAACTGTATTAAATTATGTAATTCTTAATACAAATTTTGTATATGAATTTTTATTACATGCAGAATCATATGCACAATTTTCACTCCACAATCAACGCCTAAGGAAAATTACTGCCAACATAACTTAAAAAATAAATTAAAATTACAGCTTAGGACTAACAATTTATGATCAATAATTTGGTGGAGATATTTTTCAACTATTTATTACATTGCACTTACATCAGGCTGAGTTAAGATCAAAGAACAACTGAAAATATTATACCATAGTCCGTAATCAATAATCAATAATTTACTTTATAAAAATATCTTTATTGAAATGTGACACTAAAAGTCAAGACTTATAATCACTAACATCCACATCTTTATTGCACACACGAACGATGTGATAATGAGATAATGATAGACTCCCACTAAGAAGCGTCCTCGTTCATCACATTACAATTACTACTAAATTATGTTTAATCTTAGTGTGATAACACCTATGGGTACGGACTTATATTATCTATGATTTCAAAATATCAAAAGTAATAATTATATTTTATTAAAAGTATAAAAAATTATAACTTAAATTAAGTAGTGCCCCAGGGGACCCGTTTTCACAGTCTACCTTTAGTGAGTACTCCATCTTAAATTATTTTGGTGCTTTGGTTGTAATTAAGTTTTAACTAACAGTGAAAATGTGTGATAAATATTCTTCATCACTTATATTAGAAATGGCCAAAATTTGAAGGGACACTAACCCTAGGGACGTGAAACCAAGATTGGCACCATTACTAATGTGTTGATGTGTCCAAATTGGCATAGAAAGTGCATACATTTACGAAAAATGCAAATACTGTTTTATTTCTTTATTGACTGCTGTGAATAAAAGTGAAGCGATTCCCATGCGTTTAAATTGCCAATTATTGCTCCTTGTTGGCACCAAACATTCTGTGCTTGAGACAACATTTTCTGATGAACCTTTTACACACAGCAATTTCTCTGGGATCCCCATGGTCGTTCAGCAAATCAAAAAATGCTTTTGCTTTTGGAATTATACATGATACATCTTCATTTGTTATATATGAGGAACAGAAGACACTAAATTGCAAATTTTTCGAGCCTCAAGTCATGGCTATGGCTTAATTCAGCAAGCATGAACGCATTCTCTGGAAAGTAATACATGTACTCTAGTAGAATGCTGATAAGTGCATATTAAGAAATCCAAAGAATAATTTTTAATTAAAAATGTGATCAGGACATAGTTATCCTGATTTTTAATACATTTTTAACGTATTAAAAATGTTTATCCTGCTCTTTCCATACCTGTTTCTATTTGGATGCCAACAACAGAAAATGCTTCATAATAATAGTAACAGCCATATTTACTGCGTTGCATGCATCTGAAACTGAAAGGACCACAACACATATCTCACAGCCACAGATCCTCAAATTGTTACATGAACAAAGGGATATCATGATATGGGCTTAAACAAAGTTTGTAGTCCAAATAGTTTTGGAAGCTTTAATTTAAAAAAATAGATTTAAGTTTTTAAAATCTAGCAGTTTTTAGTCTTTATAGAGTTAAACTTACAATTAAGCTTAAGATTATTTATTAAAACAAAAATCTTGATAAAGATTTAGCGAGAATTGAAGCTAAATAGTTGACAGACAATAGTAATTTATTCTACTCTCCCTGCAACCCCTAAAAAAGAACTCAGATGTGACTTCTCTATCTGAGACTTGAAAGATACGTCTAAGGTTGCTTTTACTCAACAAAAAGAGATAAAAACAAGGTTGTTTGAAATTATTGCCACTTTTTTTCTTTATGGGGATGAAACTCGAAGCCTTTCATTCATTGGCCCTTCTTCAAAGGCACACAAGATGCCAATCCCTCCCTTTGCAAAAGACCACACTTGTACCCTCACATTGAAATCAATTGCTTTCGCAGATCATTCCACTAACAAATGTTAAGCTCTCAAATGAAATTAATAAATAAAACATCTACTCAAATTTCTTATAAAATTAAATTATTATTGTTTTAATTAAATAGTTAATTTATATTTCATTCCTACAAAAATTGTACAATTTATACTCAAATGTGAATTTAAAAACAAAATCGAAATATCTTTGTCATAAGACATTTACTTCTTATTTGTCTTTTTCTCCCAATTTTTAGTGCTCTTCCCATAAAATTGTTCACGTGAGCATTATATACATCAAAATATCCCTGTAACTTGTACTGTGAACAATTAGCACCTCAGGTTGCATGTAAGGTGTGTTTATTCTCACCTTCCAAGATGTTCATTATTAGTTTTATCTAAATGATTAAATTTAAAAACACTCGTTTATCTTCATTATAAAAATGGGAGGGAAGTGAAACTCTAGCTAGTGTGATTAGCTCTGGTGTAGTTGGCAATTACGGTGGCTTGGGCTTTGTTGGGGTGTCCATACATGAATTTTATGATTTTGGGGTCACTATTAATGTAGTTGGAATAATTCAATCCGATGAATCTATCGGTTAGAAGTTGGAAACTCTTTGCCAGGTTCCGAGTTTATGCTTTATTTTCAAATCTACCCACCTCCAATACCTTGTTCATTCTAATTTCCATCACGTTTAGGTGGGCCAAGGCCAGTTTCATACTCTCATATATATGTACAATAAAAATTGGGCAAAAATGCAATGAAGGAGTCAATTATATAATAGACATAATTTTATTAAATATTCAAAAAATATTTAAAAAGAGATAGAATCTTTTTATACTGAGAGTATAAATTTAAAATTTTTTATATCTGAACCTTTTATTTAACTTATATCTAATAGTTACTAAAATAATAAATTATAACTTGTTAAATAAAAAATTTGAATTTATTAATGTGAAATTTTTTTTAATTATTTAAAAATAAAAGAAAATCAAATTTAGGCGGAATGATGTTTCAAAGTTTAAACAAATTTAAACTCACAAGGAAGTTTTCGATGCCTGATCTCTCCCTCTCCCCCATCCTTAAAAAAAAAAAAAAAAAAAACTCTCTCCTTGTTGGGAATTTTTTATCACTGAATCAACGGTGAGTATTTGAACATTGAAATTTGAATGTTAAACATTGTGCATAGTTGACGTGTTTCGAGTGCTTTATGAGACAAATCATGCTTTCACAACTTTTTTTCTATCTGAGTTTCTATTCTGGGACTTATCGATATGATAGAGACAAAAACATTATACAAGGAGTCGTTAGATTGGTCAAACCTTGGGATTTTCCATTTGAACAGTTGATGCGAATCAAAGGTTTGTTTGTTTTATAGTTAAAAAACTATCTTTTACATTTTTTTAATAATAAGTAGATTTTTAATTAAAAGAGTAAAAATTACATTCAACAACTGAAAATCAATTATACTAATTTTAACCAAACAAACATTAAATCACAAGAAAGTAAAAAGTTAATCACAATTTTTTTATGGTAAATAATTGGTGCAGTTTATAAAATTGTAGATTATCTAAAACCTTTTGTACTTAGTTTGAACACGCGAAACAAAATTGATATAGACTGGAGCTAATTAAGATGTGATTATGAAAGCCACTCATCAACGTCAATTTTCTCTGTTAAGGAGGGAAAGCTCAAAATGTAATTTCTTCAACTGTGAAATTTTGAAACCATACTAGCCAGGACACAAAGATTCATTTAAACAAACATGGTTTGATTGGTTCAATGAAACTTAACATTTTTTAATGTAGAATCTAGTTATTTAGACACTTAGGAGCCACAGCCTACTAGGCCTGTTTTAGACAATTCAAAAACTAATCAAATAAACTAATAATCAGTCACAAATTTGTAAAAAAGAAAAAGAGATTAGAGTTGGGCTAGCTAGCATCTTTACATTTTCAATAAACACCAGATAGACATGAGTAAAAATGAAAAGCGAAAGAACAGTTTAAAAATACTACACAAAATATATAGATATTCAATTGGTAAGAAAAGCAATCAATGATGTCATTTATAAGGTTACATTTTATAATGTTTTGGGTTTTAAATTTTTAGTTTTTTAAATACAAAGTTTAAATGAAGTGTGTTTGACTGTGATGGAATTGAATTATTTTAATCATGTTTTAAAATAATTTAAATTTAATTTTATATATTGAATTATAAAAATATGTCATTCCATTTTCTTGATCTCTTTCAAAGAATTTATATTTTACTATTATTATTACTTTCACCTGTTGTCATTATAAAATTTATTATTGTAACCATTTGTACCGACTACCATTATAAGTTTCGTTATTATTACTATTATTAATTCACCGTTGTTAGCAAAAGTAAAATGTAATTATAATTGGCAATAATTAATAATAGTGAACAGTTATTGTAGAAATAATGGTTAAATCGTCTCTTAGATCATCTTCGTGTTAATCACATTTGGCGGGTCACAAACTGTATTATGTTATTCATTCACCATTTTTTGGCTTAAATGGATAAGCAATTTACTGCATGTTTGAATAAGCATCTGTAAATTTATATTTGAATAAATTTAATTTCATAAAATTTAATTTTTTTAAAAGTGAATTTAAATTATTATTATTATTTTATTTAAAATATCTCTTTTAAAAATAAACTTGTAATAAAAACCATTCTGAATTTTGTTGACTTAACATAAAAGTTACAATTAACTATTTTAATTCAAATGTGAATTTAAAAACAAAATCAATTTTAATATAGAAACATTAAAACATTAATATTTTTTAAAATAACATAATTTTATACTAATTTAAGATGCAGTCAAACATGTACTTAATGGTATTTTCATACATGCCTTTTTAATATTAAACACTTATTTTGATGTTACATTTCGGTGGCTTTTGCATTCCACGCGTACATGCTTAACATGTGTCCAAACATGCATTAAATTTACAAAAGCCTAGAAAGGTTAAAAAAAATGACCACATAGATTTCACGCTGTTCAATGTTGGCAAAATAATAATTTATATATTCACCAATATTTTTTTTAAGAATAATAATATTATTCTTATAAAAAATTTATAGTATTTTTTATAGTTTATTTCTTATTTATTTATTTTCATCTCTCGCTTAATTGTAAGAAATGGTGTACAAAATCATTATATAAATAAAATGGTCATTTTAGAATTTCATTTCTGTAAACAATTAAACATAATAAAAAAAGGTAAAGGTCAAAAAAGGATTTGAGATAATTTACTTTATATTATTTTTTAAAACACAGTTTTTCTTTTAAACCTCTTAATTGAATCTGACTTTTAGTTATTGATTATAACATTATCAAAATATTTATTTATTTAATAAAAGTTTCATTATATTTGTTTTAAAATTTAAAAACATTTCATGAAATTTTCAGAATAAGAAAATAGTTATAACTATATTATACTGACTAATATAGTTATTTTCCCAATAAAACATTTATACATTTAACAACCAAATACTGGTAAAATAAAAATTTGTACATTCACTGATAGTATTTCATAAAAAAGAAATTAATATTATTATAAATATATTTTGCAATACCTTTTATTTTTTTAATTTTCTATTACATTATTTAATTTATTTTATGCATTTCTCTCTTGTAAGAAAGTGTACAAAATTCTAACGTAAATGCACTCTGTCTTTTCAGAATTTAAATTGTGTAAATTATTACACGTAATGGAAAAGTGAAACGTCGCTATTTTTCACTTTTCAAGTTTTGAACTGTGTCTCCGTCCCGCTCATTGACGCTCCTATGCTTATATCATTCACTCTACTCGCTCTCTCTTACACGCCATTCCAAGGTAACCACACTCTTGTTCTCTTTCGAAATTCAATTTCGTTGTTTGTTATTAGAACATGATTTTAAGTTTTTTCAATAACCTTATTGAGTTTTGTCTTGGTGTATGGATCTGGAACTGAACTGTGTTACTTATTAATTTTGTTTATTTTTTATTTTGAAATTTTAGGGAATTCATTTTGTGATTTATGTGATGCTATTATCTTATGAATGGTTGTTTGAAGAACAGGCATGAGCAAGATTTTCATTTGAAATAATTGGATTGCTCTTCTTCAAGGCACACACAATGGATAGAGTAAACACATTCTGTGCCAAAGACGAAGAGCGTCCACTTCGAATAACCAGAGCAAGGGCTAGAGCATCGAGAGGGATTCCTCCCAATGCAAAACCTTCTTTGCAAAAGGAGCGCAAAAATGCACAGTGCAAAAGAGCAGCTTCTCCTGTTCTTGTTCCAGTTGTTCTTCAGTATAAGAGAAGGGCGGTGCTTACAGATGTAACTAACATATGTGATGATAAGGCATCGAAGTATCGGGTAAATACGAAATACTCACTTTGTCGCACGTTTGAAAATTGTTAATATTTTGTAATTCTAGTGATAAGGAGAATAAATTTTATTTGTGGGTTATTTTTGTTTGGAAATGAAAAAAAAAACATTTTATTCTGTGTCCTACAAAATGATTTTCATAATTATACAATGCTGCAAATTCATTTACATGTAAGTCTCATAACTGTTTGTTGGTGATGCTGATTGATAATCCACTATGTAGGCTAAAGGAGTTTATGAGAAGAAAAACACAAAGCTAGCTTCAGGTGTTTATATTGAAGTTTCGTCATCGCAAGAGGATGTTAGAGCAAATTTAGCTGAAGAATTATCCGCAATAAGGATGGTAGAATCAAATGAAACCATTGCTGCAGCTACTTTGGGCAACGAAGAGGCAGCAGGGCATTGTATGTCCAACAGTGTAAGAGAATGTGTTATAGCAGCAGACACTGTGCATTCAATGCAAGACTCTCTGAATTCTGATGAACTCCTAAGCTTGCCAAACGAAGGTTTTTCTATAATCCCATATGTTACTACTATTATGCAAAAGACTTTAGGTATATAATATGGCATGCTAAATTACTTTTTGTACAAATGAAATTCGTGTAACTCTCTGATTGAACATGCAAAGTACTAAATGTTACTCGACTCAGGCTTTAAAATTGAGGTTAACTAGCCTTTTACCTTACAGACTCTGCCTCTTGCTCAAAAATAGGTCTGTTCCTTGTGTTTTTCTTAATTGAACAGTATTTCTCGTGATATATTGTTGGAGAATGCAAAATACTAGCATTGTTATACATGGAACGTTTGAGTTTAAGGAGTTACAGTGTTACATGATTGCTCTTTTGATTGCACATGAAAAAGATGTTATGAGAAGTAACCCACATATTCACTTGACAGATAGTCTTTGATGTAAGGATCCTATAATTACTGTTTTATTCTCTTGATTGGATTGTGCAGACATAGATATGATTTGTGAGAAGCTAAGAACTTCAGACTGCCTGACCATTGTGGACATTGATTCAGAGTTAAAGGATTCTCAAGTTTGGAGTTCTTATGCCCCTGACATATACAACAAAATTCGAGTCACAGAGGTTTGTGATGTAGTAATGTAATTATTTTTTTCCTTGAGTGTTGCTAATGTACTATTAGTTTGTGTGGCTAGTGACAATTTCAAAAGCTTCTATTAAACAGTGTTATGATGTAAACCCCAACTGCTGCTTTCTCTACTGTTGTCAGTTTACTGCATTATAACACTAGGCAAGTATTCTTGGATAGTAGCCAGCACATTTTATTTAGTGACATAAAATAGTATAATTATGATATTAACGTTGCTGCTTAACTTCACAAAGCAATACTGTTTTAATGCTGAGAAAAGAGAAGGATACTTAGGTTCAATACAAAAAAATTAACTGAACTTTGGTGAAATCTCTCCAGCTTGAAAGGAGACCATTAACCAACTACATGGATAAATTGCAACAAGATATTACTCCAAGGATGCGTGGAATTCTGGTTGATTGGCTTGTGGAGGTTTGTCTCATGGCTCTGGCATTATGTAGATTTCAATACTTGAGCACATCTAAGCTTTTCCTTTTCGTTGGTGTAATGAATTCTATGTACTTCCTTTCAACCTAAATACGGTTGAATAGTGGGATATTGACAACGTGCTAGGTATCTACCATTCATTATGATTATCACATTCCTTCTATAGTCACATTTAAAATACACAATCTGTAATTACTGTCTAAGTTGACCATCAAGCTTTGGTTGTGGGTTTGCTGAAGGTTTCCTGTATTTCCTTTCAGGTTTCTGAGGAATACAAGTTGGTCCCGGACACTCTTTATCTCACGGTGAACCTAATTGATCGGTGTCTCTCAACAAAATTCATTCAGAAGCAAAGGCTCCAGTTGCTTGGTGTTACTTGCATGCTGATTGCATCGTAAGTACCAAACTTTGTAATTGTCCTATGATGGAAGTTTCACAAGCTCGAAGTTATACTTCTTCATGCTTCTCTTTGAACTATGAACTGGGGTTTAAGGCTTCTAAAACGATAAAATTGATAACGACAATCAGTTTTTCATCCTCCGTCTAGTATGATGGTGATAATTTTTACTTTTTCATAGTCCTGTACATAGTTATTTTGCTTGTTGGTATTGGACTTATATGTGTAGATAATTTTACATATTTCTCATCATATGATTTAGTTCTCGTTATTGTTTCCATAGTTTTGTTAACTAGCTAGTAAAGAAACTTTATTTGGACATTTATAAATATGAAATGAACTGCTAATTTGATTCATGGAACTCTTGATTTGGAGTGTATTCGGTGATACTGATAAGTGTTAATGTAACACATCATATCTATTTTTTTTCTAAATCAATTAGTCTTAGATGTGCTTCTTTCTTTTCATGGCTTGAAGAAAGTATGAAGAGATTTGTGCGCCTCGAGTGGAGGAATTTTGCTTCATCACAGATAATACATACACAAAAGAAGAGGTAGTCCGGTCGGATCCTTCATCTTTTTTTTTTCTTTTTTTTATTTTATTTTCTGAGTATATTCACGATGACCGATATACAATACACCTAATCAGTGTTATTTGACAGGTATTAAAAATGGAGAGTGAAATTCTAAACCTTCTGCATTTTCAGCTTCTTGTTCCCACAATCAAACCATTTCTCAGGTATGCACTATATATACTCGTATATTCCAATTCTTTTTGGAAATATCACTTGGTTAAGAACTTCATTGAACTATGACGATCTTTTCTTGGGTTCCAGGAGATTCATCCAAGCAGCACAATCTTCTTACAAGGTACTACAACTGTTATCCACCATTCGCAATTTAACTTGAGAAAGTGATTTTACTATGATGCTGACAGGAATGCAAATCAACCTGGTAATTTTATCCCCTTGTACAGGTTCCTTGTGTTCAACTGGAATTCCTAGCAAATTATTTAGCAGAGCTTACTCTAGTAGAATATAGCTTCCTCCAATTTCTACCTTCCCTTGTAGCTGCATCTGCTGTGTTCCTGGCCAGATGGACCCTCAATCACTTAGAACATCCATGGGTATGAACTGTTGACTACCTTAATGCAAGTTAACTATTTTCCTTTGACTTTGTGTAAACATAAATAAATTTTCAGTGTCACGTGCATTTATTTTAGAATCCAATTTTGGAGCACTACACAAACTACAAAGCTTCAGACCTCAAAACTGTTGTTCTAGCCCTGGAAGATCTGCAACTTAATACCAAAGGCTGTTCCCTGAGTGCTATACGTGATAAGTATAAACAACAGAAGGTTAGAAGTGTGCATATTACATAACAGTCTTATCCTTCTTTCAATTGACTGAAGTTTTTAAACCCCACGAATCACACCAAATTGATATATATCAGACATACATAATTTTATTGATTATTGAACGGTTCAAACAAATATCTTTTTCCGCCCCCGTTTTTGTCAACGTAAAACGTGTTGAGTTTGGAATATATATGTTAATTTGTATAATTCTTTGGACAATGGGAGTGTTAAATGAGTTCGTATTCTGCTTTCTTTAACATATATTCTCCATCTGGTTAAAGTATATAAACCGGCAAAATAATACGCATGTCCTTATCTTTGCTGAAAAAGGTATTGAGATAATTACATCAGTGACTTCTGCTTCCTGTGACAGTTCAATTGTGTGGCAAACCTCTCTCCAAAACCGATGAAGTCACTGTTCCAAGTTCATGTGTAAATGTTTTTCGCTGTTCCATAAAGACTAAGGACTAAAGGATGACTTCATAATTTATGGTACAGTGATGGTTGATATCATCATCTGTTGGATATATTATACCAAAATTTTTTTCTCATTAATCCCCACAAATTCTGGTTCTGCCAGATCTCTCCTTGTAACGTGAAATTGTTACCTAATGATACAACAAGTAGTGAGTTGAAGTGCTAACAATAACACCGAGTTGGCTTCATTTTGAGGTTGCCATTATGTAACAAAGCCGTATAGCTGCTTTCGAGATTACTTTTGTATCAAAACTTCAGTTTTGTAATAAAAATTACTTATGCTCTACATTTTTTTGGTGATATATAAATGCAGTTCATTTTTATTTATATGTATCTTATAGATCATGCAACTTTGCAGCAATGCGTCATAACTCAAACACAAGGCATGATGCAAAGCGTCCCAAGGATTTTACGAATTGATTTTTTTGACACATGATAGAAAAATTGGGTGTAATAAACTAATAATTCTCCTGCCGTTTAATTTTAATCTTGAAGGATTTAATTTTGAACCAATTGTGTAAAGTGTAAATGGTAATGCATTTCGAGTTGAAAAATAGAGACTTTCCAGTGGGAAAAAGAAGGGAAGGTGGGGCCAAGTGGCTAATGCAAGTCCAGCCTTTCCTTTTGACACAAAAAGAAAAAGAGGCTTTTCACTCAGGTGGTTGCTTTTTGTACCACCTTCCAAAATTTAAATTTTAAAAGTAATTTATTTAATGAACGATGCTAAATTGTACGAAAATTTTGAGTACGAAATTCGACGAAATCAATTGTGTTAGTTTTAGAATTTTAGTTGTTCAAATGATAAATTAGAAAGTAAATAATAAATCAATATTTGACGGAAATGAAGGGTGATGCGTGTTCGTTGGTTTTCGTGAATTACATTTTGCGTACTCTTAAGCAATTTCGTTGTTTAATTTCTGAAAGTGAATAATATCTTTCAAATTTTTATTTTTAAAAAATATGAAAAAGTGGTCTGACCATGATAAAAGAAATACAAAAACCTTTGACTTGTAGGGCTCCAAAATTTCCGATTAGAATTCTCTTTATGTAAATTAACCTGATAATTAGTTAGGCACATTAAAAATCAGTTGCGATTAAAAAGAGACTCCTATTTAGTTAATGAATTGTGTAATAGGAAAAAGTAATACATTCTTTATTCCCTTGTAATTAACATTGTAAATTTACTAACTTTTTTCTTATTTTTTATTTAAATAATATTAATCATGAAAAATAACCAAGAGGATTAGAAAAAAAATTCCTTAATCACTATCCTCTAGTTAAGGCTAATCTCACAACTTATTCAAAGACAAAAATATAAAAAAAATCTGCCTTGTTGCATTGAGTATTTTCAAGTTTTAATAAAACTTTAAAATGAGAAAAAAATATATTTAAAATTATAAAAGATGCATTTGAATTATTTAAAATAAATTGAATTAAAAAATTTTAAAAAAATGTTATTCCTTAAAAAAGTTAAATCACTTTAAAAATATACTATTAATAAATATCTCATTTATTTTATTAATATTTTAAATTAAATAAAATTTTAAAGTAAAGACATAAAATAGATCAATTTTTTTGTTTCAGTTAAAAATTAATGTACCCATCTTAATATTCTTTAGAAACATCCTCATCCAACTTCGTAATAAGCAACTAAAAGTTATAAAGAAGTTTTTATAAATTAAGAATTAAATGTTTGTCTCAATTAAAATACTATCATACAGTAGAAGATAATTAACTAAATTATTCTTGAATTAACTTATTTTCAGAAAAATATTCTACTTTTCACTTTTCTTAAAAAACTTATGAAAAGTAACGTAAAATATTGTTTCTGACATCCTTCAATATGAACCATTCTCACCTGTAGCCTCCATCTCCATTTAATTATCTTTCCAAATGCACAAAATTGTGAGATGGGAGAGACATTGGAACAAGGCTTAGAAAAGTAAAAACTTCTACCTTAGTCGTGTATATAATTCATTAATTAGTTAATACCATAATCTGCAATGCCTGTATAGCAAACCATTCCTGGTTATCCAAGCTCAATTGTCATAAGGGCAAGGACAGAAATAGTGAAGTGCACACAGCAGATTTTGGAAAACAAGCTTACACAGAAAAGGGTTTGATCCGCTGCATGGTCCTTCTCATTACTTATCAGAAGGAGGCACGTTGCTACCATACAGTTACAATCAAAAGCATGTTACAAGTTACAGCATCTGGCTGCCATAAGCATCATCAGCATGTGTGATCCAAAAAGAAAAAGCTACCCTTAGTAACAGCCATTTACCACATTTCTTGTGGTTTTCCACCATAAAAGGAGGAAAAAGAGATAAGGATTGAGGGTCTGACATACATAGATACATACATACATTACATGTTATCATATTGGAGACACTAAAACTGGGGTATTTCCAATCACCGGCTGAAGACTGGCTGCATGCTCTAGTTGTTTCCAGGCTTCCTTTCGCTTCTCAGCTGCTGCGTTTAGCATGGCTTCTTCGTCTATAAACTGCGAATGACACGTTAGGAACAGCTTCTCGTCCATCTCCACGAACATCTTTCTAACATTATGAGTTAAGTTGAGCACTGCCTGGTTCCAGTGGCCTTGAGAATTCTTCTCTAAAGCTGGAAAAACGATGGGCAGGATCACCTGACGGTTGTGAGCAATCAAGTTGACAATATGGTCATTGTTCCACAAGAAAAGAGCCCTTTCAGCTACCTGAAACAATCCATGTTGAAAAAATAAAGAGGTTATCTTTCAGTAATTAACAAGCCTGTCTAAGGAAACAACTGATTCTCAGAAGATACACAAAAGAAATAAAAAAAATTGCAGCAATTAAATCGCTGTTTTAAAAAAGGTAAGAAAGATAGCTGCCATTCGTAAGAGGAAGAAGTTCAAGGAACTTGGAAGTACAACTCAAGAAAATATGGAGAGCTCTGAAGAAGCTAAAAAGAATATCAACTACTTTCACGTCCTATCGGTGACCTCTCACCCAAAATTAAGGCAATAAAATGAATCATCTTTGCAGAAAAATCTCCCAACAAAAATTCCAGTACATTTTAACTTTGAAAGTTGAAACTGTAGCGAAGAATTATTAGTCTCTACCCTATGATGTAGAGGAGTTTAGTGACTCACACCCAACCAACACAGGACTCACTTGTGCATCAATCCCACTACGAATGGATAAACCAGGCTTTGATACCAGTTGAAGCAGAGGAGACAACCCCCTAAACCTTTGTAAAAGTCAGGCTGTGAAAACATGGAATGACTTCAATTTAAATGTGAGTTTGGTGTCTTAGACCAAGCAAATCACACACTTCAATCGCCCTAGTGTTTATGGACTATTCCAACCCAACGGGAACGACATAGATGCAAGAGTCCCATATTGGCTGGGTGTGATGAAAGACAGAACCCCATATTCATAAAAGAGGCTATCTTCTACATCTTAGAGAGATTATACGGCTGTCTTTGCTAGTTTTCTTAACAATGTAATGCCAGAATATGACGGTTAAAGCAGATATACAACAGCACAGAAGCTATAGTTATAAAGCATGGATTTAAAGCCATATAGAACTATGCAAATAGAGACAATTCATCAAACGGATTCATTAGAAGTGAATAACAACCATACCTGAAAGTGTAAACTGTTAATGCAGCATCCTACTCGCCAAAATAAGGGGACCATGACCCTCTGGAACTCAACCATGTTGATTGTTTCCAAAATTTCTTCCAGTTCACCCAGGAACATCACCTCTTTCTGACAATTTGTTATTGGCCAATACTTCAACAAACCCCTTATAACGATGCTCGCCAACTTGGGCTCCTTCTCTATAAACTGCGTAACACAGTACGACAATTGCTGGAAATAGACCCCCATAGACTTAGGCTTGTGCAAGGGGACCAAAACTCTCCACAAGAAGATTTTGTGTTCCTCTTTCAAAGGCAAAGCAAATCCACTTATTATGCTCCCAAAAATCTCCAACAACTCAGCAATACCATTGTGTTTCTCGGTCTCAAACACAAACCTATAAAACAAGTTGTTAATAGATTTTCTTATATAGGGTCTATGCACCATGAACTTCCCATAAACCCTATGCATAATTGTCTTCAAACAGTCCCTTTCCCTAGGATCCTCCGAATCAAACAACTCCAACAACCTTGAAATAAACGAATGGTCAATATACTTCTTTGCAACCTTAGCATCAAGGCACGAAGAAGTGATAAACTTAAGAAACAATTCATAGACAAGTTGCAAGTGGGGCCAAGCAGGGTCAAACGCTGGCTCATCATCATCATTCTCACCGCCACGGTTAGACCTGTAATTTGGCGGGAAAACTCTAAAGAGATTAATAGCACACATTCTACACATAGCAAGAATAGCAGGTTCACCAAACCTCATAGATCCACAAGAAGCCACAAAATCAACCACTTCAACCAAGGTTCTTCTTTTCACCTCTTTCTCCACCGTGTTCTTACCAGGGTCCGTGAAATCGAACGTCACGCAACAAAGGCTCAACTTGCTCACGAACAGGTTCATCTTCTCCGAGTTTGGAACATCCTTAAACGGCACCAACGGTTCAATCACCGACACCGTGCTTGCCGGGAAAACCGCCGACGAGGAAGTTCGTTTCGCAGCGTTGGAACTGCCACCGACACTGCCGTGAGACCTGTGATTTCTCCCGGCGGCGCGCGGCGATTCATCCCGGGAGGAGCTCGAGCGCGACGAGTCGCCTCGGCTTGACTCGTCCGGGTCGGGTTTCGATGCCTTACGAGGCAGTTTACTGAGGAATTGCTTGAGCATGGCCACCCAGAAGCTGAAAGCTACAAATTTCGAAGCTTTAGATGAAACCCATGAAGGAAAAAAAATCAATGAGGCACGAAAACGTCGGGTTCTTCTTCTACGAGTACCGAGAAAGGGAACAATGTGAGAGGAACAACACGAGAAACCCTAGATCTCGGTCATCCAAAGGAAACGAAAATTCCGAGCAATGTGAGAGAAGCAGCATGAGATTGAGACAGGAAATTTAAAAGGGTGGAAAGAAATTTGTGATTTTGTGGCATGCATTGGTGAAAAATCAAATCTTGAGAATTTTGGGTTATGCCCAAGCGCGGAAGAAGAAGGAAAAGGGAAAGAGAAAACGCAAATACAATGCAAAAAAAGAGGGTGGGGAATAATTAACATTTGAAACTCGCCATTTCTGATTTTTCTCGGGAATATAAGAAAAAAAAGAGAAACGAAACTTATTAAGGTTGAATGTAGAAAAAAGGGAAGTTGGTTCTATCTAGGGCACAAATCAAAAGAAGAAATGGCATGCAGATCACCAAGTTTTGTGCTGTGATTTTGGGCAATGAAACCCTCTGAGCTGTTTCTTCTGTTGTCTATGATCCACCGCCATGAAACTCAGAAATAAACAAAAAAAGAAAAAGTACAATGAAGCAAAGGCTGGTTTTAACTTCTTTTTCTCTTGCTTTGGGAGAAAATAATCAAAATATCAAATAATAATGTTACTCCTTATATTATTGCTTTGGCATATATTTAATTGACATAATGGCCTCTCATGATTAAGGGTAATTTTTTGGTTCTGAGATGCATTGTGAAATTTTGTATATATTGGTAATAATTGAAGGAGGAGAAAATGATAGAAGCATGGGTAGAATTTGGACACCAACACGTGTAACTGTGCGTGTGTAAGAAAAGAAAAAAGTGAGAAGAGTAAGCCTGTAAAACTGGGGACATGACATAGTTTGGTGCCCGTGCATGTACAGATATATGAAAATGCAGATACCTATGATGTTTTCTTAGCCATTTTTTGGGTATTATCGTTATAATACCAAATAATTGTTACACCACAATTGTGTGTACAAATCCTTTATTCATTTTTCTTCTTCTTTTCTCTAGTGGATACACTATACAAGGCTTATTTAATGCTAGATAATTTTTTTTAACTTTTATCATCAAAGAATAAAATTTTAACCTCCTCATTTTTTTATAGCCAATAAGTACGTTCCTAATTTTTAAACACTAATGCTAGTATGAAAATTGTGCAGATATAAATTTATTTTATTAGTTAAATAATAAATTTTAAAATAAATGAAAAGTAAAATAATAACGGAAATCAAGCCACGTTTTGTGCAGTTCCATTTGGTACTATTTTGCATTTTCCGTTTTTTATAAGGAGAGGATCAATTTGTAGAGTTTTTTTTTTTTTTTTTTTGGGTGAAGAAAATTATATTTTAAGTATAAGATTAATAAATAATGTTTTGTTTGTGTTTTAAAATTAATTTTATTTTAATTATTTTCTAACTCTTTTTAATATCATACTCGATATAAATAATATGCTGGAATCAACTTTTTAAAAAACACTTCTTTTAAAATTAACTTAAAAATTCTAAAACTATAAATTGATTACATGTCAGTACTTAGAAATTGGATAAATAGATATTATTAACTATAGTAATGATTACAATTTATTTGAGTGGAAGAAAAGTAAAATTGAGTGTTTATATCCATAAAAGTAATAGGCATTGATTATCATTGTTAAACAATTATTTCACTTCAATCAAGGGAAAGAATTCATTAAAATTTTGAACTTTGTTCAGCTGTTTCTGTTGCTGGTTAATCTTTAACCATGTTATGTATCAAAAGTTGGCAGATTATCAGTGTTGTATACAAAAATCACCGAAATCATAAGAATGATGCGTTACAACTTACAAGTGATAATGGCAGATGATAATTAGATATGAGATTTGTTATTTAAAAAAATTACTTTTATATTCTAAAAAAATATCTATTTTTCATTTAGATAATGTAGTTTTTAAATTCTTATTGCTTTAACACTGTGTTTGCTGAAATGTAAACCAAAAAATTTAATTATGTGTTAGTAATTATAAATAGAATAAAGCAAATTTTAAATATATGTTATATGTTGAAGTATTTCTTTCATATATTTTCCCTGACATTTAAAGTTTTATACAAAAACAAATAATAATAATATTATTTTAAATTACATAAAATAATATTGCTTAATTTTTATTACACTATTTATATTAATTAATATTCTGTTTTTTTTTCTATCAGATAAACATTGGTTATTAAATATAAAATTATACAAAAATATTAAATTTTATAAAATCAAAATAACAAAAAATAAATAAAATCATTAAAGCACTAAAGAAAAAAAAAGAAACTGAAGAAACAATTATTATAATTTACTTGACTGAGGGAAAAGTAAACATGAGTGTCTGTATCCATTAAAGGTATCCACGCATTGATCATTTTTGTTAAACAATTATTTTTTCTTCAATGGAGTGAATGAAGTGATGATCATTTTCAACACTGTTCAGCTGCTTTTGTTTATAGTTTGTCTTTAACACACGTTACTTAAGAACCATGGGTTATTGGGTAAACTTGTATAATATATTGTGTACTGTATGATATAATTTAATTGAAAATAAAATTATTAAATAGTTTGGGTTTTAATGTAAATTGATTTTGTATATGAATGTAATTTTTTTAAAAGGTGTTGAAATCCTATTATCAATTGTATTATATAATAACATGGTTATTAAATTATTCATCTCAAAATCACGAGGGCTTGAATTAAAAAAAATTAAAAAAATAGATCTTAATATGTTATATATCAATATTTTCATTAGATTATTTATCATCTCATGCATGTTTGAATATATCTAATAGGAATTGACTATAAATGTTCAACAAGGCAAAAAAATGAAAAATATAATTTAATAAGACTATTTCAAAGTGAAAACAAAAAACAAACATAAAATAAAAAATTTGAGTATGAATGAGAAAAATATTTGCAAAAAACAATAATCTTCTTAAAATATTCCATAATGGTGTATTACAATATATACATAACAAAAAATATTTATCACATTTCTCTTTTGTAGCCATGCAAAACTCATTGAATTTTTTTTCCTAAAATTATGTTAACACCCGAACGTGTAAAAGCTTTTTTAAAAAAACCCTTCAACAATTAGCTTAAACTATCCAAGGCAGCAAAAATCATTAAAAAACCTTAATTTTAAACTATATATTTTTTATATACACTTATTAAACTACATGACTTAAGAAAGATAATAAAGAAATTACATGAGACTATTTGACTTAAAATGTTTTATTTTATTTTATTTTTATTATCATTCACCTAAACTTTGAGGTTCCATGCATTTAATACACTTCAATGGTATTCTTTAACTTGTCTCATCACATGTCTATTTTTATAATAACTAGCAAATTAGACTACCTTAATTCTAATAAAGGCGTATCCAAATATGATTATCTAATCTATTTTGGTAAACTCATAACTCCATAGTTAAACATTTACCCATTACAGCATTACAAAATCACCCTTCTCACCATCTTAAAAGCATCCAATGTGAAAGCATCACATTTAATTTTCGTCTTACATTAATATAAAATGCTTTATCAACATTAAATAACTCGCTAGGCTAAAGAGAATTGAATTTAAAAAAAGGGTAAATTCTTTTTAAATCAAACTAGAATCAGACTTAATTTAGTTCAATTTCTTATATCGAATTTATATTTTTCCTTAAACCCCAATGAAAAGGACAAAAAGTCTTTGGGCGACCAAATACAACGTTTGAAACCCTTTCACCCACTAACAGCCTACCGTCAAAGCCCCTTACGGGGTTAATTAAATTATAAGCTCTCGTTGTTGTTTTTAAGTTTATTTTAACGGTTTCACGTTTCAAAATTAATTTCGATGTATTTTAAAAATGCGTCTAGAATGCATTTTGAACTACCCAACCTAATTTGATATATTATTTTTTATAATTTTTTTTAAATATATGTTAATAACACTTGTTACTTAATAAATATCATTATACTAATATTAATAATTTTTATTTAAAATTTATATTAATTTTTCTTAAATTACAAATATTCTTTACTTAATTTTTTTAACTAAGATAACACTATAAATTCTTGTAAAGTTATAATGCGTACACTAATTTCTTGTAGTCTAAATTTATCTTTAATAAAATATTAATATTTAATAAAAAAACATTATACATAATAAATTTTTTTATTCAAATATTTAGTATAATTATAATAATTGAAAAATAATATTAATATTATTTATTTAAAAAATATATTTTTCTATATCTCCTATATTTTTTATTAGGAGCAATTTTTTTGAATTGAGAAGCAATAAAACTTTCATTTTAAGTATTTAATGAAATTACATTAACTAAAACGCAAATTCAATAACAGATTAAATAAAAACATCTCTTACAGGTTGATTTGTGTATTTAATAATAAAATATATACTAATTTGCAATATATAATTTAAATATTTATCATGTTAAAATGAATACATTAGGTTAATAAATTAAATTGACAAAATCGTATCTCAAATAATATTAAGTCATGATTAAGTCAAAATTAACTGTGAACTTATTGAAATTTCAGATAAAGTAAAGATAAAAAAAAAAAAAAAAACCTGTGGTAAAGTTACCTGCTTCTGTTCTCAACGCTAAGTTAAATGGAAAGAGTGATCTAATCAGAAAAAAAAAAATGCAAACAGTAAACATTGACCTCATAAAAATAAAAGGGGGAGAGAGAGAGAGAGAAGAAATAATGAATTGAGAAATTATGAGGCGATTCAGCAAATGAAGAAAGCAGGGCGGTGGGAAGAGAGGAATGAATGCCACTCTCTCTTTGCCTTTGCCTTTGCCTTCTCCGTCAACAGAGATAAAGGGCCCACTTCCGTGATCGCCAAGAAACGCTGCCGTTTTCCCCCTTATCATGGTCTGTTGTTCATTTGATTCATTCCTCTCTGTTTAAATTGAGATTAAAAATTATAATTATTCTTTGAGTGCAGGATCGTTTTTGAATATGAGTCAACGCGTTAACAAGAATCTAATTAACGTGTAATTGTTTGTTAACAGAACATAAATTTGAAGTTGAGGAATGTTAATGGACTTCGTAAGACCTGAAGAAGCTCAATTTGACACTTACCCGTTGTTAATGGCGCGACCCACGCACCACGTCATTGACATAACCGGAACGGCAACGTTTGAAGCTGCTGCTTCTTCTTTTTCAAATTCTAGAACGAGTAGTAGTAATAATAATAATAATAATACACGTAGGCATAGGAGTCCCTTGAATTCGGGGCTATGGATATGTATTGAGCTAGTCTTGACGTTAAGCCAGATTGCTGCTTGTGTTGTTGTTTTGTCTCTGTCAAAGCACGAGCACCCACGCGCCCCTTTGTTTGCGTGGATTGTCGGTTATGCTTCCGGTTGTGTTGCTTCCCTTCCTCTACTCTTTTGGCGTTATTATCATACTAGTCATGTTCGAGACCAAGATTCCTCTTCCAATTATGATCCTTCTGGAACTCTTCTTTCCAGTTCCACCGTTAATGGAGAGGATGGTGTTATGGTGGTTTCTAGAAGCAATCAAGATTCCTGGTTGATGAATGCCAGGTAATCATTTTTTGTTTTTGTTTGTTTGGGATGTCTTGAATTGTAGGAAATTATTGGCTGTTTTTTTTAAACCCATGTATGCGGTCGTGTTTGTGGAATGCTGAAAGGGATGAAAGTTCTTGTGGTGGATTCACTGTGCAGTTTGATGTTTGTTTAGTTCTTTTTACCATTGTGGAAGAGGGGTTTCAGAGATTGGGATTATTTAAGGGTTTTGATTTGAATTTTGGCCGTTGTTTCACTTTCATTCCCTCGCTTTTCTGTATTGCCAAATACATACATGTGTTGTCAAGTGCTGTTGTGGCCGTGAATCCGTGTCCCTCTCTCCTGTGGTCGTGGTGCTTTCCTTTCAAACTAATTAAATTGTGATGGATTACTTTGATCCTTTGGTACAATCATTGTCTTAGTTTGAATGAGAAATGATATATAAATGGACGACAGGCCTTGTGTGTATTGATCACGTTTGGTAAGGGTAAGGTCTTCCTGATGCTGATTTGCATTGCATCACTGTTTCTTGTACATCCGGAAATTTGGAGGTTGCATTTTTTTTTGTTTTTTTGGGTTGTCTGGAGAGGGCATTCTTGAGAAAATATGATACTATTTCAGCTTAAAGAATTCAAGAGACTTGGAAACCTATATGTGACAATTAAGGAAAGAATTAATGTTGTTTGTTGACTTACTCTACTCGAGAGATTCATTTTTGAAAATTTAGGGTTCATTTAGCTTATGAAGTTGCTAAGCTTGCATGCACCTGTTTAGCAGATTGAAGCTACTTGTCGAATACTTCAAGATTGCCGTAGATTGCTTTTTTGCTATATGGTTTGTTGTTGGAAATGTATGGATTTTTGGTGGACATTCATCTGCTGATGAAGCGCCTAACTTGTACAGGTATAGCCTTTCAACAGCTCTTCCATTGAGTGTAGGGTTTCTTACTTTTAGCTGTATTACCAATTTTCTGATTTTTGGAGCCTCCAGAGTCTATATTATATCTGCTTCCTTTGGCTGGCAGGTTATGTGTAGTGTTTCTTACTTTTAGCTGTATCGGTTATGCCATGCCCTTCATTCTTTGTGCAACAATATGCTGCTGTCTGCCTTGTATAATTTCCATCCTTGGGGTTAGAGAGGATCTGACTCAAACCCAAGGGGCAACCTCTGAATCCATTAATGCACTGCCAACTTACAAGTTCAAAACGAAGAAAGATAAAAGCAGGGATGAAAGCAACTCAAATGCCAGTGAAGGTGGAATTGTGGCTGCAGGTACTGAAAAGGAACGCATGATTGCCGGGGAAGATGCCGTGAGTATAACCTGATCTTCATTTATTCTGGATACTTCAGTAAAACTTTACAATAAACTAGCATTGTTTCGTTGTTTGTTTACTGTCTAGCTACACCATATCCATTTACTTTCTCCCTATGAAAAATCATGGGTCTCATTGCACTGGACTCTTTGGATTTGTCTGTGGAGGAACAGTTTTAGGCTTGTAGGTTATACTTTGTAAGCCTGCTCAAATTCTCATTATTTTGTTTCTTCTAGATATTTAGTATTTGGAAACTTTTTCCTGACCATAGAATCTTAAGAGTTTTTTTTGTCATATATACCAAATCCATTAGGTAATGAGTGGTTAATTTGGTGTTAGTGCTATTTCCTCAACTTTTCATAATTGCAGGGAAAAACATCTCTAGTTGCATGCTTAGTTTCTGTAATCATTTGATATTCTGAATTAAGAGCCAGTTTTGTGGGCGGGTTGCAGTTTCATGATGTAAATTGAAGGGATGAAACTTCTGGACTAGTTTTGCCCATCTTATCTTCTATAATTTTGGAATTGGGGCAATCATTAGATATTGTCTCTTCTCCCTTCTGTGCATTGGTGCATATGCTTACTGGAAATTTGGAAACCCTGATTGCTTGCTACCTCAGCTGTTTATTGAATTATACTCTTAATTTTCAAGTTTCTCTGAATTAGCCTCTCGTGTCCTGTGTCTTATATGCCTTCTTCTTGTACCAGGAGTTTGATTTTTTTTTTTTTTTTTGTGTTGGATGAGTTTGTCTCCTGATCTTAACTGTGATTGTCTTCAGGTTTGCTGCATCTGCCTGGCAAAGTATGAAAATAACGATGAGCTGAGAGAATTGCCTTGTTCTCACCTTTTTCACAAAGACTGTGTAGACAAGTGGTTGAGGATAAATGCATTATGCCCCCTTTGCAAGAGTGAGGTTGGAGAGAACGTAACAACAGGATCAGTCTCTAGGGATGATGCCAGCCAGCATCAGGGTGAAAGCAGGGATGAGAATGGCATCGCCAATACCTCATAATTTGGTTTATACGAATACAGTCATATACAATCTTGTAGTGTTGTAAAGCTTTTCCTACGCTACCCTCTTCCTTGGATGGATGTTTGATTCTGAGGTCATTCATTCCATTTCATTTTTGTCGATATGTTTGCTTTCTCTTGCTGCAATTTAAGTTGACTGTTACGGGAATTATAAGTGAATGGAAATTATACTTAGGCAGGGGCTTTTGTTGTTTTAGCTCACAAAGTTCAAGTGGAACTTTGATGGGAGAGAGAGAATGGGGAGGAAGGGAAAAGAAAAAATGAACGATATAGACGAGGATAATGAATGTTAATCTCTGAAGAGTATTTAAATTTTTTGCGGGTACAAAATTACTCATAAAGTGAAGTTTCTTTACATTCGTACATCTGGGAATTGATATTTTGCCATTTTCATTATTATTGGCCATTATCTTCCCTCCATGAACATGTTTTTATTCCGAATCTTCTTAACAGTAATGCTAATTTCACTGATATTTCTCTCAAAAATATTGAAGAATAACAGAGATAGGGAGAGAAGAAGGAGAAGGGTGGATTAATTGTGATATGTAAAGAGAGAGGGAGAGAAAAAAAAGTGTTGTCAGAATAATATTTTTCCTCTTTTAACGATAGAATAATTATAACAAAACTACAATTGTTATGATATCAAGTGTAATTATTTCAGTGAAATAGAATACATGAAATATTAATGAAAACAAATTACGGCTGGTGATAAAAAAATGTTCCTTTATATTATAAAAGTTGTTCAAGGAACAAAATTTTTGAAAATGTGTATCACGTTCGATGGCCATTTTGTTTGTGTGTGGATTGTCTTTGTTCAAACTCAATTTTTTAAGCATTTGACAAAAAAAAAAAAAAAAGTGGCTAATTTGAAAAGGTAAGAAATTTGAGGTTTACGGGGTTTGAAGTTTAGGTTAGGCACTATTAGATACTTGGATTCACGGTAAAATGTTGTGGAGGAAGATTCATTTCAGTGTTTTAACGATGAATTCATTCTAAAATGAGTGCGGACAAATATTAAGTTAAAAAAATTATCATAATTGAAAATGAAACAGAAAAATTATAATTTTATTAAAATATTTGTTTCTTATATTATTGAAAATTAGGTCATGGAAAATAAATCTTTTCGTTGTTTATCCAAAAATTTAAAATATAATACTTAATAATTTTTACTTAAATTATTTCTTATTTTTTTACCATTAATATTTGCATATATCTATTTTATATCACTGTGTAAATAAAATAAGCTTAACAAGTACTAATGGCAGCATTAATTATTGATTTTGACAAAAAATAATATTAATGAAACATTAATTCTTAATATTAATCGAGAAAAGCACATTTTAAATAATTAATGACACTATATATATTAATCATCAAACAAATTTTTTAAAATAATTCTCAACCCTCCTACTCTTTAATTATTAAATGAAGAAATATTTAATATATTATATATTTTTAATACAATAATAAATAATTTTTTTGTTTAATACTTACCTTACAAAGTACTAAAAGGATTATTAGAAGGATATAGCAAAAATCAAAATTTTATATTCATTAAACTATTGAATGTTAAATTTTTTAATGAAAATATTAATTAAAATCAAATTATTATTCAAAAAATAAAAGTTCACATAATTTTTTAATTTTATGTTTACTGACTAGTTAACAAATTTAATAATCAATATTATTTCTCATAAAAAGTTATCTCATTTAATACAAATAAACACATGTACATGTACCACACTCATGCACACTTTTATAAACCGACAGAAAGAGTATATTTATTTAGTGTGTATAAATTTAAATTTGACACAAATACTATGGTAATAAAGTAAAATTAATTCATACAGTTATTAAATTTCGAATGCATTTATTTATTATATTTCATAAAATGATTAGTATATTTGTATTTATTCATCTTATATTTAATTTTTTTACAGTGTTATTTTAAAAAAATATAAAAAATTCAAAATTTAAAAATATAAAAATTAAAGATGTGTTTAAGCTATAAAAGATATATTTATTAATAAACACGTAAGATTTAGGGCAATTATTGTTTTTTAAAATGTAGAAAAAGTTAAACAAGGTAATGCAACGATGCGTTTAAGGATAAACTTTAGAAGAATCAAGAACGTTGAGATGCGGCTAATATTGGGTGAGTTGTTCATTTCTCTCGCTATCGTTATCGTCTTCTTCCATTCTCCGTCGAACATCGTCTTAGGGTTTGCACTGACGCACTCTGCTTTCAGCGGCGCACACACATAGCAGCTTCCATTCACTTTCGCGGTGTCAAGGTACCTCACAATTCTCCTTCTAATTCATTCTGTCGCTTCGTTTTCTACTTTTCTTCGTTACGAGAAGAAGTAACTCTTTTTGATACCATCGATAATGCTTCTTGCACTTCCCTGATATTGAATTAAATCACGGGGATTGATTTGCGGGAAAAATTACCATATGTTCTTTGATTTTATTCAATGAATTACTTCTTGGTGTAATTTAATTTTCTTGGTACTTTAGGGCTGGGGATGATATTTTGTTTTATGTTGAATGATGGTGTTTTAGTGGTTTCGATGAAACTTGTGTCGTTTATTCGTGGTGTGATTTGTGCTGGCAATGTGTTATGAACTGTTTCAGGTGTTTTTGTTTGTGTTATTCATGGTTAGTGATACTGGTCTGGAATGTCCAACAATCTGGTTTCGGAGCCGATGCCGAGTATGCCAATGGCTCGGTTGCAGCCTGTTTTGAGCAAGGTTGATTCATCGGGGAGACAGATGGAAATGGGGCTCTTGGGTCCTGTAGCTAGTGATCTTGTGTCACAGCCACAGGCGACCTCAAATGTTGGATTACCCCATTCGAGTATGCAAAGTGGGCGGATAGAAGCACAAGCAGGTAATCCAGGAATGCATCAGTTTCTTTTGCCTAACAGACAGTCCGTGCAAATGGGGACTCTTCCGAATAGCACGGGGTCACACCAACAGCCAATGACTCCAAAGCGCAAAGCACCGATGGAATTATCATCTAGTAGTTCCATGACGTCAAGCAAGCGGGCTGCGCAAATGGGAAATAGACCTTGGTTGCAGCAAGTACCTAATGCGTCAAATAGAGGTTCTCCGCAGATGCAATCCCCATCAAATGCCTCCAGGACACAGCACTCGGCAGCTTCTAGTAAGAGAAAAACACAGATGGATAACACTTCCGGTAAATCTGGGACTTCTCGGTCCTTGAATTCCAAAAGTCAGAATACACAGATGAAACAATCCTCCAAGGTTCAAACTGAACCATCTGAAAGTGTTAGGTCCAAGATGAGAGAGTCACTAGCTGCTGCTCTAGCCTTAGTTTCTCAGCAAGGTAAATCTCAGGTCCCTAACAATAACACGTCGAATGATGCTGCCAGTACTCAGAGTAAAGTAAAGAACAGTTCTCAGTGCACTCAGCCAGCATCTGCATCCATTGATACTTCTTTGGAGCAAAAGCAAGATGTTTCTCAATCTGTTAATTCCTCTTTTGCTGCGGGTGAGTCAGTTGACCACGTTGCAGGAGAGCAGAGACAGAGTACATTTAATGAAGATTTTTTGGATAAATGCAAGGATTATGAAGTGGGATCCACTAATGTATCAAACAATGAAAATATACTGAGTTCTATGCAAGCCTTGGACTGTGATAAGCAAGACTTCCAGTCAAGTTACACTTTGACGACTGATGATGTTCCTTTCAGTGACAGTTTCTTTATGAAAGATGAACTTTTGCAGGGAAATGGTCTTTCCTGGGTGTTATCTGATATGGTGGATGTGGGAAATCAAAGGGAAAGTGAAACTAATATAGAGCAGAGGTCAGAACCTCAGGAAACAGGTGGAGTTTGTAGGGAGGAGGTCCCTTTGCATGAACTTTTAGCATCAAGGATAGAAGCAGAACTCTTCAAACTATTTGGAGGTGTGAATAAGAAGTACAAAGAGAAGGGGAGGTCTCTTTTATTCAATTTGAAAGATCGCAATAATCCTGAACTTAGAGAAAGGGTTATGTTTGGTGAAATTCCCCCGGAACAATTATGCTCCATGACTGCCGAGGAACTTGCTTCAAAGGAGCTCTCTCAGTGGCGGATAGCCAAGGCTGAGGAGCTTGCTCAAATGGTGGTTTTACCTGATTCAGATGTTGATATCAGACGTTTGGTCAAGAAAACACATAAAGGTGAGTTTCAAGTGGAAGTTGAACATGAAGACAATCTCTCAGTGGAGGAAGTTTCAGCTGGCACAACCTCAATTGCTCGAAGCCAAACTACAAAAAAGGATGTAGAAAGCACTTCTCCTTCCAAATCAGATGTGATCAAAGGTGATGCGAATACTGATGCTGAGAAGAGCAAGTCAGAGAAGGATAATACATTTTCCATTACCATTTCTTCCAATGATGGTACTGATCCCATGCAAGGGCTTATGACAGATGATGCATTGAAGGACCCTGACTTTCTTCCGCCAATTGTCTCTCTTGATGAATTCATGGAATCCCTTCATTCTGAGCCACCATTTGAAAATTTACCAGTGGAATCTGGAAAAGTGGCACATTCGTCCGACAAGGATGATTCTGGGGCTGGATCTAAATCAAGATCTTCTGCTTTTAGTTTAAGTGCGCAAGCTGATGTCACTCCTGATAAGAAGTCTGAGAAGCTTCAAAGCACATCAGGTTCTGAAGAGGGAAAAAAGTTAAATGCAGAATCTGGGGCCATTTCTTCTAATGCAAGATACAGTGATAGTCAAACTGACGTGAAGCTGACAGATGGTCGTACCAAGGAAAGGTCAACTAATGATGTGAAGTCATCTACTTCCAGTGATGCTGAGTTGAAAGCCAGTCTGTTTCATTTGGAAGAGAGAAATCGCAATAATATGTATTTGAAAGCTACACTCCCCTCTAAGGGTGAATGCCTCTGGGATGGAATGCTTCAACTGAATATCTCTACCACTCATTCAGTCATAAGCATCTTTAAGAGGTAATCTACTGTTTGTTTGAGTATATTTTTATGATATAGTTGGCTTTTTGCTGTAAACTTCTGTGCATGGATTGATCTGATATTGATTGTTCCATTTATCCATCTTCTCATCTACCATGTTTTAGTGAGGAGCTAAGGATCTTGAAATGAATAGTAACAAGTTATTTTTGTCTTGCACAATAAAGGGGTTTGTGTTTTCTTAAAGGAAAGCAATTTCTAAATGAAAAATATATATTTTTTTTAATAATGATATGTGTTTATGAAAAAAAAGAAAAAATCTAACAAAGTTGAAAATAATAGCTTCAGTTTTTTTTTTTTTTTTTTTTTTTTTTTTTTAATAAATTGTATCATAAATCACTTTTAAGCTTAAACAAACAGTCACAATGTTATGGAAGATATTAATGTGTCCATACATGACAGCAGTAAGACAATGGATGGGATGGGCCATCTTGTGTTGGATGGGATTATTTGACTACAGATGCAACTTCTTTGCCATGTATATCCTGCTTCCAGTTCCCAATTGATATTGGAATTTGGAACTATCTATGTCCCTTCCTCATTTTTTTATGCTTCTGTCTTTTAAATTTTGTTTGGCATTGACTTATCATGATTTTGTTTAAGCCTGCATGTAATCTTTCATTTGATATTTTGTAATTTATTTAATGTGATCTGTTGTGTACATTTGATTGAAATTTTGTACGCATATTGAACTCAAGGTCAATTGGGTATAAGCATAGTTTAGTCTTGTGCAGACATTTATGAAAAAAGTGTCTTGCAGTTTCTCTACAGTCTGGAATCTCAGTTGTAAAATTTCCTCCTTTTTTAAGTTCTATGTTTTTTACCTTATGAACTCCTGCATGCTATCTTATGAAAAACAAATTAAGTTTTTGTTGATTGGGAGTTTTTAGTTTAATATGGTTTTGAAATGATTATTACTGTCTTTGGATATGGGTATTGTCTTGTAAATATCCAAGTATCATTCTAAAATCCCTCCTCCCCGCCCCCCAAAAAAAAGAAAGATGTTAGAAAAACTTCTTTCCTTATTGTTGCTGTGATACGTGTAAACATGTTAAATTTGGAATATATATCATTATTCTCTTTTTTTTAATGGATTGTGTGTGCAAACTGTCCAAAAACAAATTTTCTTTCTGATTGTGTTGATAATTGTGAATAATATTGTCTTTAGAGTTGGTTTTTCTTGTGTGTTTTTCTTCTTTTTCAGTTGGATAGGTCAGGGTGGTGGAGTACCTGTCTTATGCTGTGGACCTCTTGTCATTATTTTTTACTAATTGAAAATGTAGTTTTGATACGTACATGTACTTTCTGAAATAAATTAATACTTCTGCCATTTTTTCTGATTTTACATTATGTTCTTTGTGAAGTGGTGAGAAAACTTATGCTAACGACTGGTCTGGCTTTCTCGAGGTCAAGGGAAGGGTTCGACTTGATGCATTCGAGAAATTTCTGCAGGATCTTCGTCTGTCAAGAAGTCGTGCAATCATGGTATCTCAAGTTTCCTTTTGTTGTGCTAGAGCTATAGCTAGGCTTGAATCTTGTCTGTTTTGCACACCATCCACACAGAGAGAATGATTAAAAGGGGAAAAAATTATGTTTGCGGTGTGATACTAATTCATTCGTTTAACCACGTTTGAAGAACCTTGCTGACGAGATAAAGGAGGCAGTGAAGTGGTTGGTGGTTGTGTGTGACAAATGACGCACATATTTTAAGATTGGCAGGATTAGGTATTTTTTGGAGTGAGAAGTTACGAAACCATGAAATGAGTGGTTGAGGGGTGGGGGTGGGGGGATTGAATATTTGGATCGTGATTGTTTCCATGCTACGAAAATTTCAATATTTATAGTATTTTGACACAATGAAACATGGGGTGTAAAAAACTGAAGAATGTGTTTAATGAAAATCTCCCCAAAAATCTCTCCTATTTTAAGTGGAATAACTTTCGATGAGATGCACGGGAACATAAGGATGATGTAAAATAGAATATAGATAAGCGTGGTTAACTGAATTGATTACAACTGAGGGCGATTGCTGCTTGGTGCTAATATTACCTTATCAGAACAAATCTGTGTAATTGATGAAACTTCCTCACATCACTCTTTTGGGCCCTGTAAAATTGAAAAAAACCTTCATTGTATTGCAGGTTTCACATTTTGTTTCCAAAGGGTCATCCCCCGAGGAGGAATCGACTCTCCGTGAGGTAATGATAATGATATTAGTTTGATTCTCATCTCTACTCTTTACTGGCAGATTGTTTTGATTTATTAGATGTTTTTGCACGCAGGTGGCTGACTCGTACATTTTGGACGAGAGAGTAGGATTTGCTGAGCCTGCGCACGGAGTTGAACTTTACTTTTGCCCACCTCATAAGAAAACAGTTGAAATGCTCAGCAACATACTTCCAAAAGAACAAATTGAAGCAGTTAATTCTATCGATAATGGCCTAATTGGTATTATTGTATGGAGAAAAACTAATTTAACTTCGACTATATCACCCACCACTTCATCACACCACAAACATGGCTCTAAAAGACAACACTTTAGTAGGAGACAGCAAGATATAAATGTGAATGCCAATTCCACCCACAAAGCAGTGCCCTCTACGGGCTTTAAGACCCCCGAGACTGGACCCCCATGTGATGATGATGATGATGATATTCCTCCCGGATTTGGGCCACCGGCGGCCCGAGTTGAGGATGACCTACCGGAGTTCAATTTCTCCGGCAGTTCAAATCCATCACAGTTGGTCCAAAAACCCATGGGACCAGGTATGGTCCCATTACACTCGGTTAACCAAGCCCCGTCACGCCCTGTAGAACAAATGAGGGAACTTGTACACAAATATGGGCAAAACAAACCAAATGTATCTTCAGTTAATTGGCAGGATAAATTTGGGGGAACAATTCAACCCTGGAATGATGATGATGATGATATACCTGAATGGCAGCCCCAAACCTCGCAGAATCAGTTTCCTCCCCAACAACAGACAACGATGCACAACTTTCATCTTCGACCTCACATCTTGAATCAATCATTTGCGGGTTCACCACAGCAGTCGATTATCACAACACAATATCTGCAACCCCCTATGAATGTGACACATGGCCAACGAAATTTTGGCCCCCAGTGGGTTTCTTCTACCCAGGGTAGCAGAAACCTGCGGCCAAGCGGTGTACAACCCCATGGAACTTCTTCGCAAGGCACCACCTGGCCTCAACATGTGTCTAGAAGTAGGGGCTATTAGTTTCTTTTAGTATAAAATTTAGGGCCCTTTTTAATTAATTTTTTGATGTCTTAACAGCTGTAGCGTGTAAGCTCATTATAAAGTTTCAAGCTATTTCTTTATGTAGCGCCAATACCGCCTAGTTTAGACGAATTACTGTTTTTCTCCTGTGTTAGTTTGCCGACAGTAGATGTTCCGCCGAATAAATATGAGGGACAACATTTTTGCTTGCTTTAGGTTTTGCGATGGTTTTCTCAATTTTCATGGTGCTTTCGTTACTTTGGCTGCATTATATGCAATGCTACGTCTGACTGACGCCTAACTTGCCGTCGGTTTTAGCATAAATAGGGGTCGTTTATACAGTTAAGAAAAATTAACTTCAATTAATTTTTTTTTTAAAGTTTGGGATGCGTATTCAAATTAAGTTTGAATTGTTTGAAATGTGCATCTAAATTAATTTCAGCCTTTATATTTAAATATGTATTTTTCTTAATTAACAAATGTAAAAATTATTTTAACGCCAAACAAATAGAGGCATGGTGTTTAAAATTCTCGTGCTCTGCTTGGTCTTTGGGATATGCAATAAGGAATGGAACTAGTAATAGGTTATCATCACATGTAATAAGTTTTTATAGCTCATTTTTTTTCATCTCTTTTCTTCCTATTACTCGTCTTTTCCATCATTTCTCCCTCGAATTATAAAAAAATTTATAATTTTATTTTTTAAGAGTCTCATTACTCTTATATTTTCATGCGTGGTTTATAACACCCGTTCTTATGCATCTTTCACTTTAAACTTGTTTGTCTAAACACGGAAGAGAATTTTTAAAGGGGCATCAAAATGAGTTGTTCACCTTGAATTTTACAAAAATATTTGCAACGTGGAATACAATTTCTTTCACAAGTAACCCGATGCAATAAAAAAAAAGGTAGATTTCAATATCGATAAGTTGACAAAGTTGGTTGGTTTAGGATCATATCTATCTTTTTGAGAATTTTGCATATGGTCTCATAGCCAATCTCAAATTCTAGTAAAGGAAATTTATTTTAGGCCATTGACAACCAGTATAATGCTTTCTGAAACTCATACACAAATCACTGATGATAGTATTGTCTATTCTGTATCATAATGTAAATGTTAGGCTTTAAATGGATAGTACGAAAAAAAAAAAGTAAGAGTAGCAAAATAAACATATTAAGATATACATGTGGTCACTCGAGAAAGAGTAAGATAAAAATACCATATACAATAAAATATTGGAGTAATGTTTATTAAGGAGAAGATGACAAAATCAATTTGGACATATGCGAAGACCAAATCTCGTGTTCTTTCGTCTGTGGGTATAATTTGTGTAATTGTAGAAATTCAAAAATGAATTACACAACAAATACTTTAATGATTCTTGCACATTAATATGTAAAGCCCGTTTAGTATATCTTGAGTTGGTATGAAAATGAGACTTTCAACAGCTAAAGATAAGAGGTTTATGTGAGAAAACATAATTAATTGAGCTTATTCATAAATTGCATGATTTTTAGAATTGTTAAAAGATATAGATGAACATAAAAAATATTAAAAAGAAATCATTAAATTTTATTTATTATAAATAGTATTTTAAAAATCTAATTTTTAATCAAGTCTAATAGCAGTCGCATAATCTATTTATATTCTTGATTTTACTTGGTGGGACGGTACATGTATTTTGAGTTAGCTGGGCAAGACTTTTATTATTATTATTATTATTATTTCCGTACATGTATTTTCACACGAGATAACTTTTTTAAACTAACATTTATATGATAATAAAGCTAATTCTCTCAAAATAGTCTTTTTCATAAATAATACTCTAACTCGAGAGATTGCTTTATTCAGATTAACTCCCCAGTGATCTATGAAAATCGTGTTAATTCTTTTCCGAAGAACAAACTATTGTGCATAATATTGACGTAAAAAAGTGTTTTCAGTAACCAAGATAAAAGAAAGACGTCTCAGAATAGCAGAGATTAATATAAAGAACCACAATTTAGCATCGGAATCCATACGTGGCCTCAATGCTGTTCTGCATATGCCCGAATCTTATATCTCCAACAACTGGAAAAAAAACAAAATCTGACAAAATAAAAACAGCGGAAAAAGAAAAGCAAAAGTTAATTTCTCAATTACAACCCAATTGTCGTGTTAGAACCCGAAGAACCATATTACAAGACGTATATGAACACATTTTCTTTCGACTGCTATGTGCAATTTAGAACCTTTTGTACACTACTCTTTACATTTTTAGCAAATAATACAACAAAAAGAAGGACCCATCACCCAAAACATGCACCGAAGAATTATGAACCGTTGAGTAAAACAAACAAACGATTAATAACATGAAAAAGATTGAATAACATGGTCAACTTCCCAATGCTCTCTTGAGTCCTGCTCGTTGCTCTGGGGTCAATCTTGTAGGGAACTTAACATCAAATTTGATCCTCAAATCACCCCTATGACCAGGTTCCTTTGTTATTGGCATGCCTTCATTTGCAACAACTAGTTCATAACCGGGGCTCACAATGTCATTCACTGGAATAGTTAAACTACGTCCATCAAGTGTTGTGAGATTTATTGAAGTTCCTCCAATGGCCTCAGCTAGTGACACCCTTTTACTCACAATGAGGTCATTGCTATCTCTCTTGTAAAAATCATTAGGCTTCTCATCAATCACAAACACAAGATCTGCTGGTAGTTGATTTGGTTGCTGATTCCCTTTATCTGGGAAAGTAATCTTTGTCCCTTTCTTCCAACCAGGCTTCACATCAATGGTTAATATTTCTGTTTCTGGAATTGCCTGTCTGCAATTTTTGCCATCATAGAGAAATGCACCTTAGAAGAATTGACAATGTTTGTGACAGTATTGTGACAATTATTTGAATGATACATAGACTTGTGTCTTAAATAAAGGTTCTAACATGTATCCCATGTCATGCAAAACATGCATTCATCTTTCTAAGGAGGGGTTCTGTTCAATTGAAATATTGGATGTAATGTAACAATGGATTTAAATTACATATGAATTGATCAGGAAGTAGTCAAGAACTTGGAGATAAATAAACCCCAACAATGAAAGGTTTGAGATCACTACTTACAGCTTGGAATGAAAGCCTAGGGAAGACAGACCAAATAAGAGATAATTTGAATAAATTTCTCAACTAACATTTATAAAAGGAGAAATTAAGACGAATCAGACTTCTCATCTAAGTTATAATCAACTTATGCATTTCAACTTATAGAAAAGTTAGACAAGGGAATTTTTAAAAAAGTATAGTGTGTGAATTAATTTGTGAGAAGTTAGAATTACTTAACATCTTTGATTCCTTTAAGTGTTTGTTGAGAAGCTTATCTAATCTGACTATAAAACAAAAAAGAATTAAAAGTAGAGGTTAAGATGACTGTACTTACCCATTGGCATCCATGACAGTCCTTGAGATCTTCATTTTCCTGGTAGATCCAGAGTATAATTCCTCCAAACTGCAAGGCAATTTGGTCTCCACAGGTGGTGGCTTCTTTGGCATACTTCCACTAAATCCACCAAATGTTGCCGCTCCATCAGTGTGGAACATCTTGGACCTCCCTTGCCCAGATGATCCAAAACCAAAAGGGCTACTTCCAAAGAATTCTGCAAAAATATCCTCTGCATTTCTGGGATTAAACCCACTTGATGATGGTTCATTACCGGGTGGTGGCCTATCTTTCAACCCTTCCTCTCCATACTGATCATAAATTACCCTTTTCTGGGGATCACTTAATACCTGAATTCACCAAAATTCTCTCAGAATTTCTTCAGAGCCAATCCCATTAAATCTCAAACTTGACATTTAATAGTACACTATTTCTATTAAAATTGTAGAGACACCTGTAGTTAGAGGAAAAACTTGCATCAAACCGAAAAGTAGTATATTCCGGGTTATATTCTAGTATTAATACAAAAGAAGATAGTTTTTTTTTTTTTTAAATTTCTTTTTCCTTTAAGCATGGATTTGGATAAGAAAACTCAATCTCAAGTGATATTAATAGCACCGACAACAATTGTGAGTGAAAACGTTTTCCATTTCTTTATAAAAAGTTCACATGTAATAGAGCTGTATGATACTTTTACCCAATAAAAACACCTGCAGAATGTCCTTCCTTTACTTGTTTTCCACCATGAATTTATAACAATACTTCAATGCATAATCCACACAGAACAACCCTCAAATTTGATCGTTATTGCCATTTCATTTTTCTACTATGAATATAAAATAATCGATTTTCCAATCATATATATACATTCCTAACCTTTAAAGAATTAAATAATGTGTAACAAGAAACAAAGAGCTGAAAAATTGATTATTCTTTCATTATTTCATCTTCCCTATTCCCATCAACCAGTTTATTTCAAGCGCTATTATAATTCTAATTGCTAAAGAGACATAAAGAGAAAACAAAATATGGGAATAGTTTCTTGCCTCGTAGGCCTCAGAAATTTGTTTGAATTTGGCTTCAGCTTCTTGTTTGTTGGTGGGGTTCTTGTCAGGGTGCCATTTCATGGCCAATTTTCTATATGATTTCTTCAGATCATCCTCTGTAGCATATCTGTCAACCTTCAATATATTGTAGTAATCCATATTTTCTTTTTCCACAAAATCTGAATCTTGCACTTGTTACAATGAGTATCGAATTCCAAAATATCAAATCTTTAAATTTAAATTATTTTCATGGACACCCGATTATGAAATTCAACCATTCTTCCACCAAAGTTCAAAACTTCATCGGAGGGTCCATTGAATATGATGAAGTGACAACAAGAATGGACCAATAAAATCAAATTACAACTCAGAAATCCGAGAGTTTATGAATTGGATTGTAGCGTTCAATGGTTTGGGTTTGTACAGAAAAAAGAACTGAACGGGAAATACATATCAATTGGTTCACAAATCAAACTGATTAATATGCATGCATTATTTTTTTCCCTTACATTTTCAACAGATCAAGAACTCGTTGAAACTAAACGGAAAATTGAGGATAATAAGTGAGACCGCGAATGACGGGAAATATATACGTAATTGAACTCTCAAATTTGCCCAACGGGCATACGCATTAATCGTTGAACATGCAAAACTCTATCTTAGTCTTTATATTGGTTCTTGTTGAAAGATAATGAGAGTTTAATACTTGAAGATCAATACAATATATATATATAGCATGGTTTAGTATTTATATTTGGCCTTTTAATAGACTAATTACGGCCTTCAAAATTTGGAACGAAATATTGTATGTTTAATGCAGCGTTAAATTCAACTTAAAGTAATTTTTAGACATTTTTACGCGTGTTTATAAAATTTTAATGCCAGTCCAAATTCACTGGAAGCCAAGATACGTTCACGTTGCACATTATCGGTGACAGCATGAATATGAAAGCGGTTTTTACACTCATTTTTTTTATTAAGTTTTATAAACAAGTAATTTAGTATGATCTACAATTGTCGACAATATGCTTATTTTTTTCTCTTTTAAATACAGAATTCAAAATCTTAATCATAGTGAATCGACATATATAACTAGAACTATTCATACATTAGCTTTATAAATAAGAATTGAATTCAAGGTTTGAGTTTTTAAGTTAACGACTTTATGGTAGTGACTGATAATATATTTGCATTATGTAAGTTCTGCTGAAACTTGCATATTATGACTTTAAAATATAAAAGCATCCCTTTAATTTCTAGAATTCTTTCTGTTAAAAAAATGCAGGCTATAGCATCCATTGTGGGAAAAATAAACATATAATTGCAATTGTAACTTTTATTATTCCTGTAAATGGTTGTTAATTCAGTTATAGTTATTTCAGTTATGCCTCATTAGTTATAGCTAGTTGTGATTGCGCTTTTTAGTTTTTGGTAGCATTAGTACCTGTTGTAGCAACTGCATATATGTCTCATGCTGTACCCATTTCTAATCAAGGAAATCAAATCAAGTTCTTTGTTTCACTTTTACATATTGTTCACTTGATCAGAGCTTGAATTATATTTTATTGTTACCACAAGAGTCAAAGTAAGTCCACTTTGGCTATAACTCAAGAATATCAATAAGCATGACAATATCAACGAATATCTTTTATTCAACAAGAAAATTGTAAATATATTGGGTGCAGTGGGGGTCTCCGATTGATGACAAATTGACAATGAATATATTAAAGTCATTTTTTTATGGACTGTCAAATGAATATGATCTCATAATAACTTGATCATTTTAAGAACTGATCCATATACATTTACCGAAATAGAAGCATTGTTAAACTTGTATGGTCACATTATCTTAAACTGTTATCATAGATGATTGCACATTTTACATCCATACAACATCCTATTTTAAATTTGTTATCCAGTTATATGTTAAAGTTGAATAACAAACTTGTAGCCCGATTAACACCAAACTAAATATTTGAAACTTAAAAAGTTTTCAGCTAATACAGAAAATATGATCCTCAACTATGCCATTTTAACCTTTTAAATACAGAACATGCAACATTAACTAAAAAGAAAAACAGGCTAATGGTACTTAATGTTGTCCCTTTACTTGATTCCACTTGATTTTGTTAAAGGAAGGAACATCAATAAGGAAAACATTTCGTAAGCGCCTGTAATGGTGTATGGTTAGGAATAAGTTTAGGAAAATATTTTTTTTTTCAAAATAATCCTTTAAAAATTGTAAAAAAAAGTAACTATTTCTAGAAATAATCAAACTAAGCACAAACAAGTTTTGAGAATTACTAGCATGTATCCTTTTTGACATTGCGCCTATCATCACCACACCATTGAAATATCGTAATAGAATTGTCACCATAATTTGGATTTTTATTCCCTTTTATGTTTTTCGGTCTTCCATTTGTAGAATTGTACTAGTGTAACCGACACAATTAATTGCAGAGTCACAAATTTATTCAATGCTTTCTGGGTGTCTTATGGGGATTTGATGATGAAGTACTAGCTTCAGCTGACGAATTCTTCCGTTTGGGTGAAGCAGAATCAGGTGATGAAACAGGTTGATCCTGTTTCGGAGGAACATTTGCTGTTCCAGAACCTGAAGTATCCTTTTCCGATGTAAGAATTATTGTTCCACTATCTGAAACATCTCCAATACCCAGTGTGTCCGGAAGACTTCCAGAAAGGTCAACCCCATCAAACTGTTAAGGTAAAAACAATTACCCCTCTAAATATACAACATAAAGAACACTGCATATAAATTGGATTTATTTCATAATGTGTTTTTTATTATGTGAGTATGACTACCAAAAATATGCTCTCCTAAGCTAGTGATTGACCAATTGACCAATGTTAGCTATTAATTGTATCAGGAAACAAATGGACCATACATTAACAGGAAGTACTTATAACATTTAACTCTCATTATGATCAACATATGTAGCAGAGATTAACAGTATAGTTGCATTTACCAAATTTCCAAAGTAAAATAAGTAAAATAATAAAAGGAAGAGGGAGAACAGAAAAGCATCAATTAGTTGTATCTTTCTGTATTAGTATTTCACTATTTCCAACTAGAAATAGTCTCACACATAAATTTCCACTCAGCATCATATCATACGATCAAGTAATTCATTCCACATTTGCACAAGCTGAACAAAAGATATATATACTGCATAAACGCATGTCAGCAATGAATGAACAAATTCAATTCAAAGCCATGAAATCTTGACAATTGAAACATTACCTCAATCTCAGAGAGCATGTCAATAGAAGCATTGAGGTCACCTCCGCTTACATTGTAGACATCTACAAGGGACTGTTCAGAAATACCAGGAAATGTCATCTTTAGGTAGTCAATAACCATCTCAGGATCGTCCTCCATGGATTGGTTATCGTTATCTCCCTCGTTCTGCGAAGAAGAAGGGCCAGATTCGGGCTCCACCTTCACTTCTGAAGCTCCTTCACCCTGAGTTTTAGATTCATCATTCTTCGAATCTTTTTTTGATGCAATAGCTTTGCATCTTGACTTCTTTCCAGACCCTCCTCCCATCGTGGACTTATTCTTCGAACCCCATTTACACAAAAAGAAACTAAATTCAATCAACCTAACAAGTTCTCAAACACATTTTGGTGATGTTCTTACGTAAAATTTTCAAGTAAACAAGAACTATGAAAAATGCATTATCTTTGACTCAGTTCTAGGAACCCCATATACCCTAAACAAAGAATCAGAAAGCAAAGCAACTAAATTGAGTCGACCTAACAAGTTCTCAAACACATTTTGCTGATGTTCTTACGTAACATTTCAAGAAATCAATAACTTTGAAAATGCATTATCTTTGACTTGATTCTTGGAACCCCATATACACAATAGTAAATTGAATCAACTTAACAAGTTCTGAGACACATTTTACTATTGTTATTCCGTGACCTTTCCAAGAAAACAAGAACTTAGAAAAATGCTTTATTATTTGACATACCCACTACGCTAAAAAACATGGGTTCGCAACCAATAAAATGGTGTTCGAATCCAATGGACAGTGTTTTTAACGAAGGTGAAAATTTGAGTTTGCACATGCATGGATGATATGAACGGAGAGAAGAAGTAACGAACCAGTTGAACGCGAAACCTTGATTGATGATTGAATTGAGAAAGCTCAAGAAATTCGGAAAAGGAAAATGCTTTTACGTAATTTGTTTGTTGTGGCAAATGAATCAATCACTAGTCACTAGTGTTTATATAGAGAAAAATATATAATAAATAAATAAAGAGTCTACATGTGGTAACTATCCACTTGATTCCCCAACCCAAATGAATTTAGGTTAAGCTAATAAAATAAATACAACTCGTATCAATTTGATTGGTTTGCACAATGTTTTCCCCAAAACTCAATTTAGCTCAACCTAAAATTAATTACCATCTAGTTAAGTAGTGTAGTTCGTTCGTATTTTACAACATTTTAAAATTATATATTTATCCTTATATTTGAATATTTGGTCTTAATATTAGAATACAAAATATATCTTTATACATCAGTTTTTATTTTTTAAAGCATGCAATAGTTTTTTTTTTCAAATTTAATTTAAAATATGTTTTAATTTATGTTAGCTACTTTCAACAAAAAGTATTCATGCACTCATATAATAATTAAACTAAGATAAAAAACAATAATTCAAATTGTAATCAATTCACCCAATTAACCTTCAAATAATAGTAATATTTTCACAGCTTTTATTTTTTTAGCACGTACAACAGTTTTTAAAAATATAGAATCTTAATTTTAAAAAATTATTTTTTAAAAATAATTTCAAAAGTTAATTTTTAAAAGTATGAAACTTAATTTTAAAATTGTAAAATATCATTCTGAGCAATAAATGATTATTTTTATAATAAATTGTATGAAGAGTAACGATGATAAATGCATTAAAAAAAGTGATAAAAGAATAATAAATACGAATAAAGAGAAAGAATAAAATGTGATAAAAATAAGAAATGAAAAATTAAAAAATATTTTAAAATTTTAAAAATAGAGAAATTTAATGATTGTTAAATTTTTAAAAATATTTTGTATTTAATAATTTAAATTATTGTTAGAAACATTTTGAGAAAAAAATTATAAAAAATTAAATTAATGCAGAAGAAAAAAAAGAAATGTAAAAAGCAACCCGTTACACTAAATCTACTCCATCCTGTGTTGTTAGAAAAGCAAGTGTCGAAAGTGAGATAATGTTACAGTGTGGTGGTGGATGACACAAGTGAGAGCTAGCAATGGTTTTACACTCTTCCACGCTCTCCTTCTTCTCCACTCCTATTCTGCTCCCTAACAGGTACTCTTACTTACCCTTTTCAATTGATTTTATTTATTTAAGTTTATATTATTCACTCTCTTCTTTCTAAAAATATTATTTACCTATGTTAATGTTCATTTCATCATGAACAATTCCAATACCAGGAGCAGGGTTATCCTTAACCAACACAAATGCCCATTATCCGAGGAAACGCCCCCCTTTTCATGTCGTGCCCTAAAACCCACTTCACAAAACACGATTTTCAGAAGGGATTTGCTGCTGTTTGGTCTCACTTCAGTGTCTCTAACATTGCCACTTTCAGGTATCTCTCCCTCTCTCTGTCGCATTCTCCTTTAGATTCAGTTAGAGTATACATTTCATTGTGTTGGATTTTTCAGTTTAGTTAGTTAGCTGTTAACAACTACTACATGACAGTTGGATTGCTGCACAGCTTAACCAATATATAATATTGGTTCTCATGTATTCTGAATAGATTTGACATTAATTCAAAATCACAATTTTAATATTCTCTTTAATTTCTCGCATTCACAAGCTTTATCGCATCGGTTTTTATGTGTATTTGATTTAGCTTGTTCAAGAAAAATAATCGTTTATTTTTGTCACCAGAGAGAGGGCTTTTGAAAAATAAGTGATTATTTCCTAAAATCCATCTATTCTTAAACAAGCACTTAATGTGGTAGAACTGAGACATATTTGCTTGATCATTATTCTTTCTCATGTACCTCTCAACTCTTGTTCTGTCTTGCAGTGACTCTTGCGGAGGAAGAGCCGAAAATGGCTTCATTTTTAGATGAAACAAATGCCTATTCTTATTTGTACCCCATTGAGTTGCCGTCTGATAATTTTTCCTTCAAATGGTATGCCAAGTACATACATTTTGTTTATATTTGTATTTATAGTAAATAAAATGATAAGGGGCAGCTTCAACTTTAAATTTTACCAATTTTGACCACATTCAACAGTATCAGTAATATGTCAGGTGAGCTTCTTGATCTGAGGGGATTTAGTGCTAGCGCATTTAAAATAGCTATATTTGTTTTCCAACTCCATTTGTTGCCTGGAAATTTTCCTTGATTATTGTAGGAAGCTAACCCTTTTCCTATATTTAAAGGGTAGAATCTCGAAAGCCAGAACGGTATTCATCAGCTGCACCACTTTCTCGTAAGTTTTGCTGTTTTCCTTTGCATGGCAAAAGTATATCTTATCAAATAATTTCAGAATTGAGGTTATGATTCATCATGAACTTGTTTCCATTGCCATTTAAATTTAATAGCTATCAGCTCTTTCGTTGTGCATAAAATATCTTGTAGAAGTCTCACATTGGTATAACCAAAAAAGAACATATAAAGGTTAAGACAATCCTGACCTCATAAGCCAGCCTTTGAAGTTGAGTTAGGTCAGCCCAAATTTAAGATGGTAGAGTTTATCATAAATCCAATATTGGACTACCCTTGATTTTAAAATAAAAAACTTGAACCCATTGATTTGGCCTCGTGCTTAATACTGATTTGTGCTTAATGAGACTGGATGATTGCTTTGTGATTTTCCTTTTCTCGATGAAAATTGCTCTGCAAATTCCATACAGCTGATGCACGTCTGCGCATTGTGTCTGAGCGTGTTGATATTATTGATAATGCCATCATTTCTGTCACGGTATTTTCCCAACCTCATACTACTTGACGGAGTATTAATATAATCTATTCAAAGCTTTATCAGTTTTTGGTACTAAATTCAGGTAGGTCCTCCAAATTCCCGCTTTATAAAATTGAAGGATAAGAGCAAATGGAGTGCAAAAGATGTTGCTGATTCAGTTTTAGCTGACAGATCTTCACTGGTAAACTGGTCACTCCTTCATTACTGCAGGATTTTTGTGTTCATGCTTTTCTTATTGGAGACAGAATTCATATTTTGTAATCAATTCGAACCACAAGAAACAGCTAACATTTCTCAAAGTAATAATTAAAATTCAGAGATTTGGTATTCACTGATTACTTACTAGAGATTATCACTACCTGGCAACCAAGGAGTAGGAGAACCAGATAAGCCAAGGTAATATGGTCACAGAAATGCTGGATGGTGGGTAAAACTTTTTATAAAAGAACGGAGGATACGCATCTAATTAATCTTCTGTTTTGAGGATTTTTCACAGATCATAGAATGAACAATGGCTCTCCATGAGGTTAAAAACTTAAAATATAGCTGACCTCTGTTTCATAGCTCATGCTTCAAAATTACGTGTTAACATAATGTTGGAGTTTGATTTTTGCTTGCAAAATTGTCATGAAAATGTATGCTCTGTTATGGTTACCATTTCTTGAATTTATGCTTGAGCTTATCCCAACTCCAAAAGCTAGCTTCTAATGCGAAGATTGTCTTAACTTTTATAAGTTCTACTATAGCCATATCTATTTTGTCCCATGTCTTTTCGGTGAGTCTACTTGTGTGGCTTTTCCAATGAGCTAGTTTTTGAGGTGAAGTTAGACCCAGCCTTTATTCAAGACCATTTATATTCTCGGGCAAGAAGTCTAGGGGAAATGAGATATAATAGTTTGTGTTTCAGCATGTGCAGATGTGATGTCCTACAACTGTTTAAATATTAGTTAGCCTTGTTTTTTTTTTTTGGTCAAAAATATTACTAAGCCTTCTAATCAAATAGCTTTGGTTTGTCATATTTAAAATGTTTCATGTTGAGATCAATATGAATTCTAATGAATTATTTCAGCACTTATATGTGCAATATATCATGGCCTTTTGAAATTTATTGTTTGGATGGGAGTAACACCCAACTATGTACATCACAAAGTTGCTTTTCTGTGATTTGCGTTGAACATTTTTTTCATTTATTTCTGATAACTACAGTATTTTGCAGCGAGTTACCTCAAGTCAGCGCTTAGCAGAGAGTTCAGTTCTTAATACCCATTCTGGTGAAGTGAGCCTCATAAAACGATCATTATTTCTTGGTTTCCAATATTTGACAGATATTATATGTGATCTCATGATAAAAATTAACTATTTATATATATAAAACATGTTAAATCGAATGTAAATATTTGCTGATTAAAAGGCATTTAATTTAAACAGATGTCTTCAGATAAGAACAGGAAGATCTCCAAACATGTTTTTGTTTGTTAATGATAATGAGTACTCCAGAGATTAAAAATTGTTACTACATTTACATATTATCTATTTACGTTGAAGTTTATGCATAGTGGAGCTTATCTGTCTATCTCCTCACAGATTGATGGTGAACCTTACTGGTATTATGAATACCTTGTTCGCAAAGCTCCTATGAGAATTGTAAGTACTTCCTTTTGGTACTTTTTTTTAATGGAAAGATGTGGTATATGTAATGATTACTTTTGATTTGCAAACCATGATTGTACAGACTGATGAATCAAGCGTTTACCGGCATTATCTTGCTTCAACTGCTGAAAGAGACGGTATATCCTCTCATTTTATTTCATTGGTATTTGGTATAGGTTATTTCTACCATTTCACTTCTAACTTGAGACTCCTTTGCATATTCATACAAACTGCTTGAAAGCTTCCGTTGGAAATGATTTTGTTGTCTTTTCCACTTCTTCCATTCAATCAGAATAAAACTTGTTTTGTACATACTAAGAAAAATCCAAAGAAAAACAAAACAAGACAAAAATATAATTTTCTTTGTTTGTTATAATTTTTTGAGATCATCAACAAACTAATTCACATATCATTGCATCTCTTTATGCTACTGCAGAGATTTTCAAGTTACATTTTTGTTTTTGGGTGTGGTATTTTAGAAATTCTCATATGCTTTTACTGAGCGCTTGATTGCAGGTTATTTGTATTCTGTCAGTGCTTCAACCATCAGCCCACGTTGGGAAAAAGTACCTTCTCTCTCTCTCTCATGGTGTTTGCATGTGTGATGCACATTCATTCAAATGATTATGTATTAACCTGTAGAAGCAGGCATTAAAACATAGCTAGCAAACGAAATTTAAAATAACTAGCACTTCCTTAGTCAATGAAGTGTGTCTAGTTCTTTAAATTGACTTGAGAATAGTTAGGTCATCCATATCATCATGACCGAGAACTTGTCACACTTTTTTATGTTTCTAAAAAAGAATTAAGAATAAATTTGTTCTTCTATCAAAGGATATTGTAGAACCTGAAAATTAATGGCACTTTTTTTAAAAAATTTAATTGGAATACACTGATAGCGTGAAGGTTTTTTATATTATCATTCAATCATTAATCATCACATAAATAAAATTTCATCTTTTTTTTATGATTTTCAAGGCTTGGAGTCATTTGCTAGGAGAAATTAAACTTGCCAATAATGCAATCCTAAATAGAATTTATTTATTTTTGGTCTGGCTCTAACTATATGGCACCATATATTTGATGCAGTTGGGCCCTTTCCTTGAAAAAACGGTGAGTTCGTTTCGACTTCTTAGCCCCACAGAAAATTATGTTCCTCCATACAAAGATCCCTGGAGATTTTGGTGAAAACCAAATTTTGTTTTTATTGTATTCATGTGATGAATTTTTGTAGAGTGAAATTTATGTAACCTTGTAATGTTCTTCGAAGAAGGAAAATTGAAATATCATGCCATATTCTTTGGGTTATCTCTTAAATCGGAATTCTTAGATTCTTGCAAGAGAGATCAGAACTTGACATTGGTAATTCCTTTGCTAAAAGTTATGGAATGTGCTTTCAATAGGATTAGAACAAGGTGTTTGCTAAATGTAAATTTGAGAGGGGATAAAATGGTTATGATTTTTTTAATATGAAAGTGTATTAACGTCTTTTCAATTGAATCACTAACTTTATTATTTATTCATATAAAATTAATAGTCAAGATTGTTTCACATATAAGAAAAAATATCAAATCCTCAATTACAAGAGGTATCATAGTTTTACCTTCAAATAATCCAAAGCGAATAAAATTTAATTTTTTTTAATCTTTATTTTGATTGTAAGATTTAGCTCTTTTATGTTTTTTTTTAGATTTTTCTTAGATTAATCTTGTTCTCTTCAATTCTCTGTATAAAATTATTTCTTTTTTTTTAAAATTTAGATTTTTTAATTAAACACAATGATAAACTTCCTCTTAGGACCTGTGAGTACTACTTTTAAGAACCAAAGGACTTAATAAAAGACATAGACTAAAAAAATTGAATTTTACCACAAATTGAGGATGATTGAATTTTTTTCTTCTCTTTTATTAATAACTATAAAATATCATCTTATTCATGTTATAACTCTTAACTTTTAAGATTTTGTCAAAAAATAGTGAAAATAATTTCATTTTTATCATTTTCTTTGTAATATTAAAAAAAATTATACTTGCACTACATTTCTAACAAGAATCAAACATAGACATGAATGATTCAATACTTGTATTACATCTCTAACAATAGGATTATGGCTCTGGCTTCTGAGGCTGACAGAAACACAGCTAAACTGCATTTAGCATTTAATCAATTAACAAGCCCAATATGAGTAAAAGAATAATAATAGTACACATTTTCATTACTTTTAAATATACAAAGAGTACCCCAAAATATTTCACTTCCCTTTTGTTGAGAATCTCTGTATTTCCATTATTAATATAGTTACCTTCTTTCCTTTTATATATAAATCTGATTGATTATGTAAATAAGGTAATTAGGGGTCAGCTGTAATTACTCAATCAATTCCTATAATCAAAGGATTCAGTTTGTACAGAATGTAATTATAAGGACTGCTGAATGACAATGAGAATACTCAGATTTTACCCTAATTATTTTCTGTATTTCTCTCTCAAGTCCTTTAAATAGAACACGAGGTAAGTTTGATATGTAATGTATTTAAGCTGCATTTTTCAAGGTAAGACAAATTTGCCATAGAGCTGCTGGGAACAGTAATGCAAAAGGAGGGTGCAGATGCTATTCAGATGCCAGTTAATCCTAGTATGTAGCAGAATATTCAAAAAGAATGCATTTGGATAACCCGTACTTAAGGCACACGTGTAGGCGATTAGTAAGTTGATATGTCAAGGACCAATCCATTTCCATTCGTGACTCCTTCATTTGCCTCACAATTCTTGCCTGCAAGGAAAAACAATTGCTTTAGATAATAATAAGCTTATCAGTGAGTGAGTAGCATTAGAACCAGCAGTTCAAGCATTCACAAGATTTGACAACTAATGGAAGCTTCTACATGTGATGTGACAACAACTAGATGATATGTTAACTAGTTCAGGATGTATGGTTGATGATAACCAACCATTTTCCCATGAATGACAACCCAATGGCCAGGACAAAAAACAATAAAGAAAATATCCCAGTTTAGGAATAGTTAGTTACTCAGCCAATTAATGATGTCTAAACTCCAAAGAGTGATTAATGAGTCAACACTTAATATTCCTAAACACGTTTTCATATGATGAATTCCTTCTATGTTCATTTCCCTTGTATTTTAACTATCATGATCAAAGTAGAGTTTTTGACATCTGTTGCTTTATTCATATAGAAATATTACAAATAATATTTTCCCTCCAGTAATGCTAATGCAAATTGATTGACAAGAAAATTGGCTGAATAATAGAAATCCAGCTCTTGGAAAACAAAGCTCTGAAAGATGAATTAATATTATTATCATTACCTGAAGGTGTTTCCCAAGATGAACTTCAACATCGGCACCAAAGGATAAATTATCAGCAAGTAACCTGAAAGGATCTTCTGTAGGACCAGCAAAAACCAAAGTAGGAATCTGAGGCACGTACACCATCTTCCATCTAGCCTGGCCAAACTCTCCCTTCCCTTCTATTCGTGGCATTAATTTTTCAAGAGTAGCCGTTGCAAGCTTGTCAAATGCAACTTGACCATCTTTTTTTAAAATGGATTCTGCGAACTGACTATCAAGTCTTCTGGCAACCTGCATTAGTTAAAACAATTAATAAGACCATGCTGCTAGAACGAAAAACCATGAGAGCACTGATCTTTCACGGATGAAACTATTGACTTCAAAACTAAAATTGAATAGAGCAATTTTTAGATCCAGCAGCACGTGGAGGAGATTTTGTGACCATAACATAGTGAATACCTTAATATCCACACACAATGGTCCAAGACTGAAGTTACTTGTTTGGTTTCAACTCAGAATTTTTAGAGCTTAATTGGGTTGGCGGTTAGTTCCAAACACCATACTGGACCACTTAATCCTAAACCATAAACCCAATAATGAGGATATGGGACCGCAAGTTTCAAATTTGACTCCAACTCTTATGTGATAATGGTTATATATGTCACAAAAATAGCTAAATTGGCTCATACAATTGAGATTTCATTCTTTTAGTAATTGTTGTGAGATGAGTGAAATAGTTGTCTTGCCATTGAGAATGCCTGTACTTGATTTATTCCATTTCATTAATACAGAATTAAATTTACAAAGCAAAAATAAAAAACAAAATCAAAGTTTGGCAGTCACAGCAGAAGGAGCCAGGAGTCTCCTAGAACAGAGAGAGCAAGAAATCTGCACATTAAAAAAATTACAAGTGCAAATAAAGGTCATTGGAGGCAGCGCTATCAAAATAACAGCCAAAGTTGCAAGGCCGCATAATTTTTCAAAAAGATAAGCATACAGAGACTTTATTCGTGTTGAGTTTGACAGTCACAGCTAAAAGTTGAATGCAACACTTAAGTTTTGAGCTCCAAATTGATCAAGCAAGAACAATGTCTTTTACCTCAATTGATGATAGTGTATCATGTTCTACAAAGTCTTGCCAATTGCTAGCTCGATGTTGAATTCTATATTGCCTCTCCGATCCAACCAAGGTTAAATCTAGCATTGGATCAAGTCCATACTCAGGCTCAAACTTTGCAATGTTCAGATGCTCCCGTTTTAACCTCACCTGCATTTTAAATGAATTTATCAACCTAAACAATGAGTTTAGAAAGTTACAGACCAAACTAAAATAAAACTAGTTGAGAAGAAACAGCAGGTTAAAGTTCATCGTTGCAAAATAAAAAATCACACAAACCTGTGTTGCCACTAGATCAACTTCACCATTCTCAAATGCCAGTACGCCTCTAGGCTTTATACCTTTGGGATGGGCAAGACCATTCAACTCAAGCTCTCCACTAACAGCAAAATTAAGAATCAAAGGATAAACAATCTTCAACTCTGGTCCAAGCTCAAGCTTCAAATCACTGAGGTAGATTCCTATATTTGGGGTTATCTGCACTTCCTCCATGCCCTTTTCCACTTGAATTGACTCACTGACTGCCATGTGTTTTTTTTTTTTTCAAGAAAAATATCATCATATAACAACAAAAAAAGCCATTTTTGAAAACATAACCCCGTAAACTACTAATTCATCAATATCATAAGCATATGTATAAATAAAGCATCTCCTGAATTGTATAATGAACCACATGGCACAGTTAAAAATAGTCGACAATAGTCCAATTGGGATCAGCTTCTAATTCTAACTTAAAGGAGCTTTTCAATTGTAAAACCCCACTTAAAACCAAGTTCTGTTAAGTTTACAGGTGTTTACAAGAGAAAGTAGATGAGATTTTTATAAAAAGTTGAGAGCTTATCTGAAAAGTTTGATTAATTTTATGTTCTTGATTCATTTTATTTTCTTCTCTCATAAGTGCTTGTAGATAAGTATACCTAAACTGACTTAATATTCTTCTTCTTTAAGCAGCAATGTAGTGACAAAATCTGCAAGGATAGTTTCTTGCCAACACTATAAAACGATCTTCTTAGCTTCTTTGTGGTGCTTGATTAGTGGCTGTTTAGACTTATACTATTAACTACTTTCCTAGAATAGAGCTATATTACAAAAAGCAAACCTATCCAAATGAAAGGAAATAAACAAGGAGACTGTAAAGAGAAAAAAAACAGAAATAGACTATCCTAAAGCAGTACAATCTACAATAATATAACAACTAAGTTGTTAAGAAACTTGAGCTTAACTTACTCTCAAAAGTTAGTTCATAGGAGGAGGACTACCCTAACGCTTACAAAGAATATTCTGACTTTGTTTCTAACCAATGTGAGACTTTTTAACACACACCCCTCATGCCTAAGATTGGACATCTGGTGTGTGAAATTTGCAGGATTGAACATTTGCGAACAGTCCAACATTCAAACTGAATAGACTCTGATATTATGTTAAGAAACTTGGTCTTAACTCACTTTCAAAAGCTAGCTCATAGGAAGAGGACTACCCTAACCCTTAAAAGGAGTATTCTGACTCTATTCCTATCCAATGTAGGACATTTTAACATAAGTTTTATCTCATTAGGTGAAGTCGGCTACATGAATCACACAATGTCATTGAGTTCGGTCAAAAATAAATCTTTAAAAATTTAGTTATTCAAAATGTTTCATTTAATAACTTTGTCTAAAGTATTTTTGAATCTCCCTTGACCCCTCATAACCAGATTAAGAGTTATGCAATCCACTCTCTTTACTTGCAATTGTAAAAGTCTTCTTTGCACATGATCAAACTACCTTGTACAATTTTTAGTTATTTTTTTTCATTATAGGTACTACTTCAATATTCGCTCGTATACTATTATTTAGTATCATATCTTTTCTCATGTGTCTGATCCACTTTAGCATTCTTATTTCTGTCACTCTCACTTTTTTCTCATGTTGTTATTTTAAAGTCCAGTATTCACTACCATATAGGATACCTGGTCATAAAACTTTCTTTTTAGCTTGATATGTACTTTATAATCATAAATAATTTTTTATATCTTTCTCCATTTTAATCACTCAGCTTGTATTCTGTGACTAACGTCTTCATTAATTTTTTTATTATTTTGTATAATCGATCTCAAATACTTGAATTTGAAAAGTTGTAGTACAATATTGATAAATTTATATTTTACAATATTTTTAACATAGTTTTTGTTAGTAAATAAGGAGTTAAATAGTAAATAAACTTGAAAATATAATAAAAATTGCATTAATATTCATAATTGTATAAATGGTTTAGAATTTTAGATTTTATTCCAATTCTAGACAATTTTGCTTAAAAAGACTTAATTTTGTGCAGAAGTTTGAGCTGAAGATGTTTGAATTAAAAATTGAAGTGAAAAAAGTAGAAGAATTGAGCTTAAAAGATAAAGAATCAAGTGTTATGTGTTAGGCATAGCCACTTTGAGTGCATAAAGTTAACACTTTGAAGAAGAAAATCCATGAAATTCAAGTGAGTAGCAACTCTAAGTACTAAAAGTGAACACTTCAATAACAGAAATCCTGAAGAGTCTTGCGCGTGTCCACTCTAAGCGCTGAGAGTAACTACACCCAAGGCTAATTCACTTACGCACAGTGCGCGTAGCCACTCTAAGCGTCGAGACTAGCTACGCAAAGTGTGCATGTCCACTCTAAGCAATGACAATAGCTATGCGTAAGGCTTTTCCATATAGAACACTTACGCGTGGATACTCTTACCACTTAAAATGTCCACACAAAATAACAGAATTTTAAAAATCACTTTTAAGTATCGACTTTAGATGATTTGAGTTCTTACCTTAGCTATAGAAGCTTCTAGAAGACCTTTGATGTTATAATTCTCAGAGATTAAAGTGTAGAAATAGAAAAGGCAAGAAAAATATTATAAATAGAAGTTAAGAATTCAGATTTGGAAGTCTTTTATCATTTTTTTTTTCTTTTCATTTCTACACCTTAGAAGAGTTAGAATGGAAGATTGGGAACGACTTCCAAGCTTTAGATCTTGAGAAATCAGGCTGGAGATTAGATTTACGAAAAAATTCTACAACTCCTCTTCTACTTTTTTTCTCTCTTTCTTTTAGGAACATATTCTGATTTCTTTTTGTTATGGATTGATGGATCTGATTTTGATATTATAAATTGATTGTGGATCTGGATTTTAAGATCTTGATTGTATTGAACGTTTAATTCTTTCTTTAATGCAATTGTAAACTAATTATTCATTCAATTGAACTTAGAGGAATCTTCATCAATGAAAATTGAGTTTATTTATCAGATCTGAATTAAATGTCAAGATTATAGATATTTTAGGGATAAGAATTCATGATCTTATGATCTCTTAATTTCTAATGTCAAATGCAATGTTTGATTGAATTACACCTAAAGAATTAAGATAGTTTAGTTAGATATAAAGATCAATGAGGCAAAAAATTATCCTTTGATTAATCTAGTAAAATTGATCATAAATCAATTAAGGAACTTAGAGTTTAGATCTACTTCAGTTTTGCAATTGATAAAGAGATGAAATCAATCCTAACTTAATTTATATATCATTTCATTTTTAAATTAGTAGTTTTATTTTGCTGTATTTTTTAGATTTTTGCACTTTATTGTTTTTATTCTCAAATGATTCAAAACATCTCCAATATTCGTTTGATTCAACTAGTTATTAATTTGTGAAGTGGTAATTGATAGACCTAATTCCTGAAGGCGATACTTAGGATTCATATTGATTTTTAAATTTTATTACTTGCTAGAACTATCTAGTACACTTGTTAGTTAGTATTTTCAAATTTTTGTGACAAATATCCTCTTTAAACTTAACTTTCAACACAAGATCCTCATCTTTATTTTTGCTAAACCTACTACAATAATACTTAAAAGAAATAAATGTCATAATAATAAGTAAATCTACAATAAAATAATTATTCCCTTTATATTACAACCTAAAAAGACGTAACTTTTTTTTCTATGGTTTCCTTTTTTTTTTTTATCAATACCATGTTTCTTTCCTCGGCCTTCATAAATTTTCATTGTATCCCTTTTCCTTCTTAATAAGAAAAAGTAAAAACATGTTAATAATGCTGTATCAAATAGATATTTTGATTGGCAACACAATGATATTAAATTTAAACATGTTAATAGAATCTTATCATCCTGAATTATTGTGAATTGACGACTAAAGATTAGAATCTAAAAGCTATATATGATCACAATGGTTACCTTGATTTATAACAATTAACAAATAACACTAATGTCATAGTTGGGTAGTTAAACAAAAATAAATTGAGCAAAGATGTAAATTCATGATTTAAATTGAATGCAGAGTCATTAGATTGAAAATGCAATAGTGCAGAAATTCAGAGTCAACTCTAATGTATATAAAGTGTATGACATGAGAGTCTTACATTTACAATAATAATTAAGTCAATTTTGATTGTAGAGCATTTTTAAAAGGAAATGGGACAAGATCATGCTAAACAATGAACATGCAAAGCATTACCAGAGCTAGAGGATTGAGAAATTTTAGTTGTCAAAGAAGAAGGTTCTGAGCTGAAGTAAGGGGAAATATACTTTGAAGCAAATGTTTCGCCATGAAATCTATTTGAAGCAGCACCACCCCTATCATGTGGCAAACATACTTCTCCATGACTGAGTTTAATATTTCCAGAAATGTTAGGTTGCAATATGGAACCAGCTATTTGCACATGGGAGTCAACCCGACCACTGACAAAAGTATAATTTTTTTAATAAGAATCATGTATAGGCAAATAAAATAAAATTACATTATCAATAGTCAATAATATTTAAGATTTAATGGTCTCATCAGCTAAATAGTCCATGAAAAAGTCAAGACATAACCTAGATCATTTGTCCCAGAAGTTAAAAAAGCAACCTTAAAATATCTTTTGCTCGCACTTCTAGACCTTCACACTTCAACTCAATCTTGTCACTAAGAGCAGCTTCCTTAGTTCTGAGAGGTAGGTTCCCTTTTACCAGCAGCTTCCCTTTTCTGTCTAGCCTACTTTCCAGTGAAGTGATGGATAACCTGTTTGATTTCATGTGAACAGATCCACTAAAGTTAGTTAGTGGCTTTTGGAACACAGGTGAAGATATAGATGCCCTGTGGAATGATGCATATCCATTAAGCACCGGTTGATCAACTGTACCTCTGACCTGTTAATTCAATCAATATGACAAGACTTTAGAGAAGACTGACCTGTTAATTCAATCAATATGACAAGACTTCAGAGAAGAAAAATAATTATTTGACAAAATTTTATTGACTCACCCACCTTAAGCATGATATCAGCTTTGCCATGAAGCCAATCGGCATAAGGAGATAAAGCTGTTACCAGCATCATTCCCCCATCTTTTATATCAAGATCAACCGTGACTTCTTTAAGATCTAGAATTTGCCAATTTAAACCTTTTAGGCTTTCTGCTAATTGAGTATTCCAACCTCCTTTGTTTCCATGTCTAACAACTCTTTTGTCTCTGGCATCATCAGTGATCCCTCTCTTCTTGTTCACCCAATCAGGAACCCAAGTGGCCCTACTCTCATCTAATTCTACATCTTGCTGTAACATGTTACTTTGTGATAAAGTAACAGGAATGGTTCCTAGAATTAGTACATGACCATTTTGGGTCAAAGGCTCAAATTTTGCATTGAATAGAAAACGACTGGTTGAGGTTAGAGAAGCAACAACTTCTGCTCGTTCAAGATCAATTCCACCAATGGCCCCATCAAGGAGTCTTATTTGCACATCACATTCTGGTTTTGCTAAACTTCCTCCAAGATCTCCTTCCATATGCAAGTTACCCCTAATGGGTGCAAACAATTGCTGCAGAGAATGAACACCACCTGTTGCTGAAGATTCAATGATCTGAACTACAGTTGGGATCAGACTAACAGGAAAATTTAAGACAGAAAAATGAAGGTCGGTTTTAGGCCCTAATAAAGCTCCACCAGCATGAACGGTGGCATTATCCTGCTGGATAAAAATTTTCTCCAGGCGAAGACCATCATCATTACTGTAAGCACCAACTGCCATGACATGCTGGGTTTTATATTCTCCCCATTCCCAATCCTCCCCATGAAAGTCAAATTCTGCCTGAAAGGGAATTGAATAAGAAAGTCAATCTTCAAAAAGTAGATTTATGCTAACTACAATAATGCAAACAATAATTTTACCAGGGTGTCTCCATTCCCTCCGCCACTGGCAACAAGAGAGCCATTGCAGTGACCTCTGAGGTCAAGTAAACCAGGCAGACTCAAATCTTCAAGATCATCATTTGATGGACCATGATGCCCCCTTAATAACTGCAAGTTGAATACCATTAATGCCAGACAAAGTAACTTCAAACATGCAGTGAATATCATATGTATCATTAATGTTAAGAATTAATTAAAAAAAACATTACATGCACACTTCACGCTATGAGCACAAACTCAGATGCATCCAGTATTGTGACTTTCAAAAGGAATATAAACAAAATGATCACTTGATAATACCTCAAGCAGTTGCTGAGTGCTTGTAGAATATAACCCCATCGAGTGCAAACTTTGAATAAAAAAATCCTACAACAAGTGACATGGAAACATGCATAATCAGTATTCTTTTTCTTGAAAAAATAGATGAACTGCAGGTTTTAAGGTGAAGTATACAATAACAAGCATTAGACATACCACATCATTTTCTAAAGGCCTATGTATGTAATAAACAACTGACAGGCATTAAAAAGTTCAGCAGATATAAACTTGCAAACATATATAACATACAATTATAGGAAAAAAAATAGTACGTCAAATATGATATTGAAACTTGAATGTTTTTCTATTTTAACAGTTATAACTCACAAAACATAGGCTGATTAGAAACAGAAGCACGGTGAAATATGATGTTTATATACTTGGGGGTTCTGCATATCTATAATTATTAAGATGTCACACATCAATTAGGAATATGGCCAAAATACTCCATCTAAGCCTGGGACAATCCTCCTCCTATAAGCTTGTTAGGCAGTCTTGTTTCTTAATGTAGTATCAAAATCTGTCTAGTTTGAATGTTGAGTCATCCACAGATTTTTTGTCCTGCAAACTTCACTCAATAAATGTTCAGTCCTAGGCATAAGGGAATGTGTTAAGATGTCCCGCATTAATTAGGAATGTAGCCAAAATACTCTTTATAAGCCTTGGGAAATCCTATTCCTATAAATTAACTTTTAAGAGTGAGTTAGATTCAATTCTTAATAAAAATATATTCCTCAACGAATGCCAAACATATAAGTAGTCTTATTGCACATAGGAATGTAGGAGAGATTACACCAGAAGATGGTTAACTCCCTACCCCAGAGCCATGCTCCAGAGAAGAATTATCTTTGCCCAAGCTAGAAGTCAAAAGGAATAATAGAAAGGAAAATAACAATCCTTGTGTCTTACTCCTACATATAACTACCCTCAACTAGTGGTGCAACCCATACCAAAACAGAATCATCACAGACTGACTAACCCACGCATCCTGACCTACTCTATTTATTTTTGTTTCTTCTAGTGTAAACCCTCCATATCCTAGGCCCCTATCCTTGGCCAGCTACTAATCAGCCTCTATTGTTCTTGTTGCCCAAATTGAATCAGATATGCACTTTCTTACATACAGTCATACAGATTTACTATCTGAAGCACAAGGAAGCTTAACAATTTTAATTATGGCCTCCATCACTTGTTGAGCTTCAAAAGAATCTTAGAGAAACAATTTAGGATGTGGATACTTGTTTCAGTAATAATAACAGTAAAATACCAGAAAACCTCCAAAAAAACTAATAGTTCACATATGAAACTTGCAGACAACAAAATACACTAGATGAGGTCAGTTAACATTAATGCATCAATAACAACAATAATAACTACACTTGATAGGGTTGGCAAAATCTTATTAAAAAAATTATCAATCGCTTCCTAAATAAGGATGGATATAAACTAAAACCCCTTTAGTAATTCAGCCCTCATTTACCTGGATTTCACTGTCTTTCAAGCCTTTTAGATGGTAGAATTTGACAACTACATTTTTAAGATTTAATGTTCCAAATTGATAGGAAATCAAGGTGTAAGAAGTCTAATTCCATTTCTGTAGGACATAAATATTCTTGCAATCTTATAAAGTTATTTAACTGGTTAAAACTTCAATTTGATACAAAGGTCCAATAGAATATGAATTATGTATATGCATTTTTTAATCAATAGTGCTATTTTTATTATTAGATCAAAAATTAAAATCCAAGGAAAAATTTTAATGCTAGGCTTTAAAACTTTCAACAAGCTAAAATTAAATGTCAAAGTCAAACTTGTATCTGATTCAAACTCAATCAAAAGGAAAAACAAACAAGCCACAAGCATGAAGAACCTAAAATTGAATTTGGCTTTCCTTAGCTTTTTATTTGTATCTACCCATTTAAAAGAAAAAAAAATGCTTTTGGGGGTGGCTTGGGGCTGGGAAATTAAAGTGCATTCAAATATACTTGAATTGAAACAAAAAGAAAAAAAAAAAAGATGACCTATGGCTTTCAAGAGCACCAAATAGACCTTGTGCCTAGACTCCTGAATTAACAAACATGTTATAAAGATATAGTCATCAGCAAGGAATCTAATTCAATTGATTTAGACTCCAACAATTAATGACATTTAAGCAAGTAATACAACCTTTGATCTTGAAAGAACAGCAGGATCCGTGCTTCGATAAAGAAGCCTTGCAAGAGGAAGCATCTCAGCAACTTCAGCTCTGCAAACTTCAAGTTTCATTCTCCACCTTCCCATTGAGGATATAACATCACCAAGATGCCCAGGGATGATCCTTTTTAAAATGTCATCCTCTTTTATGTTAACAGGGTTATGATCTCGGGTACCAGGTAATATATATTCACCTTGCATTTCATAATGACTGTTGCTTTGTTCAAAAACAGTCTTTTCAATAGTGATCTGAATAACAGCACATCAACTGACAATCAGTATCAAACATAATGTCATGTGCAGTTGCAAAGAAGTTTTACCAGTGCAACATAACCAAAATGTGATGTCATTGCTTATTACTATAACAAAACAATGATTAATAAAACGGTGTTGTTTGTGTTGCAATATAACGAAAAAAAATGACACCAAATATTGATAAGCCTAAGGTTCATCACAGTAGAAGACATTGAACTGTGGAGATAATGAACCAAGCAACTATAGTTTTTGTTAAGATTAAAGGGATATTGTAATGAATTCAATTATTAAAAAAAATGAGATTCCTGAAACGATTACAACCTGGAAACTGATAAATAAATGGTACACACCTAGACAGTTGCTAACATCATGTTGACCATCACAAGAAGTAAACACATTCATGTCTCGTTAATTTCTAGGTCAACTCTGGTCATGCTAAACAGTAAGTTATTTGATTCCTGGGATAGCAACTCAAATTAAGGTGCAAAAAAATAAGAGAATGAACTTAAGCACTCACAACATCTCCACTCCACCTAGCTGCCACATCAAGGGCTTCACCAAGCACTCCACTGAACTTTGGCCTAAGTACAGATAGGATTCCATGTCCTCTTCTTTTTTGGAGATTAAGCTGGATTTCTGCCTAGGAAAAAAAAAGCTATCAGCTGGAAAACACCATATATTCTTTTCATTACATGATCACTGAATAATGCCTTGACTAAATCATCATTCAGACAGGACTGAACAGAAAAAAGGGAGAGGTGAAGAGGAGGAAAAAAGCAACAAAGTTGATAGAAAAGTCAAAACTTACATATTAGAATTAATTGTCATCTAAACTTTATGCTACCTGTCCATCTGTCATCTATGTGCATCTTTTCTATATTTTATGTAAGAAATATCTGTACTACAATAGAAAGGGATTCCTAGATTTGACATCCACTTTCCTTTTCCCAGAAAAAAAAAAAAAACAGATGTTGATTTTTATTGTAATTGAAAACAGAGGATAAAATCATCATTTTAAAGTAACCACAAAGCCCATCTTAGGTACAGTCCCTACTTTAAGGAATATTATTTAATAGATATTTTTAATAAATTATGGTTTATAGGTCAGTTTTCAAATATAAGAGAAAAACTGTCATGTCATTATATAATTAAATAAATGTAGATTTTTTTTACTACCATCACTGCTACTTCCTCTCGTATTAATAAAAACATTATGGGGCTTCTCCTAACAACTTGAGCTTTTGGGATGCTGGTCCTTAACACTGATTAGAACCTACTGTTTTCTGTCCGTCCTTTAAGCGCAAAGGGCTTTTACATAAGAGGGTAAAGATATTAACTAAGAATAACCATTGCTTGGCCTTCTCATAGTAGCTTAAGATTGAGATGATTATTAACTAGTAATAATTGTTGTTTGTCTAGAAAGCTGGTATAGATTTAATCCCTTTGCAGAACAGAATATTGAAAAGTTTGTCTAATCTCCTTGACAAAATTGGATCAATTTCATTATGATCAAAATGTGCATAGGAGGGCACAGCAAAGGACAAGAGTGATAAGGAATCATGAAGTAAATAGTTAACTAAGATGACTTACCCTCTGTATAGTTCCCCTGAGGGAAGCAAGCTCCAGTTCATCAAGTGGAAAATTTCGTACCTACAAGTATGCCCCAGAAAAGCAAGAAAAAGGGAAAGAATGACTTTCAATATTAACTTTTGGACTAATATGAAGCGTCCAAAATATGCAATATAAACAAATAGATATGAATTCAAACATTGGACCCAAAATTTAAATAAGCTACCTCCAAGCTAGCTGAATGGCCTGGTTGAAAATCTACATTAGCCCTTAATTGTCCCTTCTGAAGAGAAATGGACAACAATTGTCCGCTTTCCAGACCACCTTCACCACTGAGCTGTAGCGGCCCAACAAAATCCACTTTTAGACTTTCATCTGGCCTACCAGAGGCATCCAACTATACTCCAATAAAGAATGGAAGTTAGAAAAACTAATATATATAAAATAAAGCCAGGCAATCTGATTGTTTCCCATAAGGACAGCCAAAACTTGAGGACATAAATATGTACTCCATTCAGAAAATAACTATATTTTAAAATATGGAGACTACAGGGAAAAAATCCTTTAGGAATAAATTATAAATATAAGTTCTTTTATATACTGTACAGAGGAGAAATATGAAAGGATAAGACAATTCACATGGGGATGAGCTGATCTAGACTTATAACTATACATTGATATCAATCATATCAAACATAATAAATCAATGGATATTACATAATATTGAAGGGATTTTAAAAGGGAATTCATGGTAAAAATATTGCTTGTAAGGAATAATTAACCGCTCAACTGGTTAACTAAGTCATGTGGTTACTTATCAACTGCTCTTTGAACATATAAGCCAATTCAGAAGTTAATTGCTCATAAATTACAACTAGCTTTACCAAGAATCCCACCCCTTCCCCCACAAATATTAAATTCCAATCTCTTAAGTAGAATTCTTGTCCGTGATCATACTACAATGAGATACAGCCAAGCAGCATGTTGAATTCATGATATCTTAAAATGAAACATTTTTTGGGAAGAGAAAGTTTTATTCATTACCTTGATAAACTTGGGAGAAACTCTCATCAACCCAGACAGCTCAGGTGCAAGCATCAATTGATTCAATTTGAGACCAGAGATTGAAACCTCACCAACAAGACTATCTACACTTGCTTTCTCCAACATTTGCACATGCTGCTCGTTCTTGTCAAAATTTTGTTCAATAATAGTGGTAGTAGGTTGACTATGTTCTGAAACCTTTCCCTGAAACTTAATTCTTCCAGTTGCTTTCAAAAGCAAAGGTCTTGGAAAATCCAATGTATAAGTCGTAACCAAACTAAAGAATTCAAACTCACGCATGTGTAAATCAAACTCAACTCCATCAACAGTAAATGGAAGGGCTCTTGGTGCATAAGACTCTTCCCTTTTAATAGAAAAACTATCAGAATAAGGTGTTTGAAGTCTCATATACAAATCAAATGCAGCAGAAGTAGAATTAATAGTAATGAAATCATGCGTGACTATGATATCTCCTCTGGCATCACTGAAAGACCCTTCTGCTGTAGGTGCAGTCCATTTTAAATCAAACTTCCTGCAGTTTTTAAAAAAAAAAAACTATATAAAACAACTCAAATCAAGATAGGAAAGAAGAATTGACAATTTGGCACGGGCCAACTTGAAGTACAAGATCCATAATCAGGACTGGAGGAATGGTTGAAAATATAAATATATAATAAACAACAATATCATGGAATCTAAATCAATAAAAACTAATCAAAATTGAAAAAGTGTATAATCTTACGGTCTTAAAAGGGATCCTGAAAGTTTTGTATCTCCATTTAAATCCCCAAATTTGAGTGGCATCAAATGATGATAACTGGGAATGTAACGAAGCAAGATTTTTTCAAAGGCCAAACTTCCAGAGAAGTTTGCATCTATTGCTGTCTCATCATCCTCAGCCTGAGAACCAAATAGTGTACATTAGCAGGGATGGGGGACAAACTCCAGAGAGAAATGTTGTGAAGGCATACACATGAGAAAAAATATTCACATTCTAAAACTCCTTAGCCAAATCAACAAAAATTGCTAATTTCCGGAGTTATGTGTGTGAAAATCACTACCCTTAAGTGTGTGATTATCTCTTGACTGCATTATGTGGATTACGGGAGACATTCATAGCTAACAGAACAGGTGATAGAAAATGCAAATAATTTATTGATAAATTAAAATTCCTCCCCTACCTGAAAAGAGGGTCATAAAATGAGAGTGTATAATGGTGGCAAAAGTTCATGACTGTGCCAAAACTTCCAAGTCTCCCCCCCCCCCCCCCCAACTAACTCAGTCCAAATAAATTAGTTAATTAAGCCCCATAAAGTGGACATAATGGTGATCCAACATTACATGATTGTGGTAACTGTAACACCTCTCTATATTCTAGAAAATGGTAAGAAAAATGACTATTTGCTTAATAAAAGCATGCTACCTCATGGCTAAGAAGTTAAGAAAAAACCATTAATAGTTTACAGGTAGCTAAATACCTCTGAGCATATCCATACAGACCCAGCCCCTCGAATTTCACCACCATCCATGAGGCTCGCCCTAATTCCATATAAATCAGCAATCTGTGCTATGAAGTGGAAGTGTTACCAAACATTAACAATGAGTTGCTACTCTGAACCACCCTGTGAAAAATTACTACCACTTTCAACTTACACTGTTATCAGTGTTGAAAGTGAAATTGGCAGACACATACGAAAATGGTACACGATCAAATGCTGCCAGTGCTCCAGCCTCTTTGCTTTTAGCAAGTACTTCAGATGCTACAGATGCAGGAGTGTCAACATGCAAAGAAGAGAATGTCCTCGAAACCATTCCAGTTCCCACAAATACAGGAGTATCCAATGGACCTTCACAATTAAACAGGCCAGTTATCGATCCTGCTAGCTGCAATCAATGAACCTTAATTATGAAAAAAGAAAATAGAAATGCAAGGGTTGATATTGGATTGATGGAAAGAAAGTTGACCTTATGGGTTTGTCATGTCTCAAATTTTGAAAATCTATAATGTCACTCTTATAATGAGTCACAGATAGCTTTCCAGAATTTTGGAAAATCTAGGCCTAAATTTTGTCAAAAGCTCGCTTATTAGCTATGAAGTATAACACGTATAAAGAAATGAAGGTACTTTAAAAATAGTAAGGAAACAAAGAAGCAAAATGAAGGAATTTTGTGAATGATTATAAGGTAAACTTGCATAAAACTTTAATGTTCCTGTTTTAAAATTAAAAAATTGAGAGATACAGAATGAAAACAAAATATAAACATGAAAATGATCAGTTTATTCAAAACTATGAACTATTAAGCCAATGCATAGAACTCAAGAGAACATACCGGGAACAAGAGAGATCTCACATTAAAAGTTCTCATCAAAGCATTCACTTCAACATTGGGAACCTGGAAAATTGATCAACAAAGTATTACAGGAAAGTAAAAAAAAATCCAACTATCTTTCCTGAAATTCAATGAGATAGGAATATGTGAAATGGATCGTAACAAATCTTGCTCCTTGGACTGAGTATTTACCATGTTCTGCCATTGACTAGCTACATCAGCAATATCAACTGTGCAGCTTTGCACATCATAAAAGGGTGAACCATGTTTACTTTATATCATATAGCTCATTGAACTTCAGCTTTCAACTACATCATATATTGGGATGAAGATTTGAAAGATACATAAAAAATGGCTCCTACTTCCTACTATATGTCACAAACTTGAATCAAGTGTGCAATATGATTATGAAGTTCACTTTTGATTTAGTAGGATGTAAGGGTTTTCTAAATTAAAATTATTAGGGAATGAATACTTAAGGCCTTGCTTGGATTAGGAGGAATGAAACATAATTGAGTAGGATAGGATGGAATAAAATTATCAAATGATTGTTTGGATATTTTATGATAGCCTTGAAGCTATAACCTGCATTCAACAGGGTGTCAAGGTTCCATCCTCTCTCAGCATGGTAGCAACAGATTGCAGTCGTCTTGCCCATGAATTTCAAGCTGCATCTTTCTCCCACAAAAACGTTAAAAAAATTAAATGGGCCATATAATCAGTTGCTCTAATGGTTTGGATTTTTTTTTTTTTTTAGTGGTTTTGTTTGGATCTAGTTTGGGTCACTATAACCAGATTTTTTGTAGACCCCTATCAACCACTCAACACAACCCTTTGCACATGCCCAAGCCAACAAGCAACCAAGCACCAAACTAGCCACCCACATCACCTCAAGTACCAAATCATGAAACAGGCATGTCATAAAAACCAAAATTACGCCAAATGGAATTGAGTTCTGAAGACCAGAACCGTAAAAATCACAAAACAGCATAAAAAATGCAATGTCAGTACAAAACAACACTCATCAGAGACTTCTCCACAGTGACAGTCTTCACAGAACCCTTAACATATAGATCCAACACTACCACCAATCCACCATCCACTACTCCACCTTTCAAATCTCCTCCCAGCATTGAGAACCAAGACCAGACATTGCCAGTAATGATAGGTAACTCAACTAGTTAGTAGAATAAGTAGTTTGTTGGGCTGGGACTATTAGAGAGGATTTTTGTTTCTTATTTACAGGGTAGTAAATATAAGGAACAGTATAAATTATAGGAAGGGAAAGAAAGAGAGCATGGGAGTGAGAGTTGTGGGAGATTTCCTGGTTTCTCAAATATCCAGGAGAGCTATTGTTGTATCATTTTCCTGATTTCATGTTTTTCTTCCACTTTGTCTCAATAAAGATTCACTTTTCTTATCATAGGTGCCAGTTTCTATAAGTTACCACAACCAATCACCCATGGGCCTTGAAAATTTCAAAAAGCAGCCACCCTAGGCTCTGAAAAGTGCAGAACATGATCTTCCCTTTTTCTTTATTTTCTAAATTCAAACCAACACATGAGAGGTGAAAGCAGAAGAAAGGATAACACAAAAGCAATAGGAGAATATAAAACCAAGTTCCATGAACTCAAGACAGCAAGATGGATAAATACTCCTCAAGGTGAATGGTATTGCTCTAATGCCATGTTGAAACTTCAGATTTTATACCAGAAAAACAAAAGAACAGGTAACAATGTATTATGAGATTGATAGTAAGATGTTATGTTACACACCCTAATACAATAACCTAATGCAATTAGTTATACTATATTAACTACCATACTATCTTCTAACAAAATAAATAAATATGTAATGTCCACACACAAAAGTACCTGACACCTAAGATTAAGTTCTCCTTCGTCAGGATGAATGCCAAAATCTCCTGAAGCTTCTAGAGGAATGCTACCAAACCAGCCACTTGCATTGTGTAAAAATATTCTTTGACAACGGAAACATAAACTTCCTGATATGTTCTGCAATAACAAGCATACAAAGTTCAAAACACAGGAGAGGAAAACATCAAAAACTTAATTTTGAGTGTGCCAACTACAGAAATATTTAGTATGGTTGCAGATCAATATGCCAAAGTACATGATATGCAACCAAGGACCCAACAGTCATCAACAGTTGTTTATATGCAGTTGTTACTCACTAGTAGAAACAACAATTTAAAAAATAAATAACTAAAACTTGATAGCTGGGGGTTGACCAACACTCACACAGGTGATTGACACCAAAACTAGCACCCTACAAGCATTGGATAACACAAATCTACAACTCAACAAAGACATAACCTATCAAGGTAGGTATCAAGGAAGTTTAAGCCATGTACACCAACTGAGTACAAGATTTAAAACATATTAGAGGAAGGAAAAAGAACCCAAGAAAGCAAAGTATCAGTCCATATAAACCAAAAATTCTAGAACTCAGGTTGAAAAAACTAAAGCTTGGCCTAACGGATCTCCACCATATGAATCCATTGTAGAAATCCCCTCTAAAAGTCAATTTTAGAAAAAGAGTAAATACACAATTTAGTCCACGGGAGATATATCTCATCCACTTTAGTCCTTGAAAGTTTGGTTATGGACAATGACAAAATAGTCTCCAAAAAACAAGTTAGCCCTTCTGTCAACAATAGATCTTCAAAAATCCTAGTGGAGAAGCTGTTTTGGCATGTTAAGTGCACATGTCTCCCCCATAGTGTTACATGTGTACAACTGTGCATTCATTATGGTTTTCAAAAGGCCAACTAACAGAAGGACTAACTTGATAGTGTTTACAGAAATTTGGGGGACTACTGTGTGTTAGCAAACTTTTAGAGACTAAATGCACACAAGGTATATATTTAAGGGACCAACTTGTGTATTGACTCAAAGAAAGAGAGAGATTTAACAACATATTGCTTGTGACACAAGCAAATATTGCTTCTAAAACTGGTAAACTACAATCCTTAGACTAGATTCCATTTTCTTGTCATAAGCAGCTGTGAAGTCAGCCACAGTCCTGGTACACCAAGTCATCAAACATTGAAAAGAGAGAGAACCAGCTTCCCTACCTAAGAATCATACAAAAGAAAATGCTATAAGACATATGACCCATTCAGTTCCTTTTTATAACACAAAGAAGTACCAGCTAGTCACCACTCTTTTCCAATTTCTAACAGCTAAACAGGAAATTGGTAATGGAAATCCAAGGGATAATTATTAGGGAACATGATATAAGACCACATTTTTGTTAGTTTAAGGCCCTCAAGATCTTTGCTGCAACAATAAGAAACTTCATTGAAACGTATAAACTCAGCCATTTTATCCACTTTTCTGATACTAACTGGAACAATGTCTATCCTTCGTAGATATGTAACATCGTTTAACCAAAATCATTCTATCTCTACAAAGGCTATAAATATAATCTCTGAGATTACTTATTTACCCTAGCAAAGGGAATGAAAGTTATCAAACAGAAAAAAAGTAACACACCACTTGAGCTTTAGCTCATTGGTGGACAATTTCTGCAACAGAAGTAAAGAATGCAGGTCAAATCCCCTTACCCTGGCACACTCCTCTCCCGGCTAGCAGCATACATCTCCTCCAGACCCCCCAAAAGGGGAGGGGGGTTGGTCAATCAAAGCCAATTTTGAAATAATAAATGAACAGATGTAAACAGGAGATCTCAGAAAGTTCATGCTCTAAAAGAGTTCATGCCATGAAGAAAAAAGTTGATTTCCACATGGGCTCTACGTATTAGCACAACAAAGATGACAAAATTAGACCAGGAATAATTCATACAAACAATTGTAAAGAAAAATATGCACCCATGTATTTACATTATACAATAAGTGGCAGGGCCATAAGGGTGTATATGATTACATGATATATATCAAAGGCAAGAAACTTCTATATTTAGTGAATGCAGAAGTAGCTATCATACAGAATGAAAACTAACAGAATTTATGATCTAAGTTTGAAATAACCTATGAAATTATAAATGCTAGCCCATCAAGAACAATAGATGAAATTAGAAATTTCAAACTAAATTACTAAAAAGCGTAAGGATGGACCCCTCAATCCTCCAAATATATTTTGTCTCCAAATAATAGTTAGACTCCCACTCAATGCACCACATCAAACAAGAAGGGACAATTACCCACACAAATATCGGTACTTTCTTCCCAGCCCTCACTAAAATTCCTTATTTGTCAGAAAATAAAGAGATAAATTATTATTTTTGGTACAACAATTTCACATATTTAACTCATAAATATAGCTTCTAACATTTGATATTTATTAATCCACAATGATAGATGAGGACCTGATGAATATAAAGCTCATCAGTCGTGTATCACCTTGAACATAAATTATATTTTGCTAGTAATATAAAATACAATTCATATATAACGGTTCAGTGGCCTTACAAAAGGGTAACAAATATATTGCAAAGGAAACTTCAAGTGTCAAAATGGAATTGCATAAAGCATCCAAATACAGTCGAGAGGAAGACATACAGAAAAACAAGATGGAGCATCTGATAGTTGGAACTTCAACCCCATTACATCAAGCTGTCCATGAAGATTTGGAAAAGTTTCACCCTTCGACATGCACAGGTGAACCTAAATATAGGAAAAAAATATATCAAGCAGGTGAAGCTATATCAATTCTTAATAATAACTAGCAAGAAGCAGCATGCAATTGCCAAGATAATTATAACAGTGCAAATAACTTGATGTAACACCGGATTCATAAATTTCTAAAACCTAAGCCAAAAGATACAGAACTTTTTTTATTATGAAACAACATGGATTCAATATTGAATGGTCTTATATAAAGTTGAATCTACGAAACAGTTGAGGGAAGAAGTTTCCAATGACATGTCCAAATGAAAATTACAAAGGACCTGCAAGTTTTAAGTATTAAACATGAAATACACTTGAAAGACATTATAACACAAAGAAAGTTTAAATAACCAATAATCAGAGTAATGATCGGGGCCACTGAAGCTTCAGTAGCCTGTCCAATCTAATGCCAAAGAACATATCTTCTAGGGCTTAAGCAAACCAAAAAAAGCCATTGAAACCAGCAAGTTTTACTTAAATTAGAAAAAGAAGAAATCCATTGATGAAGGGAAAAATAACAGCCAATCAGGACAATTGTTCAGGTGACTACTCAAAACTAATTGTTCCAGTTTAAGAGGCAGATTTTACGTTTACAGCCCCACTAAAAATCACCAAGTATACTTAACCAATATACTAGAATTCGATAAATGATCATTCCCACAACTGAAACTAAAAACAAGTTTAACACTTCCAAATAGAATTTGAAAGTAACTGAATTTAGGTTAGAGAAGCACCTCACCGCTGGCCCTCCCTTTAGACCATGTAATTGGAATTTCTAGGATCCTTTCAAACATCTGCATGGAACATAACCAGGCATAAACTAAATAATCATCCATAAAAATCCAATGGCAAAATATTGAATTTCCAAGTTAAGATATACGTTACCGGGACAAAAAGATGGTCAATTTTCAAATTAGCATGCCATTTCTCCTCAACCGTGTCGACAAAAACATTCACAGACAACCAGCCACCATCTTCGCAAATATCATCTGACCTCCATGTCTTACAATTTCCGCTAAGTTTTACATTTACACAGTTGTAGTGGTTACGGAATTTCACATGGCCATTGACATTCTCCATCTCCCTGAAAGTAAAACATAGATAAGAACACTTAAATCGATGCAGATCATCATTTTTCAAAATAAGACTTCAGTTTCCAATATAGAAGCATCCCTTCAATATTTAAAACCATTATGACTTCATCTCCCAGCCACTAGCTTACAATCAATAGTAAAAAAATATTATACTATAAAAAATCGCACCTCTCAACTTTTAACTTACAGTATGAAGATTAACTACAATTATAAAAAATTCTAAATCATTTGAATGAATCCAATTCATGATTAACAAATATTGTACTCCTAGCCTTATTCTAATATCCAGGTTAACTTCCCAGAGTGATTAAATAATAAATGATAATAGCTCTTACCTAGCTTCCCTGTCACCATATGTAAGTAACATCACAGTTGCACCTCTAAAATGAACAGAATCCAAAGTAACAGGAAGAATCATATTGAAGCCTTCAGACTGCATAACATCAACCCCATCTACATGTTCTGCAACAATATCTTCAACTTTTATACCTACTCTAGACGTCAACTTTTCAAATAGGCCAGAGAGGAGGCGAGATGTCAATTCCTCAATATTTCTGAAAAATGAGGTTAAGCCAACTTTCATAGTTAAGGAATCAAATGAAACTTGAAAATATGTTACCAACTGAGGTACCAAACCAAATCTTTGGCCCCCAGTTGCGGTAAATTCAGTTGGACTGTGTGCAACATGAAGTCCTAACTCCTCATTTTTCTCTGTACTACTATTAGCATGAGCATGTTCTGCAACATGCACACTAGAATGCAAATCTTCATATTTACTCTCCCTTGTCTGTGAAGGGAGATCACTGACCAATTTTAAATAATCACCATTAACATTTTCATTTGCCGAAGGCAACGATATTCCCAGATCTCTGAATCGCGTTTCAATTTGGCTATCGTCACTTTTATTATCATCACCACTGGCAGCAGATTCTGCAATTTTGCCAACCTCACTTTTTTCAAAATGCATATCATGATTTGTAGATCCCAAACATCCAGAAGATGATGAAGGCTGCCCAAACTCCCCATGTGATTGATTGCAAAAGTATGCATGTGCTGCAAATGCACTGCGTTCGAGAATTCTTCTTTTGGTAGCAACACCCGATGCACTAATGTCACTCCTCTTAGCCTTCCTCTTAAATTTGTGTTTGCCTCGCCCTTTTATTACTTTCAACCAATATTTAAGTCCTTTTCCAGGGAACTTCACTTCAAATGATTTTTCCAAATCTCCATGTTTCATATCATAATCAACACCTGTGTCCACATGACTATGATCGTGCTTCCCCTCACTCATGCAGAAAAAGGAGTTGGAGTTTGCTGCTCCCTCTGAATGAGTTGCAATTTCCTTTAAATCATCGTCACCCTTGGATGGATCACAATTCTTCTCGGAAACAAAGTACCCTATCTCCACAGCTTTCCTGGCTGCATCATCCCTTTCTCTTGCCTGCCGCGCAGCCACTTCTTCTCGTGCAAGCCTCCTCACTCTAGTTCGATAATTGATCCCTTCTTCAGATGACAAACGCTTCTGAACACCTAGCCCTTCAGACGACGGTATCCCTAACCAACTATAGTCCTTCTTCTGCACTACCAACACACACGGATGTGACAAAACCGCATCAAACACAAACTTCCCCCTCCTCAAACTTGCAAAAGGTAGAAGACGAACCTTAACAGAGGGAGCCTCACCACAAGAAAACTCCTCTTTATGTGGCCCAAATGAACATGACTCCAATGTCACACTCAAGGGTGAGATTTTTACAACCTTGCCAAAGTTAATGTCACGCTGAATATAATCACTGACTACTGAACAAACAGAAGGTAAGAGATTGGTTTCAACAAAACCCTTGGCTTTATTCCTACCAAACCAAACCAATAAACACAAGCCAGAGATAACAACAATGTAAACAGAGGCTCTCATCAAAAGAAGCCCCTCATTCCACAGTGAAGTAAAATAATTCACACTGCGAGAAAAAGGTGGTTCCACTTCCTTGAAGCATTTCAACCTCGACCCTCTTGTGAAAACAAGGTGTTTCCTCAACAAGTTCACATTTTGCCCACAAAACCTAAAAGCTTGCCTTAAAGGGTAACCATGTTTTGCCAAAACAGTGCACTTTTTGCATTTGGGGAAAACCCTTTTCTCCAAATGATTGTTTTTTAAAGCGTTGGTGCCTTCCAAAGAAGCACGAAGCTTAATCCCAAAAAACGAGGTGCTCATTGTCTCATAAACCTGCATCAATGGAGGGACCAAGAAGGTGCTCTTCTCAGTCCCTTAACAATTCAGAAGTTCCCGCGCATGCGGAAAGGAACGTAAGGATTGGGAACTGAAGTAGACAGCAACAATGTTGTTTCGTTTTGTGCGGGAAATGAGTGTGAAATCTTTGTTTGTCGTGGAGTGACTAAAATAGAATAGAATGTTTGTTTCCGAAGGATGAAGAAACGAACGAGACACGAGGAATATTACGTTGCTTGCCTTGACCGTAATCGAATAACAAGCTGCCTTCAACGCTGTCGTTTACTGACATCTCCCCGTAGGAAAACAAATATATAAAAAAATTAAGATATTTTTAATACATAGTTAAATTAAGCGTTGATTTAATAAAAATTTATTAGAATGAATAAAAAATATTTTATTTCAATAGATTGTACTAAAAATTAATTAAAATAAAATTATAAAAAACATAAAAATATAAAAAAAAAGTTGCTTAACAAGTATTTAAAAAAAATAGATTGTTTCTAATTAAAAATATTATATTCTTTTATTTTATTTAAATTTTTAATATTTTGTATAAAATAATTAAAATTTGTTTTTACTATTTATTATATAAATATTTAAAAATTAAAAAAGAATAATTTTATAATTAAAATAAAAAGTATTCTTTCAATTTAAATATCATTAATGGTTTAGTAATTAAGAAGTTAACAATACTTATTTTCTTGTTTTAATCTCTTCCAATGTGCCCTCGTTCTTTTTATCTTGTTTCTTTCAAATAATTATTCATCATAATTTTTTTTATCCGACTTGCAAACAGAAGGTAATTTTGCTTGATTTTTTTAATTATAATTCTTTCAACGGTTTACACTTTTTAAAAACCATTGAGTATGGTTTATTAAAAAATTAATTTTAAATAATAGTTAAAACAACAAAAGAAAAAATCTTTGATGTAAAAATTGTACGATTGATAATTCAATACGATTTACAGGAATAAAGAAATATATGTGTAGCATAGGTCAAAAATCGGGAGCATTATGATTTAACAATTTGACCCTGTTGATCACAACATTGGCTAAAGCAGTAAATCACTATTTGAAAAGATAAAGCACGTATGGACAAAAATACATTATTCCTCTGTGAGAAGAAAACTCTAATTTATTTTTATGTTTACAAAAAACACTAGTAATACATTATTTGATTTTCTTATAAGTACTTTTTATTATAAAAAAAAAAAATGCAAGTGACACCATACAATGTGAACCTCACCCATTATTTATATTATGTTTTAAGAAATTTTCTAAACCGTATCAGTGAACATGTGATAATAAGTTTAAAAAAATATTAAAAATAAGACTATATATAGGTGTGTGTAAAAGAAATTTGTTTAATGCTTTTTAAAGTGATTCTAAACAGATAACGGTGTGTTTAATGCTTGCACACCATGTACTAATTAGCAAACAATAGAAAACCTTTTTATTTTAAAGAGTAGCAAGTGAAACTAACATTATTTAATGAAAATCACATAAAATTCACTCAACAATAAAATATGTTAAAAAATATATTTATTAAAGTGCAGAAATAACTTTTTTTAAAATTATGATTTTGATAAGAGAGTATTGAAACTTGTTGTTTTTTTTTATATAGTAGAAAAAATAAATATTATATCCAAAAGATCTTACATTTTTAAGGATTTTTTACCAAAATAGAATAAAAATAAAAAAATAACTAAAATAAGGTATTTATGAAACATTTTCTCTATCTAAGATATTTTTTGTCACATCAGCATAAGTGTTGATCCCATAAAAATTAACATTTATTTTCTTAATAATAAAAAAAGAGTATCAACTTTTATATAATTGATATTTATTTTTTTAATGATAGAAAAGAGTGTCGATCTTTACATAAGCTGACGCTTATTTTTTTATTTTTAACTATATAAAGGTCAATACTTACATTGTATTTTATTAAATAAATAATCTACATATTTTGAAGCCAATCAAAAGCCAACATGCTAATACTTGTAATAGCATGCAAAAAGTTAAAGAGGAAATCAAATTGTAGAAATTTGGATCATGTAATTAAAATAAATAAAGCCAAAAGTGAATAGTATCACATGAACTTTTAGATAGAGACGTGTTAGAGGGGAAAAAAAAAAACAAACAAACAACTAACAACTGGTTGTATCATTCACCAGAGCATTCATGTTTTACTGTAAAAGTCTTGAACTCCACAAGATGCTTAGGATAAAAATTGGAAGAGAAAATTGTAGGAGCATTGCGAGAGATGAATGTCACAGGATCAATAGAGGTATCATTTTATATTGGGAAGCATTCAATGCCTCCTACCGTAAATATCGGCCATTATATAGACAATATTTTATTATTATTATTAAATAAATAAATGTTGGTTATATAAAGTCGACGCTCTTTTTATATTATTAAATACAGACCAACACTTACACTGACGTAGGAAAAAACACCATAAACTAGAAAAATGTTTCATAAATACTCTATTTCAAAAATATTTTTTTTATTTCTACCCTATTTTTGCCAAACAAAAAAAACCCCACATTTTCATAATATTTGAAATGATAGAGTTAACAGAGAAAAATAAAATAAAATTGGCAGGAGATAAGAGACAAATGTCAAAATTCAGTGATTTGAACGAAGTAAAATACGAGGGAGAAAAGAAAGAGTACAGCCTACTAAAATGAATCTATCCCCTCCACAAGAAGAAAAGTGATAATCCACCAGCTTTCATCATCTTTTTTCTTTTACTTTTAATTAAATATATTATAATTACAAAGACAAAGTTATTTTTATATATACAATGCATTAATTATTTTATTTTATTTTCATTCACCTAAAGAATACACCTTCTTTATTATTTTCTATCTCTATCTTTTCTTTCCACTTTCTTTTATCATCTAAACAAAGCATAAATAAACTTAAATTTATAAAAAAAATAAGTTTAAAACCCTTTGCTACACGAGATTAAAGCAAAAGAATAAATCATTGAAATTTGAACTCATTATTACAAGTTTTTTTTTTAATTAACTAATACGAATTCCTGCTGGCTAATGAGTCGATAAAAAAAATAATGAAAAACTTATAAAAATAACTTATAATTTTTATTTTTATTTTATTTCAACTAATTAATTGATATATTCTATGAAAATAAGTTATTTTAAACTTATTTAAATAAAATCCATAATCCAAAGTTATGTCACAAATCTGCACGTCATAAAAACTCATTTAACAACAACTTAACTAAGTTATTTATCAAAGTTCACCCAAAATTCATGTCTTATGTGATATGAATTTGTCTTATAAGACTTATATTAAAATGTAAGTGCAATACTTTTAGTAATATTGATTAACCACGATTTTACTTCAATAACTTACAATAAAAGAAAATATAAAATTTTTATTGAAGTAAAATCTTAAGTTTTTAATAATATCATAAGCACACCCAAGAAATAAACCTAATTTTTGTCGATTGTTTTATGATTAACTGTCTGTTGACAACCATTACAATAAACATTGTAGTTATTCTATACATGATCTATATAATATATTTTAAGCTAATTATTATGTTCTTAAACCTTTTAAATAACCCTTTTTTTAAATCCAATATTACGAATAACCTTACCCTAAACTGGAATACAGAATATTTTTGTTGTAAACGAAACTTTACTAAGTGCGAATCTAATTAGCCTGTTTATAATAAAAAAAAATATGATGAGCTTTTTGACAAGGAAATATAACAAGAGACCCCAACTTAACTTTTCTGAGAGTATCTAATCCAAACCTGCTCCAAGAAACCCCAAGGGAGATTACCCCTAGATGAAAGAAATCAAATCACTACGCCCAAGCTTAGTTTGCTAAACACACATCACCTCGTATCTATACAGTTTTCACCATCTAATGACAACTAATCTCTCTCGTTTTTTGCATATCAACATTCTAATTTTGACACCTCGGATGCGAGGGGGTTGACTTGATGTGCTGTCACCAAGCGCATTGCTAATCTAGAGTGATGGTGACAACTGAACATCTGTATACTATAGTATACAAGACACCGAAGCTAGATAACATACATAGAGCATTCTCTAACAAGATTCCGATTGAACCGAAAACAGCGACGCCAAAACAATTGGATCAAATCTCACAACGTTTACATTACCTCTTAAAAGCAACACAACACTTTCTACGAATAAACTTCGACTTCTCTCAGTCAGAACTAATTGATCAGCCACCAGAACATATAAGAACTACGATACACAACTATGTAGTTCAAGGTAATTTTTAAAGCTAAAATTTTCTGTGCCAAAATAGCAAGTTCAGAACAATTGAACACTAATTTCCCAAAAAGCTAGAAGAAAATTTCCAGGTCCACTGGAATACGACTAGAGTCACCACTCCCCAGAGCCCTTACTGTTTATTCCGCATCATCATATATGAACAAGAAATACAAATTCCTGTATTGATGTTAAGGAGCAGGGTTCTTTTACCGCACAGGCTGCTGGTTATAATGGTTCTTCTCCTTTTTCTTCGCTGCAGCAAGCCTTGCACTCCTCGCAGCAGCCTCTTGAGCAGCAGCTCTTGCAGCACCATCCATTTCTTTACTAGATTTCTTCTTCTTTGTAGAAGCAACCTTCTTAAGACGCTCTTTCACATCCACAGTAGGTGTATCCTCTTCCACATTTTCAGTGCCTGGAGCCAAATCAGGCCCATTGTTTGTGTCTGATGTGTTGGATTGATCTTGAGATTCTTTCACCTCCTTGGAAGCTTTGTCCTTCTTTTTCTTCTTCTTAGCATTTTTAGACTCTGCAGTGATGTTTTCTTTCTTTTCTCCATCTGCATCAGTCTCAACTCCTTTCTTATCCTGAGATGCACCTGCAAACGCAATTTCACAATATCTTGTTTGAGCAAGAATCAACAACAATAAGATGCCTTGCGTGCTTGCATCTTCACATGCACAGAAAAATTACTTTTCTTGGAGAAAGAATACAAAATAAAAAGGAAGTTCAAATAAAAATTTGTCTTTTTGAAGTTAAATAGAAAAACCCGTTGATGCAAGAAGAAGAAGAAAATGGAGTTAAATCTTTGGGCAAAAGTGAAAAAATTGCTAACCAAGAAAAGTCGATAAAGAAAAATAAGAAAAATGTGTCAGGGCCAATCAATAACCTAAACTCACAAAGCACATAATAAACAATAATCTTGAAAATAATGCGGCACAAAGTTCTATATATTCACCTTGCGACTCATCTTGACCATCGTTACTTTGTTTTGGTGTTACTCCAAAATCAGCTAGAAGAGCCTCAAGCTCTGCAAGCTCCTTCTTCTTCCTTTCCTTTTTAGAGAGCTGCCGTTCTGCCTCCTTTGGTGGTGCAGAAACTTCAGGTTGCTTCTTAACTTCGGGTTCAGGTTTCACAGCATACTCTGGTTCATGATCATGCTCTTCCTCCACCTCATCGTCCCCTTCATCCAAAATATCTTCCTCGCTCTCGCTATCCTGTAATCAGAAAACATCAATTTTAAAGAACCAAATCTGGAACAGTATAAGAATGTTCCATCCATTTGATTGAGCAACAACAATACTAGGAAAAAATATAGATAAATCATCAAACAATTACATGCTGCATTGAGCTTATAAAAAAAACCAAATATATAAAACCAGGACAAACTAAAAGACAGAAAAAAATAAAACTATAAATTCTCACCAAAAACAAAACACAATCACATAAGGAAACACAAGTACCATCAAGATCCTTTCCAAAGAATAATCATACGATTCAAAACCAAAAGGACAATCAAGTTCCCTACACACAATGGACACATCACATAAAATAAACTTCAACATAACGGACAGTGACAGACAGCACTCACTAACTTCTTTGCAGGATGCAAACTGTAGAAAACCTAATCACGGATTCACACTAGAAATATTTCACTAAACTGGATTCACATGGAATCCACAACAACAATAATAAAGAATGTTGAAACTTTAATTAGGCTATTCTTGATTGTACCACGTTATTGTTACCTACCCACGTATATCCTGTCATAGGAAGTAATCGAATTCAAAGGAATAATCACGTTATCCACAGTGAAAAAATAAATTAAAAATAAAAAAGGAATAAATCCCCGCACCTCAAAACTTCCATGTTTGTCCTTACTCTGATGAGTCTCGGGAACGCTCCAAACGGACTGAGGCGGTGCAGTGGTGGCGAAATAGTCATCGTCATCGTCAACATCGGCCCAAGATTTCGCGTTCAACGGCGCTGGCGCCCAAAACACTTGCGATTCCGTTTTGGTGGATTCACCTTGCGATTTCGTGGAAGAACCTTTGCTCTTTCGCTCCTTATCGGACTTCTTCTTCTTCTTCAGAGTATCGAGCGCCGCAAACACGTTCGTGTTGTTCAACATCAACGAACCTTCCTCCCTCCTGCTTCCGCCTCCAACCATTTTCTCCTTAGATCAACCAACTCCTTAAGGTTTCACACTAACACCTGAAATTCTCTCGCGACGCTGGAAATTTCAAATTCTAACGCTCAGCCTCACCGTTTATCGATTCAAATCAAAATAGTAACTTAATCGAAGGAAACTAACTTTTCTCGAATGCAAAGTAGGCGAAAACGCGAAACGGTTCTTTGCGATGCTATAAAAATTAAGCCAAATTTATTATTTAATGAATGAATGAAAACGAAAGCGGAACTTAGAGATCTGGTATTGGAAGTAGAATTGAAATCGAGGAGAGAGAGAAATCTATATTAGGGTTTGGAGGAAAAGAGAGAAAGAGGTGAATGTAAGGGCGGAAGAGAATGACGGAGACGCAAACAATGGGCGAGAGATGCGAGTTGTCCCGAGCTAGGGTTATAACAAAACGGAGAAGATAACGAAATGGAGGAGCGACGCCCAGAACAGGGCTTTTATAGGGATTTTTATTTTATTTTGTAATTTTAACGTTAATTTTTTATTTTTTTATTTTTGTCGTTGAACTGGGAAATTACGATTAAAAACAGACACACCTGATAAATACGGACCATTTTTTTCTTTTTCTCTTTTTTTTCCATAAAATAGAATTGATTATTAATTGTTGAAGTTCGTTAAATTGTTGTTGTGAAGGAATATAATAAGAACAATTTTAAGTAGAATTTTTATTGTTTTTATTTTTTAGACTCATGTATAAAAAATATATATATACAATATCAAAAACAATGCTAATTTTGTATTGTTCAAATAACAAAACTGTAATACTTGTTAACATTATTAATGAGGAAATACACAACTTTGCTCCTTGCTTTCAAAATAAACAAATTAGCATGTTAAGAGGAAAAACACATCTCAGGGTACCCCTAGGAGAATCATAAATGAATACTGAGAAGATGAACGGTTTAATTAAATTTATACTTAATCAATTTATTATATAAAATTTTGTATATGAACTTCAGCGCAAGTTTTACTGAAAAAGAAATAAAAATGATCATAAATTTCATAAATCTAAATAAGTTTGATATAAACTCCTTCGTACAGTTTTTAGCTTATGGAATCATAACGATATACAAGATTTTATAATAATAATTCGTATCAAGATACTAAAAACATTTTTTATTTTACATTAGAATAAAGACAGATTTACTTCAATCCTATTAATTATAATCTCTACGTTAGATCTACGTTTATAAACTTTCTAACTTTTTTCCAAACACTAATCTTAAAACTGCAATCTTGTTCTGTTCAAACTAGTCGAAAACATTCAGCCGAGTGAACAATTAAATTTTACATTCGACCATGCAAAATGTTTTATATTTTTTGACTGGCACTTGAGCTATTTGCAACCCATAACGCGTGAAAGAAATTACAAGATGCATTATTTTCGCTTATAGTTTTATAATAAATCGTATTAATAGATTGCAGAAGCAGAAAATATACAAGGAGCATGAATTGCAGTTGCAATGCAACACAATCTGATCCTACTTTACTACTATGTTTTCCTGTGATCAGCTCATGAACTATCAAGCCATTAGTTTTCTAATTATCTTTGCTCCAAGTACAGATATATGCGTAATTATTGTTACAAAAAGCCTCCACTGAATAAGAATCATTCACAATCAGAGAGAGATAAATGAAAAATATGCTGTGCACACAGTTCTTATCCTCGCTATATGTATCGTCGATACGTACAAGTATAAATTTGACAAACTTGATCCTAAACTAAACTCTGCGGGAATGAATATAGGTCTACAGAAACAAATATTAAAGAAATACAAAAGGCTTATAACCAGTAAGAAGGCCGTTATTTGTGTCCTTGTTTTCATTTCTCTGCCTTTAGAATGACTATGCCACAAAAAATAAGAAAACCATAAGAAAAAATATTAATACAAAGAAAATCTTGATCATCAGCCACCTATTAGAAGATATGCTGTTCAGATACTTCAATAAAGCCCCTTGTGCCCCCTCTACGTTTGCCAATGTATCGTCCATGTTTTCATCAATCCTGCAAAATAAGTACATCTATCAACCCCACCAGTCTCTCAATTGGCCAGTGTAAAAACAAAAATCAAGCAAAAGTCAGCAAAAAAAAGTATGGTAAGCAATTGTTCATGCCAAATTACAAGTTTCAAATGATTGCAGCAAGGTTGTCAAAATAAGTTCAAGTGAAGGGACACACTCAACACGTACACTCCCACTCTAGTTAATGATTTGACAATCTCACCCTAACCCGCGAGTACCCAATTTGCCTCACCCTGCATGGGACAGATATGGTGGATTAAAAACCTGCTCGACTATAGGACACGGCAGGTGTGGGTTTACGGTCAATCTGCCCCACAGTCCTTGTCAACTTATGTATTCTGCTTATCCTAGCAACCAATAAAGGGTCTGTTTGTTTAAGTAAGGTAACAGAGCTTACACAATAATTGAGACAAAAAACTGTTTCAACAACATTTTATAAAAGGAAAAAAAAATCAATTCTTATATTAATTCATCTTTCCTAGTTTAACACTAATTGTAAATACATACATTATTTTATAGAAGATAATTGATTAATTTTACGATTATGACTTCAAGTGTTGTATGAATTTAATTCAAAATATTTTATAAGGATGGGATGGGGTAGGTACAGTGTGGGTTCTAATATATATTATGACTTCACGATCTTCTTCTGCGGCTTTGCTTTGTTCTGCTGCTGTTGTGCCCTGTTCTCAGTGTTCTGCAGTAACTACGCCCTGTTCTGCTGTTGCTACATCCTATTCTGTTCTATCTGTTGTTTGTTACTGGCTGATGAAATATGTATGACCTTATGGAATATGGATTACAAATTTAAGTTTAAGTTTCTTCTAAGTCTTTTTATCCTCTTATATATATATATATATATATAGTATCTTACAATCCTATGATTTTAGGATCTTTGGCCGCCTTCCTGATCCTAAGTAAGATTTCGATTTTAACTACCTTGCTGCTGTGTGCTCCTACCTGCCTGTTGACATGCCTAACTGATAATAATAAAATTATATCCATAATAAAAAATCATTACAAAGATTAAAGAAAAAAAAAACTAAAATTATATTGATACATAATATCTAATCATAAAAAATTGATAATTACAAATAGTAAGTTAGCAACAAAATTTACATCTTCATAATCATAAAAAAGGAAACAAATACCAACCCCAGAAGTGTAAAAGTTAAGTAAGATCTTCAAAACAAAAAAAATAGTCATTTTTCTCAACATTTTACAAACTCTACCTTGAGTTAGAGACCTTTTGGTAACAAGTTAACATGTTTCACAGGTAAATTCACAAGTTAACCAGTCATCTCACAGATTTAATAAAATGAATTACAGGACTTCCCTCACTTCTACTTTTGTGTTCATGATTTTTTCTTTATAGAAATGACAAAAATTAAGAATTTAATGAAACAGCTGCATTCAAAATCAGGAGAATGCAATCAAGACAAATCCAAGCATTAGATGGCACAAGCATTAGAAAAAAAAGCTTTCACCACCTCTAGTGCTTCCACCAGAAAATATCATAAAATCAATTATCATTAAAGGTTCAATAAGGAAAGTTACTAATTAGTTTATAGTATCCTATTCCTATGTATATCTGAAGTCCAAGATATCCTCAAACAAAGTGATGACTTGGTTCACCTAATACAAGCTACTTAGAGTCAAAACTCAAACTAGTCTCATGCTGTCAATATGACAGGTATAGACTCATTTGATAACAGAGTTTCAGACAAATCAAGTAAGTTTCTATCTAATAATAACATGATCATATATTACTAATTAAACAAAGCAATAAAGGGCAAAAAGATATATCTATAAAGCACACAAGTGAGAAATATCAAAACCTGATCGCAATCTCTCCTTGTTGGGAAACAAGTGTTGCTAGTTGATTAAAGATGCTGCTGAGCTCATGAATAGTGGACTCAACATTTTGAAGAGCTTCAGCTCTGCTTTGCATGTAACTGTCTTGCAATGGAACTACCTGCTGCTGTTGCTGCTGCTGTTGTTGCAGCAATGGTTGACTCTCCCCATCCACCTGATTCCTGTGGATTTAAAGGCAAAAGATAATAAAATCGTATGAAAACATTGTCTCATATATAATTTGCTGAAAACTGAAACAACCATAAGAGCATAACAAAAGTTTTAATTATCATTTAGAAAAGGATCCAAACCATGCCTTGTAACAAGATTTCTAAGTTAGGGCCAAACTCACAATTTTTGTGGGCCAGAGCCAGACCCAACATTTCAACTCCCAATTTGCTTATTTAGGCTCTTTGAGATATACTAAAAACTCAAAAATTTAAAGAAATGAAATTTTAGCATTTTCATTGTAGAGAGGTGTATGCTATAGCTTTGTGTATAATGTAATTATATGGATTTTATTCTTAAATAATTTTCTAAAGATGGTGCACAAATATGTGAACTACTATCTTATTTGCTTCTCCAAGGTCTTTTAGAAGTATTGAATATATTATCTGTAGGAAAAAAAGTCTTCTTATATTTTACTTAGTCACTCATAAATTCCAATATTATTGTTGTTTAAATAATGGCAATATCATACTTTAAATTCTAATGATAGATATGAAAAAAGTTTTAAAATAAACATCAGGCTATGAGATGTTGAATTTGAAAAGCATAAGATTGAAAATTTTAGCATCTAAAAGGGATTTGATATGAATAAAAATTATTTTAGACTAATCCTCTCTTATTTTTTATCCAGATCAATCGGCAACTGAGTTGCTAGCTGTTAAGAGTTGCAACCCTTCCTAGTAGTTTGCTTCTTTGTTAGGCCTTCATTGTTTTGCCAGTACTCGCTATATTTGAAACTTTGGGCACTTGGCAACGACATAAGAATAGTGTTGAATTTATTATGTATTGGATTAAAAATTTAATATAATAAAATTTATATTGTGTTGTGTTGCTGCTAGTGGGTCGTTTTGACAGGTGATTATTTTATTTTTTTTGGGATGTTGAAATGACAAAAGAAATGATGCTAAAATTTTAGTAAATCTAAAGTACAAGTGTACAACTTGAATTGAAATATTTTTAAAAAATATATTTTGGCAATCGATCAGTTTGCTAGATCAAGTGGCATTAGGCTAGCTTAACTTGTGCATTGGCCATGGGTTGAGCTTAGGTCATGACACATCTCCCATTCTTTTTCTCAGTCAAACCCACCCCAACAAAGGACAAGGAATAGAATAGACTAGCCTGCTTTTTACATGTATTTTGGATGGCCAGTTTGAATGACCAAATTCTCCTGCCAACCAAAGTTTCATTGGCAGCACAGTTTCATGGGCCAACCCAAGCCAGGCCAACCAAAAAAAGTCTGAACGAACCCGCCTCTTTGATAGGTCTAATTGTAACAATACAACCATTTGAATTACATAAATTAAATGAATTGAAGGAATTAATTAACATACTAAGGTTGGTAACTAATGCTTGTGCAAAGTGATCTCAAAATACTATCACCACAACAACGGTTAAAGACAAAGCTGGTGAATGAAATTAATATTGGTACAATAACTATGACCCGATTCTTAAAAATGGAGTTATACTACAATAACAATTCCAGAAAAACAAAAGGCAGAAGGGTATGTGACCCCAGTTTTAATCTATTCTCCTTAATCAATCAGGCCTACTTAGAATGACTAGTTTCTTGGAACAAATATTACGCACCTAAACAATCTAATCAAGCATAATAATACAAGTTCGTTTGATGAAAAAAATAGCATAACTTACTTAGGAAACGACTGAGATGAAGATGGTGACCCACTAGCCCATGGGGGTGCAGGGGCATTAGAATTACTAGCAGCCGACCTTGTAGTCAACGGGCGTTGCCGGACAAAAGGATTTGAAGATTCCTTAGAAGCAGAGGACGAAAACAATTGCCTCCTATTCTCATGCACTTTCAAGTTCTTCAAAGAAACAATAACATAACATCAGTATCCGCAACGCGTGAACAAGACATATACAAGCACACCAACACCAATACAGTACCTCAGTTCGCATAGTGAGAACATCCTTAAACTCTTTGGTGGTGCTCATCAACCGGGTCTTGAGGTCATCAACAACCGTAGTTGAATGGGTAGCTGTGTCGGTTGAAGCATTTCCACTCTCATTTCTAGAGTTGCAGAGTAATTGAAGATCCACAACCGCAGAATTCAGCGCAGTAATATCTTGCTTAATAACACCGGTAAGCTCTTGGATTTCCATGGTTGGGTCATCAAAAACCGAAGTTCTTTTAGCCACTGAAAATCAAATCAAAATCTATCATATGGTTGTGAAATCAAAAAAATAAAATAGGCCTAACATTCAACTAAAATTGCTTACACTTTGCGAGCTTGGCGAGCTTCTGAGACGTTTGGTGAATCCCATAGCCAATTTTGGAAGCTCTACGATTAAACTCTGATTGGTTTGCAATAGCAGATCGTTGTTCCTCCGATCTGGATGAACTAGTGCTACTACTGCTGGGTCCATTTGGCGCCGTTCCTGACTTCTTCAATCTCTCCGCAATGCTCTGGAATTCGTGCGTCCGATCCCGAAATGATGACTGCGCCGATTTGATGTGCATTTTCTCGATATATGAGACAAAATTAGCGAGATCCGCGAAGCCGGCAACGGAAAATTGGTGTTTCTCCGGCAGGGGTGGGTGAATGGCAAGGAAAGAGAAACCCTAGATCTAATTGGAATTGGATCGCATTAACGGTGGTGTGTAGACGAATGGATAAACGGAAATGTTCCTTACTAAGGAGAAGGAATGTCCTAACGAGTTATGGAAACGAAAACGGTGCATGGCAGTGGCGCAATTTTCCTCTGTTTTGACATTTTACCACGAGGTCTCGGTGTAGGATCTCATGTTTAGGCGTCAACACAAGATGATGGTTGATGGATGATGGATGTTACGACTAGTGACAAATAAATTAAAAACCATAATCAATAATTTTTGTATAAATAAATCCTAATAATAAATAGGGATGCCGATGGAAATGCATTTGGCTGTTCGAGGGTCTATATCTATCTCACTTTTGGCAATTCAGGTTAAGATAGACTTAACAGGTCAAGATATCTATGTAATTAAAAATAATTTTATCAACGTTAGTCTAGATACTTAATTACATTTTTTTAAATAAATTTTTTACATACTTAAATTCAGCTCTATTAACAAAACTGAATTATATATATATAATAGGAGCTATTGAGGACAAAAATCTTTAGGTGGTGTTTGATAAATGAAATACTTTATTTTTTAATAAATTACTTTCTTGAAAACTATTTTTCTTGACTAAGATATTTTTAAAAATTTATAAAATATATTTGGTTATCACCTAATTTTCTTAAAAAATGATTATGTCTAACAAAGTTTTATTCTCCTATTTAATTTGAATAAAATATTTTGAAAAAATATATTATTATATTCTAAAAATATCTTTAATTGAAAAAAAATATTAAAAAAATGAATAATAATAATAATTAAAAAAATTTGTGATAATAATAATAAAAGAATATTGGTAATACCGGCAATGTAATCACAACATAGCAATAACAATTACAGTCACAGTAGTATCAATGACGATGAATGAATATAGTCATGCAAGTAATAATGATAAAATTTTAAAAATGTATTTATAGAATTAAAATAAATAATGACTTTGCAATTATTTTTTTACCAAAAAAATAGATTCTTACTTTTGGTAGAATTTTTTTTTTGTTTACAAACTAATACTGTCATAAATTTTGTGTAATAAAAAATTATTCTCTCCTGTTAAATATTTCAAAAAAAAAAATTTTATGTCATTTTATCATGAATATTAAAATTTCCTGTTCTAAACGCTATATTAATGGGATTTAAAAGAAAAAGAAAAAAAAGTCATGCTTAATGTGTAAATAAAAGATCAAGGAGGAACATTTTGGTAGATCTTACCCTCCTTACTCCCGTTTGACTGTATTTTCCACTACTTGCTTTTTCAACGTTATTTGACTTTCACCAATTCTTTAAGTTTTTCATCATTACCCATCTTTTAAACGTCTTTAAGGTTGAGCAACTAATAAAAATAAATATTTATTATATTAAAATATAACAAATACGAATTTTTAGTAAAATTTTATTAAGAATAATTATTTATGCTCAACTCTTAAAATTGAAATTAACAAAACCAATTTTTAAATAAGAACTCAAAATTTCCTCGCACAATGAAAATTCAATATAGATAGTGAAAAGTTAAGAAATTAATGCACTGATCTTCCATATTGCAGTTTTTTCTTTATCTTTTTCTTCTTAAAGTGTAAGTACACAATAAAAACTTAAGCAAATATTATTAATGAAAATTCTTTCAGATTACTTATTAATTAGTATTTTTACGAGTGATAGGTTCATGAACACATTATCAAGCCATTGCATGTTCTCAATTTCGATATGCATAAAGTAATTCAGAAAGTCTCCACTGTAGTATAAATAATCATCAAATCATGACCAGATAAACTATATGCAATGCACAGTTTTTAACCTCGTTATATGTATCAATACGTACAACTATAAAATTTGATAAACTTGGTCTTAAGTTAAACAATGCAGGGATGAATATATATTTAGAGAAATAAATATTAATGAAAAACAGGTGGTCACTTGTGTATTTGTATTCACTTCTGTCATCAGAATGACTATGCCACAAAAAATAAGAAAACCATAAGGAAAAATATTAATATAAAGAAAATTTTGATCATCAACCACCTATTAGAAGATATGCTGTTCAGATATTTCAATAAAGCCCCTTGCGCCCCCTCTACGTTTGCCAATGTATCATCCATGTTTTCATCAATCCTGCATATTAATTACCTCTATCAATCCCACCAATTTCTCAATTGGCCGATATGAAAACAAAAATCAATTCACCATATCAGGAATCAAAGTATACGTATGTCACGCCAAATTACAATGGTTTCAAATGATTGCCAACCAAGCAAGTTTCACTAAAAATGTAGACGGGCAAACACAACTGCTAGGTAAGCTTGAACTTCAGTTAATAATAGCTGATAACATATATAGATACCCATTAAAAAATATAGCTACAATAATTTATAAAAAAAATATTATTATTATTTCACATAGCAGTAAAATTTATAATTTCATAATCATACACAAGTAAGTAAATCCCAATTCCCAACATCAAAAGGAAGAAAATGAATGTAGCCAAGTTTACCTCATGTTTGAGGATAACCATTTTGGAAATAAGTTAACACCTCTTTTACAGGTAAATTTCAGGAAATCGACAACAGGGTTCCATGACTTTCTCCCTTCTATTTTCTGTTCATCAATTTTTTTATAACAGGAATCACACATATTAAGAATTGATTAAACACTGGCATTCAAAATTAGAAGAATGTAGCCAAGTTCAGGACCATGTATCAACAAGTTGTGCAAGTTTTTCCCTCCGGAACCTTTTTTTTTTGGCTTCCATATCATTTGATTGTGTAAACCATGGTGTTTTTCACCATGCATGTGTACTGGTTCTGCTTCTAGTTTAAGATTCATCAATTTATTAACTTCATCCTACTCCTGTGTATATATCCCAAAATATATACTCAAGAAATAAAAGACAAAATAAGAAAACAAGAAAAATTAAGAAAAGTCAAAAGCAAGATCAGAAAAGGAGATAATCTATAAACTGAACACATAAAACAGTCTCCCAACCAAAGAGGTGAGAGTAATTTTAACTGTCACCAAATGCATTGAAACAAGGAGGAAATGTCTATATAGCAAGAGCAGTACAAATCCAAAGGAACAAATAGGATCAAGGAATTAATTAAAGCAATACTGGAAGGCCAAAGCATGGATTGCATGGATTTCATCAATGCGATTTAACTCCTCTAACTGAAAAATTTTAGAGAGTAAAGAGCATGTGAACAACCACTAATTATAAGACATTAAAGGCTCAGAAACTTTTCAACTGCAATCACCAGGGTACTTGTCCATAATGTTATCATGACATAATCTGTTCAGTTTTTCATTAACAGTTATCCAATTATGCATTAGTCCCTAAACTATACATTGTATCATTGAGGTGGCCAAATTCTTAGGCAAGTCAATTCTCCAAGCAATAAGCACCAAAACAAGCAATTTAAACAGTGTGCTAATATCCACAGCCATATAGCATCATGAAGTAAACAACCAAATCATCTCCTATAAACAAGTAACATAAATTCCTAATCTGCACTTCACTCTCCAAGGTTCACCTACTACTTTATAAGATCTAAATTCTTATGCAAGTTCTCTGCTCAGTAAGCAGCAAAACAAGCAATTCAAACAGTATGACATCACAACCTTTACCTTATAGTCAACAATACATGCAGTAAATAAACCAATCATTTTCCACAGAGAACCAGAAACCAAAGTAATAGTTTGCTAAACATTATACAAGCTCATTGAAGTCAAGGCCCACACTCATGACTCATTTGAGTGTCAATGAAACTGGCAAGGTTCATTTGATAGTGGAATTACACATAAAGCAATATACTTTGGATCTAATGGTAGCATGGATTGTATATCATATTGGAATACGGAAATAATGAACAATAAGGATGTATTTATACAGCACACAAGTGAGAATATAAAAACCTGATGGCAATCTCTCCTTGTTGGGAAACTAGTGTTGCTAGTTGATTAAAGATGCTGCTAAGCTCATGAATAGTGGACTCAACATTCTGAAGTGCTTCAGCTCTGCTTTGCATATAACTGTCTTGCAATGGAACTACCTCCTCCTGCTGCTGCTGCTGCTGTTGCAACAACGGTTGACTCTCCCCATCCACTTGCTTCCTGTATATTTAAAAGCCATGAAAAAGTTTAAAACGAAATTGGAAAGAAGCCAGAACTCCAGATAGAATTTAACCAACCTGAAACAACCTTAAAATATTAGAGCATAACAAAAAGTTTTCACTATTAAACGGAAAGGATCCACAAATCACGCCTTGCAAGTTGTAAGTTATAACTAAGCTCTCAATATGGACTCAGATGCCCACTTTTTGCCAGGTAGGCTTGACATTTCCACTCCTTTCCCTTTGTTGGGCCAAGCCAGCCTAGCAAATGAAAATGGTTTAAGTGGGCCAGCCTGCTTTTCTACATGTATTTTAAGCCAGCCTGTTTGACTTGCCAAATTCTCTTGGCCTTAGTCCTACAATTTTGTTGGACAAGGCAAGGCAAACAAAACAAGCTCTGTAACAGACCAGCCTGTTAATAGGTCTAGTTGTTACCAAACAAGCAATTGGTGTCCACAAGTTAAATTAAGCAATTAAATTAATTAATTCAGTAGAGCAGGGGTTGTGAGCGTATCCTTGTTTGATGCAATCACAATAGAGGGATAAGACAAAGTTGAAATTAATATTGCTACAATGGTTGTTATAATGCAGCAAAATTGAGTTATACTTCAATAAGAATTAAAGGAAAACAAATAAAAGAAGTGTGGAGTGTGTAACCATGCTTTTACTCTATATTAATAAGCCAGTCTTACTTAGAATCATCAGCTCCTTTGAACAAAGATTATGCACTTAATAATCTAACTAAGCATAATACTACACATTAATGTGATTAAAAAACATATAAATTCAAATTATCTTGCAAGTTAGTTTAGCTACGTGACAGAAAAATTAGCAAGGAAACAACACATGCTTAACTACAAGCCTACAGCCAACAAAAGAATACTTGGCCAAGCCTTTTCCTACAAGGAAGGGTCAACTATATTGGTCCGAAGTTGCAGAACGATGCTACGATGTTCTGTCATAAATCACATCTATAGACAAACTATTGACCTCTAAATACTGCTTAATACTTTTTCGCCTATAGTTTTTCTTGGTCTCTCCCTGCCTCTAGCAATTGTGCTACCCTCCATCTGGTCTACTTAACAAAAGAATAAAGGGGCAAAGAAAATAATAACTTACTTAGGGAACAGCTGAGAAGAAGATGGCGACCCACTAGCCCAGGGAGGTGCAGGGGCATTAGAAGTACTAGCAGCCGCCCTTGTAGCTAATGGCCGTTGACGGATGAAAGGATTTGCAGAATCCTTAGAGGCAGAAGACGAAAACAACTGTCTTCTATTCTCATGCACTTTCATGTTCTTCACAAAAATAACAACACAACATTAGTCACACCAACAAAGCCATAAAACATGCACAACAAACAAACAAATACAACATATCACCTCAGTTCGCATGGTGAGAACATCCTTAAACTCTTTGGTTGTGCTCATCAATCGTGTCTTGAGGTCATCAACAACAGTGGTTGAATGACTAGTTGTGTCGGCAGAAACATTTCCACTCTCATTTCTAGAGTTGGAGAGCAATTGAAGATCCACAACCGCAGAATTCAGCGCAGTAATATCTTGCTTAATAACACTAGTGAGCTCTTGGATTTCCATGGTAGGGTCATCAAAAACCGAAGTTCTTTTTGCCACTGCAAATCAAATAAAAAGCTATCATACGGTTATAAAATCAAATAAACAAAATAAGCTTATAATTCAACCAAAATTGCTTACACTTTGCCAGCTTGGCGAGCTTCTGAGACGTTTGGTGAATCCCATAGCCAATTTTGGAAGCCCTTCGATTAAACTCTGATTGATTTGCAATAGTAGATCGTTGTTCCTCCGATTTAGATGAACTAGTGCTACTACTGCTGGGTCCATTGGATCCTGATCCCGATTTCTTCAACCTCTCTGTAATGCTGTGGAATTCTTGTGTCCGATCCCGAAACGACGTCGGCGCCGATTTGACGTGCATTTTCACGGTCCAGAAATTAACGCAAACCGTCAATTTTTGCCTCCAGAAATGCGAGATCCGTGGTGAATAGCAACGAGAGGGAAACCCTAGATTCAATTCGAATTGGATTTGGATTGCATTTGCGATTGTTGAGTGTAGGCCAATGAATGCATTTAAATCTTTAGTTGGTATTCTAAGAAGACACAGATACGAACGAGGAGATGCGAATCGAAACGATTTTAGAAATGAAGAAGGAAAGTTGCAGTTGTGTGGTGCTGTTTTTGGGTATTTTACATTGGGATCCCTCAGTTTGATTTGTTTCTTTCTGACTTCAGTGGTGTAACAAACACTGTTCTAACACCATGTGATTAATTTAGAATGAGATTTTCTCCGATCTGAATTATTACAATTACAATGTATACGAGAGTTAAAATTGTTGTTACATTAAGATAAATAGTTGCTTTATTTCGGTCTCGAATAACTTTGAAGAGTAATGATGTACTTTGATTGTATTGCTTTTTAATTTTAAGTCATCGATCCTAATTTTAAGGAGTTGGTTAAATAATCAATAGAAGAAATAAGATGCATAAAAAATATGTTTAATTAAAAACTATAATATATTATAATGTAAATTATTATAACATAAAACTCTATTTGAAAAGAGATGTGTGACATTATTCCGAATAAAATAGCCGCTTATAAAAAATATTTACAATGAATGTATATGCTATACATGGTGGAAAGATTCTTAAAAAAGGAGTTATTACTTTGTAAAGTGCATTTACATAGTAAAAATTTAAAATTTGTAACTTAACAAAATTATTTAAATTTAACATTTAAGTGCAAAATAAAAACTCAACCTACAAAAATATAAGTCTTTTTTGTATATCTGAAATAAAAAACTTAAGACATGTTATATTTTGGTGAAAAACTCAAAATATATTTATTGGAAATAGATAATATTGTTAAGGGTAAAAATAAATATGAGAGGAGACATAAATAAATACGAAAAGAAGTGTTAGGGGAAAGATGCATGTTTAGAGAGAAAATTGATGAAAATAATAATAATAATAATAATAATAATATAATGCATTTATGTTAAACGAATAAATCACAAAATGCTTACTCATAAGAAATAAGAAATTAGCATGATAAGAACATGTGTCTATGACCCCAAAAAAGTTTCCAGAGCTGGATGACAGTTAACTAAACGAATGATTAGTTGTTGAGCAATAATAAAGTATAATATCTTGTCTTGTTTATTTATGTCAGAAAATAGTCTTATTTATAGGTAAAATTAAAAAGAAACCTCATTCAAAATCAAAGATATGTCGCTTCAATTTTCTACTCTGCAGTTGTAATACTTAGAAATAAAAAATATAATCAATGAACCGTAACTTTAAATAGTTGAGGTGGAAAATTATGAAGTATCTTGACACTATTAATAGTTGTTGCATCAACAGTAAAGAAGAAAATGTATAAGAAACAAAGGGATAGTGAGTAAAGACATATTTTCATTTTGTAAAAAATAAATAAATGTATTTTATAAATTTTATGAAGTTAATCCTGTAATTCGTATAATGGTGGTATGATTTAAACTTTGCACATAAGCTGTATAAGAGTAATATAATTTATGCACCAAACTGAAAAATAAAACATAAGTCGTAGTGTGACTCATGTCATACATACCATTAGGTGGCTTGTATATTTTGTGTAAATCTCTAACTTTATGCATAAGTTATATCACCTCTGAGTGACTTGTGTGTTATATGTAGATCATTCAAACTCTTAACAAATAAACTTTATTTTTTTGAATTGTGAGATTTATGTTTTGCTCAAGCACTAATTTTGTACACTAGTTAAACTATTTTTACACAACTTATGTATAAAATTCAAACAACACCATTTTTATACTATGTGTATAATAAGACATATAGTTTCCATTGAAATTTTTTAATTTTTTATATTTGGTAACAATTTCAAAAATTATGTAAAAAGTAGAAACCCCTTTTTTTACATGACATTTTTTTGTGTATTTTTTTTATAAGATGAAGTTATCTTTAAATTATTTATTTAAAAATTTTTCTCTACAGTTCTAATAATTTGATGTTACAATGATTTTGTTTAGTTAGATTTTGTGCTAATTTTGGTTGGATTTGACTAAAGTGAATAAGATCAACAAAAATATCTAATTAGACCACCTAAGACCACACGGATATCAAATTTGAATTAAAAATCTTTGCCAAAAAAAAATCATTTTCATTTTTTACTATTTAATTTAATTAGTAAAAAATTTTACACATTTTTAATCCTTTTGTAAGATTATTTAAATTATTTTCATGATTTTTAACGTTTTTTAATTAATAAAACGAGAAATATTGCAAGGAAAATTTTCATATATTGTCTTATTTTTAATATTTATTTAACCAGTGAGGCATGATAAACTTATTTTACAGATTTATCTTAATACATTTTCTAATGTATAAATTTTGTAAAAAAACCGAGATAAAAAAATTAAATAAAACAATACAATACAATTTATTATCTTAATGTATATTAATGGAAAATAGAAAGCAATACAAGAATCTATCTATTATTATTTTATTATATTTTTATCTATTTTTTATGTTCACTAAATAAGTCATTAATAAAATAATATTTACAAACTTTCAAAATTATTTATAATTTTTTTATATTTATAAATATAATAATATTTGTTACAAACTTTTAAATTTGTTCTTACCCAGATAAACTTTATTACATCCTCACAGTCAAACTTTCAAAATTTACTTGCATAAGCTTGTTAAGTTTTCAGCTTTCCAAACCAAAATGTAGGCTAAATAAAAAACCAATTAATAGAATGGAATTTAATTTTCAATTTCTATTTTTTCGTGAGTAAGCCGTGAACATAAATCTTATCGCCCAAGCCTCGTGCAACCACTAGAATGTTTCCGAGTCTTCGTGCCAAGTCGCAGGTTTTTTTTTTTTTTTTCATATTGAAGTAAATTTTTAAGAAAATTTATCAAAGTACAGTGTTAAAAAAATAATTTTTCTGTGTAAGAATGTCACTTGCATGACTGTCATCCACGTAAAGAACAATGTTTACGATGACGTTGCACGAGTGTCGTCCAAAAAACGGATAACACTTACTATGATATTGTGAACACAATTAGGTAAGATATTTTTAAATTTTTGTACGGACTGTATTATTCAAACTAAAAAATTAATTACATTTATATAGAAAATGCGAGAATAAAAAAAAAATTGTCACACCTCCTTATAAATCGTGCGTGATTTCCTAAGTCATGAGCTAAATTTTAGCTCTCACTCCCTAAAGAATGGATCAACAACTGACCTAATTTTATTGAAACTAAAAATGCTTAATACTTGAAAACAAAAATAGAAACTAACAAAGCTATTTAACTTCTAACATTCTTTCTCTTAAACTAGATGCTAAAGCATTTAGTTTACTTATGATGCTTCAAATCATGCCCAACATGCTTTTGAGTTTTAAGAAATGCTCCATTTGAGTGGCTTAGTCATTATGTTGGCCAATTGATTTTGAGTGCTGCAGTAACTCATCTTGATGCTTCCATCCTTGACAAGATCTCTTAAAAAATAATGAAATCTAACATCAATACGTTTACTCCTTTCATAAAATATTGGATTTTTAGACAGCTGAATTGCTGTCACATAAAACCAGAATATTTTTTTATTTTTTGAAACCAAAAGTCTCCAATATTCTTTTAATCTAGATACATTGAAATGCAAACGATGCAGTGGTTATGTACTCTGCTTTTGTTGTAGACAATGTTACTACAGGCTGCTTCTTGGAAGACCATGAAACTGCTCTAACCCCTAATGAAAACATAAATTTATACGTGCTCTTCCTGTCGTCTATGTCTCTAGCAAAATCACTGTTTATATAAGCAACTATTTTTATGTTTTTCCCTTTCTTGTAGAATATCCTGAATTTAGTGGTCCCTTTTAAGTACCTCAAAATTCTTTTGGCTGCAGACCAGTGAGTTTATGTAGGATTGGCCATGAATCTGCTAATTAAGCTAACTCTATACATCAAGTTTGGTTAGGTTGCAGTTAAGTACATAAGGCTTCCAATTACTTGTTTGAATAAAGTAGCATCCACTTTAGTCCCTGCATCATTTTTAGACAGCTTTGTTCCTGGAACAATCGGATTCTTGACTGCATTACAATCCTTCATGCCAAACCAAGATAACACCTCCTGAGCATACTTTCTTTGACATATAAAAATTTCATGTGTATTCTGCAAAATTTCAACTCCAAGAAAATATCTCATCCTCCCTAGATCAGTCATGTCAAATTTCAACATCATGGAGCTTTTAAAATTATCACACATACTCTCATCATTTTCAGTGTATATTAAATCGTCTACATATAGACTCACAATTAAAATTTTACTTCCTTCTGTTGATTTTGGAAACAATGTATGTTCACAAAAACATCTTTCAAAGCCATTTTGCACAAAGTATGCTTCTATTTTGTTGTATAAGGCTCTTGGTACTTGTTTGAGCCCATACAGTGCTTTTCTCAACTTGTACACCTTCTCTTCTGTACCCTTCTTCATAAATCCAGCTGGTTGTTGTATATATATCTCTTCTTTGAGCTCTTCATGAAGAAATGCGCTTTTCACATCCAACTAAAAAATGTTCCAGCCATATTGTGCAGCCATTGAAAGTATTATGCGTATAGTGTCTAGTTTAGCAATTGGTGCAAATACCTCTGTGTAGTCCACTCCATAGTGTTATGCACAACCTATTGCTACTAACTTTGCTTTAAATTTGTCAATTTCTCCATTCTTTTTGAATTTAGTTTTGAATACCCATTTCACTCCAATTGGCTTTGCTCCTTTTGGCAAATCAGTCAACTCTCACGTTTGATTTCTTTCTATTGCCTCCGTTTCTTCTACCATTGCATCTCTCCACTTCTTGCTCTTAACAGCCTCTTCAAATGTCACTAGATCATCTTCAGTCACTAGCCAAATCAGTTTTCTCCTGTGCCTTCTAGCCCTCCCTTCAACTGGAATCTCAAATGCTGGAATATGAGTTTCGATTCTGAATTTTGTTCCAATACTTGGTATCTCTGTTTCGTGTTTCTGCTCCTCACTGTCTACTTCATCTTCAAGCTATTCCTCAGTGTCATATTCTTCATCTTTCCTCCAGTCAACAATGTCTTGTTGATTTTTTTTTCTTCATTTTGCTCCCAATTCCAATTCTTTTGTGCCTCAAAGATTACATCTTTGCTAATTATAATCTTTCTGTTGACTGGATCAAATAATCTGTATACCTTGGGTTCATCACTAACTCTAAACAGAACACATTGCCTACTCTTGCCATCCAACTTAATCCATTATTGGTTTGGTGTATGAACATGAGCTAGGCAACCAATACTAAAAAATAATCAACAGAAGGCTTCACTCCACTCCATGCTTCTTCAAGGGTTTTGTCCTGCACTGTTGCTGTGGGACTTCTATTCAGAATATGAAGACACCATTTTATTGCTTTTGGCCAAAAATTTTTTGGAACCTGTCTTCCAATCAGCATTGAGCGAACCATATTGAACCATATTCATGATGGTTATGTTTTTCCTCTTAGCAACCCCATTCTGCTGGGAAGTGTAGGCAGCAATCAATTGTCTCCTTATGCCTTGGCTTCTACAAAATTCTTCAAACGCCTTGGAAGTAAATTCTCCTCCCCTATCTATTTGTAAGTAGGTAATGCTTTCTCCAGCCTCCTTTTTCACCAGTACTTTGAAACTTTTAAAGAAATAAAAAGTTTCTGATTTCTCACTCAAAAAATATTAAACAATAAATTTATTATTTTCTTAATTTCATTATTCTTATTAATAATAATTTTATTTTTTAAATCATAAAGTTTATTTTAAATATGTAATGTTTTAAATAAATTTGATGACATTATTATTATATTTTATAATTAATTTTTTTATGAATCTAATATTTTAAATTGTTTATAATTATTATATATTTTGTTCATATTTTAGTTTTTCTATAATATAATTGTAAATGTTGTTTTTATCAATAATCTTAACAAAAATATTCTATTTACTCTTTTGCAAAATTAAATGTTATTTTTACTACATCTAATATTATTTATTTCACAAATAATTTTTTTATTCCTTAATCTACCATCAAAATACAAGATTTATTATTTTTCACTATATTCCATTTATATTTTTTATTACCATATTTTTACTGTATTTTACATGGACTCGGATCAGTTCTGTATTTGGTTAAGCGAATTTTGGTAAAAAGTAATTTTGACTTAAGTTAAAAAAATTGCTTAAGCCAATTTCGCTTAAGCCAGAAAAATTTGCTTAAGCAAATTTAGAAAGAGTGACAAAAAAACTAGAAGAAAAAGAGAGAAAGGGAAGCCGAGAGGAAGATCAGAGATGAGGGTAAAAGTATGAGAGAAAGAGAGAGAAGGCTAAAAGAATGAAGGAAAAATGGTTAGATAATGATAGAAAGGGAGGGGGATGAATGGGGTGAAGGGAAAGGGAGGAGAGCTAGACGAGGAGAGAGGAGAGAGGAGAAAGGAGACTGGGTGAGTTGAAGGAAGAAGAAATGGAGAAGGGAAGGAAAGAAAGAGACTAAGTGAAAGAGAGAGAGGAAGGAAGTAACTGGATTGGAAGGAGAGGAGAAGAGAGAAAGCTGAAGTAAAAGGAAATATTTTTTTTCTATGTATTTTTACTTAAGTGAATCCCTAAATCCTAAGTTTTAAAGCAAATTTAAATTCCCTTAAGTAAAAATATATAGAAAAAAAAGATGATACAATGTATTTTCTAAATTCGTTTAAGCAAAATTTTTTTAGCTTAAGCAAAAATTACTTTTTACTAAAATTTGGTTAAGCAAAATTTGGTTAAGCAAAATTTTTTCGCTCAAGTAAATGAAAAATTGCAAGCTATCAATGTCCATTTCGACACGTGATTATTTTATTAGTTTGGTCCCATTGTGAGCACTATGATAAGTTACCACATCATCGTAACTGTCGTCCGTGACACGTGACATTTTAATCCCATACAGAGAAATTATTTTTTAACACCCAATTTCAGTAATTTTACTTTTAAATTTACCTCATATGGCAAAAAAAAAACCCAAGTAGCATAACGTATTCAATCGTAGCCATCCATATCATCATCGCGTCTTCAGAAGAATTTATTCGCGCCTTGCTAATTGTGGACCTCGCGCACAGGATCATTACCCGCGCAATAAATTCACCGTACAATGCCACGTGTCGAATCAGATCAACGTTTCGTGTCTTCGAGCTATTTTTCCTATCCCATTTGTAATTTTGGTACTATTTTTCAATCTAAAAACCCTTACTCACTCGGCAAACCGAAAGAAACCCTAGTTCTCTTGCGTCTCTCGCGGTTTTGAAAAGAGAACAAGGAAAATTAGGGAAATCGAGCTTATCGGTGAAATTACTTTCTAAATTGACGATTACATTAGGGTTTTAAATCGCAGAGATGAGATTCAAACCCTAATTCATGATTCGTGATCGTGATTGAGATCGTCGTGTTTTGGGGCGAAATCGGCTGTTTCGTGTGGTGTCTGCTGAGGTATGTGATTTTGTCATAATTTCGTGGCTGATCTGTGTGGTGTTGTTTAGTGCAATTAGCCTAATGCATGGGGAAAATGGGCGTGATCTTGGTTTTTGGTTTGATTGAGGGATTATTTGTAATTTTTTCATTTTATTGGTGTTACAGATCTGGGATAAAGCGTACAGACATGTATGATGGAATGTGAACATTGGAGAATTTTGGTCTGTTCTGTTTATTGTACATGGAAGATAGAGGAGAGAACTCTCATGGTGCTGCAATTCCCAAAAAATCGAGATCTTTGGATCTGAAGAGTTTATATAAATCTAAAGTGACAAAAGAGACTCCAAAGAAGAACTTAAAGAGGAAAGGTAGTCATCCTAGGGGTGGTGATGAAAAAAGGAACAAGAAAAAGAAAACTAGAAAGGAAGTGTCTCTTAGTAGCTTAGAAAATGCTGATGGTGGCATCAAGAAGTTTGTTGACGAAGAATGTCAAAAGGGGTCTGTTTCTGCTAGACAGGATCTGTGTGAACAGAAGTTGGAGGTGAAGCAGGGATTGAGTAGCAGTACTGGGCTTATTAGAGGATCATTAAGTCTTGATGACAATCTTCACATTCCAAAACGAAGGAGGAATTTTGTGAGGCGGAAGAAATTTGATGTTAGTCAAGTTCCAAAACGGGCTGGGCAGCCTAGTTGTATAAGTGGACATGGTGATCAGATACCTAAGTTGAGTAGTGATGATTCAGACAGGAGGATTGAGTCTTCAGAGATTAAACAGAAGGGAGATTTTGATGAGTTCAAGAAAAGTAGGAGTAATGATTCAAATTCAGTTCAGCATTTCAACCCTCAATCTGTTGCAAATAGTGGCGATTCCTCTTTACAGAAGTCAAAAAGGAAGGATAGGAAGCAAAAGGCTTTGGCTCTCGATAGAAATAGGGTTACCAAGGACGCTAATTCTCTGGTTGATGGTGGTAAAATATCTGATTATGCAAGGGAAGATGATGAGGAGAATCTTGAAGAGAATGCAGCAAGGATGTTGTCTTCGCGATTTGATCCAAACTATGCTGGGGTTTGTTCAAGCAGTAAGCCTCCGACATTGCCATCATCAAATGGTTTGTCCTTTTTACTCTCTTCTAGTCGAAATATTGTTAGTTGTGGGTCAAAGTCTCCATCAGGTTCAGAATCAGCATCAGTTGATACTGCTGGTAGAGTCTTAAGGCCAAGGAAACAATACAATGACAAGGGTAACTCCAGGAAGAGGCGACATTTTTATGAAATTTCATTAGGTGATTTAGATGAATATTGGATACTGAACCAGAGAATCAAGGTTTTTTGGCCTTTGGACCAAAGTTGGTATGATGGCCTTGTCGATGATTATAACAAAGAAACAAAGTGTCATCATATCAAATATGATGATCGAGAAGAAGAATGGATTAATCTTCAAACTGAGAGGTTCAAACTCTTGTTACTTCCAAGTGAAGTTCCTGGAAAAGCAGGGGGGAAAAGAGCAGTAAGGAAAAATAGAAGTTCTGATCATAAAAGAGGGAGCTCATCGAGGAAAGAAAGGCAAATAGGAGATGTGATTACTGAGGATGATCACTGCAGTGAGAGCTGTATGGACACAGAACCTATAATCTCCTGGTTGGCTCGATCTTCTCATCGGTTTAAATCATCTGCTTTTCATGCTGCTAAGAAACAAAAAACTTCTGTTACACTTCCAAGTACAACTTCATCATTGTCATGTGATGAACCTGTAAAAGTACAGGGATGCTTAGCTGAGAGTTCCCTGAGGGAGGGTAAAAGTAGCCCTTCCAGAGATTCTGTATCACAATATCAATTAGGTGATGACTTTGGGAAGAAGTCCCCATTGCAAAGCTCCAATCGCCCTAAAGATGACAAACAGCCTATTGTCTATTTTAGAAGGCGGTTTCGCAAGCCAACTTCAACATCACATCATATTTGTGAAGATAAACATGTTAACATAAGTGCATCTTGTTCTATTTCCTCCAATCATGTGGTTGGTGGGCTTGTGGATGTAAAAGAATCAAATGATGGGAGGGTTGAGACAGAGGGGCCATTGTTCTTCACATACAACGCAGGAGTATCTAAAATTTTTTTGGACATGGAGTCAGCGGCGTTCAAGTTTGACTTAAACTATCCAATTCAGTTGGTGCTGAATGACTCATTTAAATCAGAGAATTTGTGGTTGCTCCATGCCGTTCTGCTACTTCAATATGGTACAGTTACGACCTTGTGGCCAACAATTCATTTGGAGATGCTTTTTGTTGATAATGTGGTTGGGCTAAGGTTCCTATTATTTGAAGGCTGCTTGAAGCTGGCTGCAGCCCTTGTCTTTTGTATCCTTAGGATATTTCATCAACCTGGTGACCAGGGGAAGTATATTGACTTCCAGTTGCCCTTTACATCTATCAGATTCAGGTTTTCAAGTATTTATGGCATTAAGAAACCTCTTGTATTTGCATTTTACAATTTCTCCAGAGTGAAAAATTCAAAATGGATGTACTTAGACTCAAAGGTTAAGAGACATTGCTTAATCAGTAAGCAGCTCCATCTCTCTGAATGCACATATGATAACATCCAGGCACTTCAAAATCAGTCCAGTGAGTGTCCAATTACTTCCATCAGTGGCAATCCCTTAGTCAAGGTACTTTCTCCGATTTTTCTGTTTCCTGATTGGTAACTCCATATCATTCACCTCATCTCATGAATGTATTGCTATATTTAAATTTTGTATCGTGTCAAAGCTTCCTGCGAATTTCAAGGTGATTTGTGTTTTTTTTTTTTTTTTTTTTTTTTTTTTTTTTTTTGTGTGTGTGTGTGTGTGTGTGTGTCAAATTTTGCGACTTTGCAGGAACAGGTCATGCAGAAGAGGATTAGGCCGGGGATTAATATTATGGGTGTTTCCAGAGAATTTTCTAAGGTTGATACTAGTCAGCCTTCTGATGCTGGCAAGAGGAAGGTTCCCCTGTTTTCACTTTCTTTTGCTGCTGCACCTACATTTTTTCTTAGTTTGCATCTTAAGTTGCTGATGGAAAAGTCAGTAGCTCATATAAGCTTTTGTGATAATGCACTAGTAGATGATCAGGAAGACTCTGGTCTGATGACAGATGACTGCTCTAGCATTGATGATTACTCTAACAGGAATGGAGAGGTTAATGTGAAGAAAAATATGATGGATTTTTCGATGGATGCTGTGTGTGATGGATTGGCTTGTGCTGAGTCAGATTTGTTAATTGGTCCATCTAATTGTGAAGGTCGAATTATTTCTCAAAATTACCAGAATAATGATCTTAGTGCTGATGAAATTTCTGGATCCAACGGTTTTGAGAGGCCTGGCTCTGTTCAGTTGCCGGAGTGGCAATCACATCATTCTGACCACTCTTTTCCTTCAAATTCTTTAACCCATAAGATTAAAGAAGATGATGGTTCCCATTCTTTCCTGTCTGATCTAAGTGTCCAAATTCCTTCAGCTGATCAATTTGAGAAACCTGGTGATGGTGATCTGCATGATGCTCAACACACTTCAGATTTTTCTTGGAATACAAATGGAGGTGTCATTCGCAGCCCAAATCCAACTGCTCCTAGAAGTTCTTGGCATCGGAATAGAAGTAATTCCTCATCATTTGGATCCCAGTCACATGGGTGGTCTGATGTGAAGGCTGATTCCCTTCACAACGGTTTTGGCAATGGACCTAAGAAGCCACGAACACAAGTATCTTATTCAGTGCCTTTTGCTGGGTATGATTATAATTCAAAGCAGAGAAGCCATTATCCGAGACAGAGAGGGTTGCCTCACAAGCGAATCAGAAAGGCTAATGAGAAGAAGTTATTGGATGTTGCTAGGGGTCCTGAAAAGAACTTGGAGTCCTTATCTTGTGATGCAAATGTGTTGATTACCCATGGTGATAAGGGGTGGAGAGAATCTGGTGCCAGAGTTGTACTAGAACTGTTTGACCATAATGAGTGGAAACTCTCTATAAAACTTGCAGGAATTACCAGGTATACTTACAAAGCACATCAGTTTCTGCAGACTGGATCAACAAATCGTTACACTCATGCTATGATGTGGAAAGGAGGGAAGGATTGGATCTTAGAATTTCCTGATCGGAGCCAGTGGGCTGTTTTCAAGGAGATGCATGAGGAATGCTACAACCAGAACATCCGTGCTGCTTCAGTTAAAAATATACCCATTCCTGGTGTTGTCTTGATAGAAGAAAATTATGATAATGAATCTGAAGCTACTTTTGTTCGGAGCTCTAAGTATTTCCAACAAGTTGAAACAGATGTAGGGATGGCTTTGAATCCGTTGCATGTCCTGTATGACATGGATAGCGATGATGAACAGTGGATTTTGACTATGCGAAATTCTGTAAAGGACAATGATTGCTTGAATGGGATCTCAGATGAGGTGTTTGAGAAGGCAATGGACATGTTTGAGAAGGCTGCATATGCTCAGCAGCGTGATCAGTTTACACCTTCTGAAATAGAGGAACTAACAGTTGATGTTGGGCCCTTCTGTGTTACCAAAATCATTTATGAACATTGGCAGAAGAAAAGGCAGAAGAAGGAAATGCCTTTAATACGGCATTTGCAGGTACTGTCTAAATAAGCCATCTAATTCATGATATTGTCATTCAAGTTTAGGAATGTCACTTATCCTGGTACTGTGTTCAATGACATATAAAACGATATACTATCTTTTTATACAGATATTTGGGAAGGGGGGAGGGGAGTGAGTTAATATTGTGGCAGAGGATAGATATTTACAGATTTACTTATTTAGCTTGGTTACACCTAACAATCAGCAATTTTGAAGGCCCGCCAAATATAATTCTAAGTGTTTTGAGCTGTTGCTAAGTCTTGCACAACATTTGTTGCTAAGTGAAAACCATGCATGCCTCTTATCTAGATTTCTGCCTACTGATTGAGATTTATTCAACTCATAAAAGTAGCTGTCTCCAATTCTAGAAAATCATTTGCAATGAAATATTATTATTACCAGATGATCCGGTTCCAATCATTATCTGTTGTCCTGTAATCTGTTTGTATATAACAATTATGGGTGTGATTTTGCAATTGATTGGCTTAAAGTATGTTGTGTGATTTTCCTTTTATTTCTTTTCAAGATTGTCTGTTTTCTTTTAGGCAGCTGATATTTAGAATTGGTTATTATTTGATTGGACTTTTACCTCTAATCTTTTATGTTCTGTTCAGCCACCTCTATGGGAAAGATATCAACATGAATTGAGAGAGTGGGAAGTAGCCATGACCAAGAATAATATTCCTGTTTCTAATGGTTGCCTGAACAAGATTGTGACTTTGGAGAAGCCGGCCATGTTTGCTTTCTGTTTGAAACCAAGGGGTTTGGAAGTACCGAACAAGGGATCAAAACAACGATCACAAAAGAAAATTTCAGTCTCAGGGCATTCAAGCAGTATTTTATATGAACAGGATGGATTCCACCCTTTTGGTGAGTATTTGATTTAATAGCCTGATTTATAACATTTTTTGAACAAATTATGAACTTCTTACATTTGACTGTCGTGAACTCAGGAAGAAGACTTAATGGACTGGCATATGGTGACGAGAAGTTTGCATACCCAGGGCATAATTATGATTCTGTGTATGATTCCCCATTGCCTCAGACCTCCCCTGCATTCTCACCACGGGATGGTGGCAGCATGGGATACTATTCTATAAACAACAACAGTTATGATAGAAATCATGTCCCCAAATATAACAGAAGCAAGTCAAGGAAATTTGGCTCATCTGTGTTTCATAATGATTCGCCAACGTCTTCCTATAGTCAGCAGAGAGTTTCACGGTCAGGAAAGAGAAATGGGGATGGTAGGTGGAATATGGGCTATTATGACTTGTCAGGTCACCGGCAGTACCTGTGGGATGGTCCACCAAGACACGGTACTGAACAATTAGATGGTCCCAACCTTGATGAGTTTAGAACGCGCGATGCCTCGTGTGCCGCTGAGCATGCGCGTAACATGGCGAAATTGAAAAGAGAGAGAGCTCAGAGATTGTTTTATAGAGCGGATGTAGCAATTCACAAGGCTATGGTTGCTCTTATGATTGCTGAAGCAATGAAAGCTTCTGAGGATTCAAATGGTGATGGGTAGATAAGACATTAGACATGAATATCTGACTCTGATAAACTTAATGGATCCTTCGACTTTGCAACTGAGCTGCATGGGCTTGGGAGTGAGTTTGCTAGACAAAGCTTCTGGTATGACTTTGTCAAGGGTTGTGATGACCTTTTGTCGTCATTCGGATATTCCATACTGAAAATAAGCATTGAGAGCTGAATTAAGTGGGACGGAGGAGATTTTGTTACTTCAAAATGCAACTCTTTTGCACTGTTCACCGGCACCCTCTCCAGCTTGAGATCTGCCTAGTATGGATCTATGGAATTTTGGCAACCTATATATTTGTACAGATTTTTTTTTCTCCCTTTACCCCCCTTCTTTCTTTTCCCCCTTAACCTCAGTTTCAAATGTTAAATATAAAAATAGAAATCGGCCAAATAATTATACAACACCACCTTGAATGGAATTACAGTTCATTATTTATGTCATGGATCTGCGCATGGTTCGCAAGATAACACTTGTGGTTTCTGGGATAATAACCCGTCGAGCGTAATTTCTCCTATTGCTAGCGCAAGAAAATTCTTGGTGCAATATTGTAATTACATTAAGTTTTATTCTTTAACTAAAATTAAAATTTTATTTGTGTTATTTATGAAATAAAAGTTAATATATATTATCAAGATAAGATTTTAATTTTAATTAAAAAATAATAGTAGTTAACTTTTTCCCTTCTTACCATGGCTTGCTAGATTTTATTGGAAATAAACCTTGAGAATTTCATGGGAATTACCTGAGTTTAGTTAATATGATATTTGTTAATAGTAAAATCATTAAATTATTTATTATCTGGTAAGCGTATAAAAAGATGTCTCTCATCTTCCAACCCTTGGGAAAAAAGAGACAAAAAGAGATTAGTGTTTGTATAAGTTATTTAATTGAATAAATAACTTTACTTTAAATAAATTAATAAAATTTTGCGTCTGAAAAAATTAATATAATATTTTTAACTTATTAATTTTTACAAAATAGAGTAATTTATGTAGTAGAGTTTTGCATAAACTCGTAAATAAATGTTGCACATATATGGTCAATTAAAATTGATGAATGATAAGGAGAGAAGAGAAAGATGAATAGTGACGTCAATTATGAGTTACGTGTGGAAGTGTGTAGGGCACGTCACACTGCCCGGTTCACTGATGTCTCGGTGAGAAGAGAAGAGTAATCCCTTTGGTTTTTGGGATGCATGTTTTAGGTTAGAAGTAAAAAGTTTGTAGTTTATTGATTTTGTCAATAAGTTAAACAAGTTATTTAATGAAATATAAAATAAAAAGATTCGTAATTTTTAAAGGTTAATTGTTGAAAAGGGTACTTGATGCAGTTTTTAGCTTTTAGAAATTAATTATCAATAAAAAAGATATAGTGTTCTCTTAAGATATAATATTTTTGCGGTATCTTTTTGTGCAATGTGATGGTAACTTATTGTATGTAATGGTAGTCTTGATCAATTTCTATTTGTGTGTCATTCATTTAACAAATTAAAACTATTTTTTGACGAGTTAATATTTTACCCGCATGATATTATGGACTTTTTTTTTTAATGAAAATCATGGTTAGAAATTTGATTGTCGATAATTGTCCTAAATTGTTCAAATATCTAAAATCAATTGTTCAAATATCAATTAGGATACGTTGATGGATATAGTGCCTGAGATAAGATTTCATATATTCAATAAATAAGATACTTGTTACACCTGAATAAAATTAATATAATTTATATACGGGATAAAATTTCTTATATTGATATAAGCCTAAAAATATTTATATTTAATTTAAGTTTTTATTTAAATCACATCTAAAAGCGAGTAATAAATTATAACAGGTTAAATATAAGTTAAATAAAATATTTAAATTAAATGTAAAAATTTTTAGATTTATATTAATTTTAAAAAATCCTTCTTCTACATATACATGTATAGTTGATGTTATTAAATTAAAATTAACATTTTATCTTAATAACTATTGTTTTCTTTTTTCTCTTTTCCTAAATGTTTAAGTTGTAATATAAATTATACAAATCTTTTGTACGATTATCATTTATTTTAAAAATTTGGAAATTAGTTCAAAGCATATGACAACACAAAATCAATACCACAAGAATTTGTAGTGCAACCATTTTTTATAACTATTTTCTTTTGTCATTAGCCTCAAACTTTTTTTGATTTAGTATCCTATATACATTTGTTCCACTTTCAATTGAAAAAAAAAAAAAAAAACATATTCCAGAGTCAATTATGCCCCAAAGAAGAAATTGTTGTTTATGATCAAATGTATGTTTGGTGACATGATAATGAAAAAACAAATATACCCACTTTTTTAATAGTAATTTTTTTTTTTTTACAGGCAAAACATATATTATTAGAAAGAATTTAAGGAACACTCAAAACTCATGTACACAGAGAAAAAATCTAATGCTTATTCAAGAAAATAAAAAGCAAAAACATACTTATACAAATTTAAGACGAATGTAATTTCGTAGGTTCAAATACTAATTAGCTAATAAAATAACTTCTCCTTTACTAACAAGTGATAGTCATTTTTAAGACTTCAGAATAATAGAATTTAAGATTTTCCTCTCATCCAAAACACCATTGAAAAACATAATTATATTTTTATGTAACCACAAAGACTACACTATACTTTCGAAAATAATTAATAAACATATATATTCTCTTTTACTACAATCATTACTAATCCAAGAAAATAAGTGAGTCCATAAATCTGAAAGTAAAACCAGTGAAAATCTAAATCAACTTGCAGTAAAGTACTAGATTTGAGATGAAACTAAGCACGTTAAAAATAAATGAGTTGAAAGTTCCTCTAAATTATGACAGAAACAACAAGTTATATCATCAATTTGAACACCACAATCAATCAGCAAACCTTTACAAGAAAATGCATTTAACAACAATTGTCAAGTAAATACCAGACACTTAAGAGGGACTTTCCCTCTTCATAGCCTTTGTAAGGCGTCTGCCGTACATTGATTTATACTATCAAAACTAGCAAAAAGTTTAAATAGTCATGAATATACAGATTGCATTAAATAACAACTTGAAGAATCTATCTTTCATACTCATTTATCTTTTTGTAGTACTTTAATAAAAACTCTATCTACAAGCTCCAACAAAAGATTAAAGTTTAAGATCTCATGTTGAAAAACTCCTCTTCACCAACTAACATCTCAAACACATTGATCTACACTATTAGAACTAGCAAAAAAATTTAAATAATCATGAATATGCAGATTGCATTGAATAACAATTTGAAGAATCTATCTTTCATACCCATTTATCTTTTTGTAGTACCTTAATAAAAACTCCATCAACGAGCTCCAACAAAAGATTAAAGTTTAAGATTTCATGTTGAAAAACTCCTCTTCACCAACTAACATCTCAAACACACCTAGTGCCACCATGAAAACTATTCTCTAATACACAAGATTCAACATTCTTCGCCACCGCAAACAATTGCAAAAATGTCTCACACAATCATATTTGAGAAACGAGTCATGTTACATTGTAACGGGTCACATTAAATATATAGGAAAGAAAGAAACTAATATGTTTGAAAAATGAGTCATGTTCTAACCTGGGTCATGAAAATCCACATCTTAAGACAGTATAGTAGAGTCGAGTGGTAACTTACAAAATTTTAAGTAATTATACTGAAGAAAATATCCTTAATTCTTTTTACTTTTAAGATTTTTAATTTCTTCTAACCTATTTACTTTTCTTAGAAGTGAAACTAACACAAATTAATAACGATCTAGAGTAAAAGACATGTTTTACTCTAATAAGTGTAGATGGGTCATGTTACAATAGACAGTTCAAAATGTTGCAAACAATTGTTTTAAGAGTTGATAAGAATGAGAAATACTTGACCCTGAAAAGAAAAATATTAACAATACACTTTTATTGTATTCTTTTAATTAACACACTTTTATTTGATGAAATTCATGTAAATTTATTAAATTAGATAAATTTTACTTCTTATAGAGCCAGTCATTCATGATTTTTAATTAATAATAAAAAGTATATGTTAAAACAAAGCCTGTAAAAAATATGTTGCTATTTTTTTTTCAAGAGTTCAAAGAACCCAAACCATATAACATGTCAATATTACATTGCACTTCAACTAAAGATCATATTTGAGATTGGAGTCTTTCTTTGAAGACTTATTCAATTACATATAAATCACATTTTGTTGATTGATTGCATAACTTGGGTGGGCATTAATTTCTTCTTTACCCTTCCTTTTATATATTGTGTTTTATCCTGTTATTTTTTTTTAATCTTCGCACTTTTTTACGAAAAGTGGGTGAACATAACTCTAGGGTAGTAATCTAGCTGAGTGGAAGATAAACTATGCGAATTTTTTAAAGCGAGTATGGGCATGTTTTGTGGTTAATCTTTCATTCCCAACCATATCTGTCGAAGCATATCACAAGGTCTTAATCTTTATTCTTATTCTTCACCATCACCAGTTCACCATGCCAAAGGGCATTAATTTTGGTGAGAGAATTGGTGAAAGCAAAAAGGGTTATTCTTGGCCATTGACATCTAATAATTAATATAAATAATTATTTTTATGTTTGTATTAACATCAATCTTTAAAATTTTTAAGCATATATTAACATTTTATTTATTTTAACAGTTTTGTTAATCTCAATTTAAGACTGAATTTAAGTATTTAAAAGTAATATTTTTTATTAAAAAAATTCATCACAATAAGTATTTTAAAAAATTATTACTTTCAAATGCTTAATTCACCCTAAAAATTTAGATTAATAAATTGTATTTTAAATTATCTTTATAGTTAAGGGATGAATCAAATAGTTGGAAAAGAGAAAGGGATTAACACTGTTAGTAATCGTAAGTTCCTTTTTATTGGGCGAATCGTGAAAGTTGGAAATGGCGTCATACCATCTTTTATTGGATAAAAATTTCTGTAGGCAGGTTAATCAAGGACTAAAGCCCTTGTCAAACTATAATCATTTAAGCATCAAATCTTCATATTTATTCGAAAAGTTGATATCATTAGCTCAGAGTAGAAATTAAAGCTGTTCTTTTTCTTGTTTCCTGCCATTGAAGAAGTGATTTTACCCAGCGACATCAATCATGTACATGTATATGAACACATACGCAATCAAGTGAACACACCCAAAAGTATTAGAAAGGATTACATTTTATGTACCATTAAAATTGAAATATTTTTAAATTTCTTTTTCATATTTAAAATACATGTATAAAAAATAAATTAAAATAGTATATAATATTATATACAATATAATTTTCTAATAATTCAACGTTACTTTTTAAGAAAGGATTATGCAAATGAAGCATTAACTTTTATAGATACTGAAAAGTACATGTTATCAAGGTTCATGTAAGCAGGCATAGGGAACAGAAGCTGCAACAGCTGAAGGATATTCTACACTATAATCACCAGAAC